GTGCAAGTGATGGAGACGAGCAAGAAGAAGCTGGGAGCGGACCATCCAGACACGCTGACCAGCATGGCCAATCTTGCCTTCACGTGGAGAGCGCAGGGTCGAGATGCAGGCGCTATAGATCTAATGACGGAGTGTGCACGGCTTCGAGAACTGGTTCTAGGGACTAGCCATCCGTTGTTCACTTCTTCTTCGAAGGCGTTGGCAGGTTGGGAAACAAAACAACGAAGCGCTCGCAAAATGGAAGAAAGTAGAGCGTAGGACCCTCGTTCACACAGGGAATTCTGCATCACCAAAGAGCGTTAGTCTGGGCCAAAATTAGTGTAGCTAGCACCAACCTGCATGGTGGAATGGTTTGGAAATGCTTTCTAGCACCACAGATAATTTGGACGAAGGATTTCCTAGCATCATAACGAGATTATGTGACTTATATTGGTCCTTTCCATGACTTTTGAAAAAGAAAACACGATGATAGTCGAGTTGTAGTATAGAAATATTGTCATGGCGTCCAAGGTGCACTCCGTGCACTCCGCAGAAATCAGCTGACTGGCAACCAAGCTTTTGTGATATTTAAGATAAGCATAGTTCCGTGTATTAGAAAGTATCTGAAGAGTGCAATGTACATAGAATTATAATAATTACTATGTGTGTAGAGAGTTTGAGTTAGTTTGAAGTCAAAGTGCTTCGGATCCGTCACAATAAGACGGGTGTCCCATCACGCAGGGGAGGTTACTTACATCGAGCAGTTGGAGCACAGCTTAGAGGTCACCAGTGCCGTAGATTGATCAGACCGATTATCAATAATGTGTAGGAAGCGTTTGTCTGGTCTGTATTCCATGCTCCGCAGTCCGTATAGTGCGCATGCTAAGCACTAACTAGTAAGATGCAGATCCAGCTGCTAGGGCGCTTTGATGCCGCCGCTGGCTTAACGATAGGAGGGGACGACACTACTACGGATAAGCACCAATGTAATATTTGGAAACCCTCTCCGTCGAATTCATCCTCCACAACCGTCCTGTCCCAACACTGGGTGAGTTGGAAAATGGGGATTATGCCGTTTCGAAACCCTAAATCATAACACGGTCTACTTACAGCTGGAGTTCGATGATATCACCGACCAATCCTAGAACTCCTCCACCCTCTCCGCGATGGGACCGACCGCTCCACGCCCACCAGCGTTCCTGAAGGAACTCCGGACAGGCCATGAGCCTCTGGTCACGCGCGTACAACATCTCCTCGGCCGACCTCGTCGTATCCAAACCATTGTCCTTGGGTTTCTCGCCTTCATCGCGTTTCTCTTCTTCACTCGGTTCCCCCACCGCCATGGTCGCTCCAAACCCGCCGAACCGTCCGGCTTCATGTCGCATCTCCTTCAGGCGGCTGGACAAGAGCGACACCGCATGGAATTGGGCACCGAGATTCCGATCCCCGAATCCGCGACCCCGTGGCCCTCGAACTACACGCGCATCGTCGTGATCCCGCACAGCAAGGGCGAGAACATTTCGTGGATCTACACCGAGCTGCGCGAGGTGCCGACGGCGATCTACGAGATGGACAATCCGGTCGCGCCATTCCATGTGCCACAGAATAAAGGACGCGAGGCCATGGCGTACCTGACGTACATCATCGACAACTATAACAAGCTACCCGATACGGTGCTGTTCTTCCATTCCCACCGGACCGCGTGGCACAACAACATCCTCTTGAACCTCGATTCCGCCGAGACCATCAAGCGGCTGTCCGACGAGCGGGTGGTCCGACTCGGCTACATGAATGCCCGATGCCAATGGGAGCCGGGGTGTCCGAATTGGCTCCATCTGGACCGCCCAGAAATCGACTACGACGCGTATAACAAGCCCGAGGAAGCGGAGTTCAACGTCACAGTGTGGAGGGAACTCTTCCCGGATGAACTCCCGCCGCCAGCGCTATCCGCCCCGTGTTGTGCGCAGTTCGCCGTGTCGCGGCGACGGATCCACGCCCGGCCGCGATCGCAGTACATGCATTTGCGAAAATGGCTGATCGAAACGGTGTTGACGGATCACATCTCCGGCCGCGTGTTCGAATACATCTGGCAATATATATTCACGGGCCATAGTGAAGTGTGTCCCTCGGAATCGTCGTGCTACTGCGACGGCTTTGGGATCTGCTTCGGGGGGGACAAGAAGTTGAAGGAATGGATGTCGCTGTTGAAGCAACGGGAAGGGCTGCTGATGAAGTTGAAACGAATCGATGAAGGGGAGAAGACGGTGCGGGGGAAGAAGAGCGACTTGGAGAAAGAGGTGCGGCGGCTGGACGGAGAATTGGAATATTCGAAGCGGAAAGCTTTTGAGCGCGGTCAAGACCCTATGAACCGAGCCATGGAGGCTGAGAAGGTTTTTGGCTGAATGTTGAAGGCATGGCCTTCTTTTCTTGTACACGGATTTCTGGACTCGACTATGGAAACGGACTGGGAAAAACACACCCTGTGTGATTGTGGGATATACCTCCGTTGATACCCCTCGTGAGATGAATTGGCGTTAGCGAATCTGTAATAAGTCATGACTAGGCACTAATGCGCATCACCAGCGAGATAGGTACATAGACTGGGTAAATCGAGACATATTGGCCGTTCGGAATGCAAAACGTACACGAGACGATCGAGTGGTGGCAGTCCATAAGATTCCGAATGCTATTGGGTATCAAAAAGCCCTGTCATTACCTGCATTATCCTAACCTCCGAGTCCATCAAGAATCCTGCCCCTATCACTTGGTACAGGTCTCCACCAAATACGCCTTGAGATTCATGTGAAGCAAGCGGCCGTTAAGGGGCTCATAGGTGGTCATAGATTTTGACCTTTTCCGCATACTCGAGAATGTCGGAGGTGATGTTATCCTCAATTAAATCGCCCTTCCCGCCCGCGACGCGGAGAATGAGATCGTTCAAGGAGGCTCGTCCCAAGATATCCACATGATCACCTACAACCATCAATTAGGGGCTACCCAGAATATAGGAGAAATGTCAGCTTACCTGTATTGGGCCCACCTCGTGGACTGAATCGCTCCGGTTCATGAGGCATCTCATACGTCTTAATCTTCACTCCCGCAGGATTGTACCGTCGGTACTTCCATCCCCGCACGCACATGTATCCCATCGAGAGAAGCGGCACCGTGCCATCGCCTTCTCCCATCATTACGCCATGGTCGGGACCCCCGTTGGGGTCGGTATAACCCGTATCCATACTAACATTAGTTATACTCATGGGGTCCAAATCGTCTCGATAATAGTATGCTCTTTCGGTAGGCTTTCCATGACCGTAGAAACAGTAGATCTTCAGGTTCGGAGCCAGCGGCAAGCGCGTTTCCAAGGGATTGACCCATTTCGAAGGATCCCGTTGGTTGTCTTCGACTTCCTCACGGCTGTGCGCGATACCGTATGAATACGCTTCCGACACCATTTTCTCGTACCACGGTTCGGACTTGAGCTTCTCGAACAGGTATGGCAACGACATCCCCGCGGTCAGATTCTGCCCGACCGCCGTGCCATTCCGTTCGCGGAACGTGATGAAGCGGCCAAAGGTATGGTTTGCGCCCGGCGGATCGTCCGGCGCCCACGTCTCGTTCCCCCACACCGCCGCGCCTCCCATCGGCAACATGCTGGAAATCCCCGGCATGGCGCGGAACAGGTCAGCGCGTTCATGTCGGCTGAGGAACTTCTCGAGGCCGTACACCGCGAACGCGTTGAGCTGGGCGGTATCCCGCATCTCGCCGCTCAGGACCGCGGTCAGGCCTTTGAGAGCGCCTAGCATGCATCCGGAGATGTTGATCCAGCTGTCCACATGCGTTTCTACCCAGTTTGGGCCGCCTCCGCCGTGGCCCGGTGCTTCCGATTCGACCCAATGGAAGAAGTAGTACAGGACTTGGGACCCCATGGAGTGACTTAAGAGGGTGACCTTCTTACCCGAGATTCGGGACGCGAGTTCGATATGATGCTTGAGGCGAGTGAAATATTGGTCCCGTTTCTCGTAGTTTTCGTAGGAAAGCCTCCAATCGTATGCGGCGGTAAACGCATTCCCCGGATCATAACCGATCGTCGCCAGGTTTTCCAGGATTTTGTTCCAGATCCAGTACCCCGTGATGAAGAAGTCGGTGGCATCGAATCCTTGAGCGGCACGCAACTTGATTCCAGGCGGATCCAGACCCGTGTCCTTGTCGAGCATCAGGTGCTTCTTCCATGAAGCTTTGTCCAACACCAACGCTCGCATCATGGTCCAGGATCCCCATAACCGGCGTCGGAAGTAATTGCGGGATACATCAGAGGTCCCCCATGATTCCAAGCCGGTCGAAATGACTCCAGGAATCATGATGACGGGATGTGTGGCTTTGACGCCCTGTGATCGAGCATGTAGGCCAACTGCAAACGAGTCGTATGCGATGGCATCTCGTTCACGTCTCTAGGGAGAGGGTCAGAAGAGAAAGGCAAATACGACCGGTGAAGCTTGTCAAGTACCTGTAAATCTTGAGCATCTCTCAGTAGAGCTGCCGGAAGGACATCAAAGATACTATCAAGGTTTATATCGGTTAGGGCCCTGATGTCGAGCATATCGTTGCTTCGAGCGAAAAAAGCCGCCAACGCCAGCCCAAACAATCCGCCCAAGAAAAATATCCAGGCATTTCGACGTCGCGTTCCAGGCGTCCGCGTTAAATGATGGGATTTTTCGGGTTTCTTCTCCGAGAGGAATAGCATTTCTTCACCCACCGCGGGCGAGCTATCACGAGATGGATCATTGGAGGAAGCTGGAGAGTCCTTGTCGTTGTTGCTGCCGCCGAGAACGCGGCGCCGGAGGGAACCATACATGAGGATGGAATGCGTTCATGGGCCGAGTGTTTGGGGGGGTTGGGTGAGATTACATTAGAGGTAATATAGTATAGTTAGTACGTTAAGTATTCGACACTCGAAACTCCCCTTGGTCTGACCGCATTCTAGGATGGGATTTCTCATTTCTTGCAATGACGACGTCTAGTCTGGTCATGGTCTGACTGAGCTTTCACATGCTACATGCCCCTCCACCCTTGCAGCGTTCAGTTAAAGCTTCCCTGCCTCGCTCTTCTCCGTTACATCGACATCCCACTCCCTCCATGTCCTACGCATTGTCGGCACTATAGTCTAGGGGCACAAAACCGCATATGACACGAACTCGGACCCACTGGCTGTCCTACATATTGGCCGCGAAAGCCCCAGCCGGAAGCTGAAGATGTGTATCCTGCTAGTTTCATCCCTCTCCATGCCACGGTGATGACCGCTGAACTTCCGTCTGCGCCGTTGATCACCGACGAACGGAATGGGTTGATCTACGTCCAGTATTCCTCCGCGAAAGAGGATGTCTATCTGGATCCCATCCGGAGCCTGATCTCCAAGGACTTGTCCGAGCCCTACAGTATCTATGTGTTCCGATATTTTCTCTTTCAATGGGGCGACTTGTGTTTCATGGTATGTTGAACCGGTGATTTCGTCGGACCAAACGCTAACTGGTTGTTTGAAGGCCTTAGATGCGAAGACGCATGACCTTCGAGGGGTGGTAGTTTGCAAATTGGAATACCATCGCAGCGGGACATATCGAGGATACATCGCCATGCTTGCCGTAGAGGAGGAATTCCGAGGGAAAGGGATCGCTACAAGTCTGGTCCAGTCTTCTATTTTATCGATGAAAGAAAAGGGGGCAGATGAGGTAAACCACACCGTTCCAGTCCGATCCCAGCGCTGATGGAGTTCACCAGGTGATTTTGGAAACGGAAGTCACCAATACCGCGTCTCTACGACTTTATCAACGACTCGGATTCCTTCGAACCAAACGACTGCATCGGTATTATCTGAATGGGAACACGGCATTCCGACTGGCACTGTACTTGAAAGAGGGAGTCTCCCTGAAGGAGCCCAGAGATGATCTGAATCCCCATATGATGGATCAATATTACGATGAATGAGGAGCGATTGCACGGAGTTATTGCCATGCCCGTCATGCCGGCTTCATTAGGTTCATTCGATCATAGGAACGCCTCAGTCCATGTATACAATTTAACGGCAGGTCATTCCAATTATGCCATTATTCAAAAACACGTACGCCCTTAGGAGTGCCCATCTCCCGTCGCATCACTCATAAAGATGACTTTTTGAGATGAGGGAAGACATGGTCTAGGCCTGATTGGGTCGTTTCCTGCTCCTTCTCTTCCTTTTGGCCCGTGTCTTTACCTTCGGATTGCGGAGGTCCGTCCGGCAACTTCCCCGTCGCTCGCTCCGTCAGCTCCTGCGTTAATTTTAACGTCTTCTCGACCTCGGCGGTCAACTGAGCGACTTCATCTTCCAGTGTCTCATCCGTAGTCTTCGTCGGTTCCTTGGCTTCGAATCTCATCCTGTATTCTGCCGCTTTCTCCGGTGCCACGGATGCCCACAATCCCTCCAGTTCATCGAGCCAGCCGATTGCTCTGGCCAGCTTCCGAACATTCTCGTCGATGTCGCCGAGAGCTAGGACGTCGTCCGGGCGACTTCCCAGATCGCCGGCTTCTTCATTGTTGAGAAGAACTCGAGGCACACCCTCTCGGGCCACCTGAGGCAATCCGGCGAACGGAAACACGGTAAGACTGGTCCCCATTACAATGATCAGATCGGCCTCGGCGGGAGTGAGTCGGTTCATGACAAACGATGGAGGAAGCGCTTCACCAAAGAAAACTATGTCGGGTTTGACCCACCCCAAACACTCTTCGTTCTGGCAATGTGCGGGTTCTCCTTTGTTGATCGCTTCTCGAAGCGGCTCGGGAGGTTGCGGTCGAAGGCAACGGATACAACTTTGCGAGGCATAGCTTCCGTGTGCCTCGATAATCTTATCGTCACTCACTCCCGCCTCTCGTTCCAAGCAATCGATGTTTTGGGTAAAGCACATCCTCAGCAGGTTTTTTTTTTCCAGTAACCGCACAAAACAGTGCGCAATCGTCGGCTTGTATTTTCCAGGATAGAGCTCGGCCGAGAGCGCATAGAAAGGGTATGGGTTCTCCTTGAAGAAGCCGATATCGAATACCGCCTCTGGATAAGGAAGATTCAGTCGGGCGAGGTTGGCATATAACCCAGTCTCTGGCGAGCGGAAATCCGGGATCCCAGCGGCCGTGGATATCCCAGCGCCATTCTATCCATCATTAGACCACCGTCGAATCTTTGCGCCGAAGACCTACTCACCATGATCACCACTCTTTTGGCCTTTCCATCTCGGATGTATTTCGCGACTCCCTCAATGGTTCGACTTTCCAGAGTCTCCGGCGGAGTACTCCCGTCGACCGTTACCGATGATTCCTTTTGGCCCATTCGACCTTTTCGTTTGCCTTCCCGGCCCCGTTGAAAGTTTTTGGATGGAGGAGGCCCTAACTGTGACTTATGAAGTTTGTGTCGTCGCCCTATGGTTGCGGATGTCCGGGGGGTTTAATCTTGAAACTGGTGAGTCGATTGGAGCGGCTTCATGTGCAGTCGGACGTGATCCGGAACTCGGTGTTGATGGTCTGTTGGGATGGGTGCTGCCGAAGCGCTATAAAATGGAATGTGTCGCTGTAAATGTGTGTAAAATTTAAATATATCGACGATTGAAAGTTGGAGCCTGGAGGATGTTCGTCATTATCGGATTTGTGGAGGAGACCGGAGTCATGTAAATCGGTGATGTAAAATCCCAGCCCTACAAGGAACAGTGGGGTTCCTTTATCCTAACCAGGTAAAATACCAGCCCACGATTGGCTTAGAAAGAGCTAATATCACAAGTCCAGGGAAAAAGCATCGAAAAGAACGGGTTTCAAACGTCAACATTGGACTGAAATTGTCATATTATCGTTGACGAAGCTGCCAGACATCATGGAGGAATTGGAAGAGCCCGATCTTGACATTCAAACCCAAATGATCCTCCTTGCTTCCGCGAACCACGACTTAGAGACCCTGCGCACTCTGTTCAAAACAGCGTCCGCGAACGTTCAAGATGAGGAGACGTTGGTGACGCCTTTGCATGCTGCAATCGCTGCATGTGAAGACGATTCTCCGGATGGAACTGCCAATGGACATGGTCACTCGAATACCGACGTCGACTCCTCTGCAGCGCCCGAGCACGGAGAATCCAGCCCCGCCGCAAAAACGTTGAGGCTGCTGTTCCAGAACGGTGCCGTTTGGAATGACCTCGACGCGAACAATGAGACTCCCGGTTGCATGGCATGGAGGCTAGGGTTGAAGGATTTATATGAAATTATCATCGATGCGGGTGTCCGGGCGGAACTCCTCTTGAATCGACTCGACGAATATCAAATGCTCCTCGGAGCGGACGACGACGACGAAGACGACGAAGAGGAAGACGAAGTTGTTGAGGCGGAAGTAGATGGGGAGGTTCCAGATGGAGTGACTTCGATAAGCCTACAGGACAGCGTCAACCCGTCGTCGAACAATGAGGCATATTTAAGTTCGCAAATCCCGTCGGCGACTACGACTACCAACCTTCTGGATTCGTCCTCGAACGCCATCATGATGACTTGGGAAACCCCGATCATGGAGGAACATGCGAAAGAACTGCTGCCTCGCGAGGGGATGAGGGTATTGAATATCGGGCATGGCCTAGGGATCTTCGACGGCATCGTGCAAAAATACCGGCCGGCAAGTCACCATATCATCGAGGCTCATCCCGACGTGGTCGAGCGAATGAAGGCGGCGGGATGGTGTTCCGAAAGCGAGAATGAAAACGCCCGGCCGGGAGTTACGGTTCACCAAGGGAGATGGCAGGATGTTGTACCGCAATTGGTGTCCGATATACAGGATGGACGAGAACAGAAGTTCGATGCGATCTATTTCGACACCTTTGCCGAGTCCTATTCCGATTTCAAGAAGTTCATTGGGCTTGTTCAGGACCTTCTTGCGAGCGGGGGCAAGTTCAGCATGTTCTGGGGAGCTGGAGCCGATCGAAGATCTTCGTATGATGTCTACACCAAGGTCCGTTTGATATTGAGTGGGATCAATACTAAGACTCGCTAACATAATATAGATTCTCGAAATGGATCTCTTCGAGGAAGGATTTGACGTAACCTGGCAATCCATCCCCATCCCCGATCTTCAACAAGCCGGTGAATGGGAGGGAATTACACGTCCATATTGGACTCTGAACGTATACAAACTCCCAACCTGCACCCTGGCCGATTGATCCCACCAACCTCACCAAAGTACTCCAAGCGCTGTCCAAGAATCCAATACCCAAATCTGAATACAAGGCAAAATTGCTGGACAAAATTACCAACCTTTCACCAGTTTGTTCATGTCATCAGCAATCTCTTCAATGTCGTAAACGCCCTTGGCCTGATCTACTCCAATCACTGGAAGTCGTTTGCACCCCTTTCGTTTCCAGTCTTCGGGCACGGCGTTGGGATCGAGTCCTCCGATTTGCTCTAAAACGCTGGCTTGATCCCAGTAGACATGCTCATGTTCCAGCTTCTTTCCCCGAACGGCAAGAATCGATACCATCGGGATCTGGACAGGCTTGTTCGTCGGTGGCACACCCGGAAGAAGAAACGGGATGACATGCGTGTGGCGGAAGGTCAGGATGAATTCGGATACGACCCGATCGACGCTCGCTATCCGCGACACCAACCGAGTCGAGAGGGATGGTGGAAGGGGCGCGAAGAAGTTCTGGTAGAACCGCATAATAGTTGGCCGGTCCACACCGCCCGTTTGCGATGACTAGGAAAGGAACTGTTAGCGGAGTTCTGCTTCCGCGGCTTTGGCACTTACCACATAGTTCACATATGGCTCCGGTACCGTGTGTTTCATTCGCGAAGCCGGATTGATCTGAGGGTATTCCACTTCAGTCGCGTTAGCAAGCGATGACCAGTCCTTCCGAATTCAAGGAACGTACGCGATTCATAGAGCCCTCCCACCGGTAACCCGACCCCGACGACCTTCTCGAGGTCCACGTCCATTTTGAACCCTCTCCGAACCGCCGACAATGCTCGACTCCACGACAAGCCGGACGCGGCGGGATCGAACTCATCAACATCATTCTCCGCGAAGCCCGGGCTGACGCCGTCATATACGAACGCTGGGAATTTGGGCGCGAACCCCTGACCCGCAGCGAGATGTACTTGCAGCTGCATCTGGGTTGGATATGACGCGGTCGGGTTGGGGATGTCACTGGGGTAGAAGCAGATCAGCGCGCAGAGGTGCGGCATTGGTTTTTGGTGAACGATGAGGCAATCGGTTGCTGCTTGTCCGTATGCGACGATCGCGTATGCTTCTCCCAGCTCTAGCGACGGTTAGCAAAAGGTGACGGTCTTGTCGCATGGGAGCCAACCAAGATCATCCGCCAGACTCGTGAGCTTATCGGCATATGGTCTTCCACCGCCGCGACGTGGAAGATATGTGACATCGAAGCCTGATTCGTGTTAGATATTGTCGGGTAGGGAAGATAAGGTCCTATACCTTCGTCCCTCCATTGCTGAATGGTGTCAATGTCGAATTCCTCTGTATCGGCCGTAATATGAAGCCTCGGAGGCATGCTATTGAACGATAGAAACCCGGAACCGCTCTGAGTCGGTCGTAGCGACATTTCTGTAAATGTGATGGGTTGTCCCTAATGCCTTTGCCTTTTCTTGATTTGCGGTGCCAGCACGAACAATAGGGAGTGAAGAATAAAAAGTTGGAGATGGAACTGTCAAACCCTCCCGCCTCCCAGTATAGCGGGAGCGCTAGTATGGATTTGTGATGACGTCAATCCTGCTTCCACGAGGCCTGGATGACCTGTGTATGGCGAGTAAAATTGATGATCCACTGATGATCTATTCTCCGGAAGGATATTCCCCCAGCCTATGACTTCAGTTATTATACAAGAACAAAGTACTACTTCTGATTAACTATACACTTGTCAAGTGCGTAGAGATATACTTTTGAGCCGTCATTTGGCGAGGCCGCCTTTTTGCAATTGGCTCTACATATGGCATCCACCAGTATCAGATCTCGATCAAACCACCAAGTTGAATGGATGTCATTTAATGTACTATTCTGTCTACTCCAACCGCCCTTTCCACGACATTGCCAATCCTGCGAGCCGGAAATATGACGAAACATTGCACCCCTCCGTGGACTTGTGACATACTCCAGGAACCCAGAAAGAGTAGAGGAACTGCGAAACGGAATTCTCGTGCTTATCAGTTATCGAGTAGAGAAGTGTATAATGACAGGTTAGTAGAAGGGAGCTTCTCCACCCAGGAGGCATCCAATACCTACCTCAGTCTTCCCCAACCCATCTTCTGATATCAAGACGCATTCATGATGGGATATTTTGTATAGCGGCCGTCCGATCGAAAGGAAGCCAAGGAAGCCAGAAAGATTCAAGACTCGCTTCCTGTTGCAATGGATAGACATGGATCTTGCTCGGCCGGGATCGGCTCCTGCCATCGCTGAACCCAGGCCACCGTTCCCGCGGTTGGGTCCATGATGGCCGCATAGTGCGTATACTCGTTACAGGTAGGATACTCGCAGATCCATTGAACGAGGGCCTTCTGCGTAACACAGACATCCGCTTCCGATGCCCCGGGATGTGATTCGAGGAACGTCTTGTTCCAAACATCCCACTTCCTCCCTATACATGATAATCGCTTTCTAGAGTCCAGGACAAATTCCTCGGGAAGGACAGGACCGTGATGCGCAGGTTCAAAATCAGGGGCGGTTTGGGGATCTTCAAGGTCATGGTTTGTGGCAGCCACGAAGGATTTCGATGATCGGGTAGATGCCGTGACTCGGTCCTTTTCAACAACGAGCGACTCTTGTCCATCACACAGACATATATATGCCGCTGAGGTCGGTATCTGTGGAAAGGTGGAGCGTATCGTATCGAGAGATACCGGGTGTTTGGTCGAGGTAGGGAGGATCATATCCCGTAGGAGGGATGAGATCGACGGACGGAAGCCAAGAAGTACGAGAAGATTGTGTGAGTAGTATTGGAAGTTTGAGAACGTTGACGACACGTTATGGGTTGGCCGGAAGTTCAGAGATATGCTGAGCCCTTGTCTGTAATGGTCAGCCGTGAAACCTTCAACGTGGAGACACATACCGAACTCCTGTCAAGATGCCAACAAAACCAACGTAGGTGATGGATCTCGCGACGATCGGACCTCCAGCTTGCTCAACGAACTCCAACTGCACGACAACTTTGCGGAGTTCGTCCATGCCCCAGTCCAGGGTCCGAAAATGCAGCATCCTCTGGTCCAAGCCTCGCCCAACGGCTATCCCTCCGCTCGTACATCCCATCAACACGTCAAGAAGGACATTGAGGGTCACCAGAAGATGGATGTCGACTCCCGTTGCCGTGCTGATGCCCTTCAGCTCTCGCGTTTGTTCGTTGCTATACACGCGGCGTAGACACAATCGTGAAAGGAAAAGGATGGTTTTGAAAGATTTGCCCAACCCGAACGAGGCGATGACTTCTTCAAACAGCTTAGTAAGTTCGATTATGTGGTCCTTGAAGTCCGTTGCGAGCTTCACATATCGCAATTGTGGAGCAAGCGATAGGTCAATCGTGTAAGCCGGCGGGATGTCGCCAGCTATCACAGTGTTTGAAGTTGAAGCCATCTTGAGCGGTGAGCTCTCATGCTATGAACAGCTTCAGAAATGACGGAAATGTATCAACTATCAAGAATTCCTCTTAATAGATCCATAACCTGGACTCTTTTGAGGTCATCAAATACTAGGAGACAGAAACGATGCCGTCCTCGCATTATTGCTGCCTGTTACTCGAAATTGGCGAGTCACTGAGGGCGTGGGAAAGTGGACATGCCATTTGACGCTATGGCTTCACCTCGAACACAGCCTTTCTTTTCTCCACGGTCTTCCATCTCGAACGATGAGAGTACACCTCAGCACCGGGCTTGGGATTAGTAGCCTTTCCGGTGAAGGTATCTACGGTATTCTCTACGATCGATTGCGACGCCGAGGCATATCAGCCGAAGTCAGAGTGGTACAACATGCCCGGGCCGTGCTCGGAACCAGTTGGCCAGTTTACGAAGCTACCTGAAAGCACCCCCGGAATCGGAGCTTGATAACCATGAGGCAGTCCGCAATAGGCATGCCTTAGTAGCAGTACCTTCAGAGTTCAGACCATTGAAAATCGATTGTGCTAGTAGAGCTTTTCTTGAAAGTGCCTGTACATGGTTGAGCAAGATGGCTCCTTTTCTGTTGAATCGGATCTTTCTTCCTACCCTTTCTTGTCTGTATACCCCTATCAAAAGGTCTTGATCTCATCAGTTTCTACAATATTCCGTACTTACCTTCTCTTATGAATCCTTTCTGCTATTGTCCCACTTTTATCCTGCTATCCTAAGAGGCCCAAATTAGTTCGTGATCGCTAGTCGAGGATCCCCGCATCTCCATGTTTATCTGGAAGTTTTCGGCAATTGTCCTATTGCCGTGAAAGCTTACTTCTCGCCGCGTGAGGCTTGAATTCCATTCTACTAAGCTCATTTACATACCGGTTGTGAATATCCCGTTCAAAGGTCATTGAGAATACAGAACCCTTTTGGAACACTGTCAAAATGCCGTTTCTTGCTCAGAGTCATATCCCGATTCCGACCCAGGACCTTTTGTCCTGGATGTTCGACAATCCTCAGTATGATGTGGATATGCCGATTTATATTGACGCTGCCAATCCGCAAAACTCAATATCTAATCGACAGGCGAAGCTTATGATCAGAAAGATGGCCGCTGGTTTCAAAAAAGCCGGGCTTCAAAAGGGGGATGTTGTCTGTGTGCATTCATTCAATGATGTAAGTGGGGGCAGCTTCCAACAAGAACCAATAGCCCGAACAGATGGAAGCGTACCCGTTCCGTTATATACATCGTGTTACAATCCTCGAAGTCCTCATCACTCCAGGAAGCATGTGGCCTTGAATTAGGTGTATGGTTGTATCTTTGGTAAACTGGATACGCTTCCATGGCTTCGGGTGCTTGATGTCTTTCATACGAGTTCAAATGGCTGTGTCCTCGTATATGGACGCTGACATGATTTCGTTCTCAGATATATTATCCGATTGCATTCCTGGGTATCATAGCAGCAGGAGGCATCTTCGCTGGCACGAATCCATCATACACCCCTTACGAAATCTCGCACGCCATTCGAACCGCCCAGATCAAGTTCTTCATTTGCGAGCCGGAAGTCATGAAGAATGTCCTCACAGCCTCCGAGACGTGCGGGATACCGAAGAAGAATGTCTTCGTCTTCAACTCACGCGGCCAATCTGTTCCAGCTGGGTTTGAATCGTGGACATCCCTCATGTCTCAGGGAGAAACGGATTGGGAACGGTTCAACGATAAATACACCTGTGAAAGCACACCGGTTGCAAGACTGTTCAGCAGCGGGACGACCGGATTACCGAAAGCATTGGACACCACACACTACAACTTTGTGAGCTGGCCCTAGAGGAAGTTTTGCAATTGTCACTAATATGTGCATAGATTGCCCAGCACACCCTGGTGGTGGAACATCGACCACGCCCCTATCCAGTAAGTTGACGCCCTTAGAACTATAGTGCATCATTGACGGCTTTGCAGTTGCGAAGATTGGTTTGCAATCCCCTGTTCCACGTCAGCCAAGCTCCTCGGGTTCATACCAGTGCGCTTCGAAGTGGAATCACCACATACATCATGCGCCGATTCGAACTGGAGCCATGGTTGAAGAATGTTGAGCGATACGAAATCACCGAACTGAATTTCGTGCCGATGATGGTCATCACGGTCCTCTCGTCTGGACTTGCAACAAAATCGACGTTCCGATCCATACGGAGCGCTTCATCTGGAGCGGCTCCATTGGATAAAGCGCTTCAGCAACGCTTCCAACAGTACCTCGCCGATGATGTACCATTTAGCCAGGTATGTAGCACGCTGATACTCATTTTCCTCCTCTAACGAATCGCAAGGTTTGGGGCATGAGCGAAACAAGCTGCATTGCCACCATGTTCTACTATCCGGAATACGATGACACAGGAAGCGTTGGTCGCTTCATTCCCAATTGTGACGCGAAGCTGGTCGATGACAATGGGAACGATGTCAGTCGACCGGGTATTCGAGGAGAACTTTGCGTTCGAGGACCGATCGTCATTCGCGGATATTTTAATAACCCAAAAGCGAACCAAGAAAGCTGGGATGAAGATGGATACTTCCACACTGGAGACATTGGCTATTGCACAGAGGACTTGATGTTCTACATTGTCGACAGGAAAAAGGAGCTGATCAAGGTTCGCGGCTTTCAAGTGGCTCCCCCAGAGCTGGAAGCCGTTCTCCTGGAACATCCCAACATCATCGACGCTGCCGTCATTGGAGTTCAGAGGGGGAGCGAAGAATCGGAGCTTCCAAGAGCCTATGTGGTCCTTCGGTCAGGAACTTCTGCATCGGAATCGGAAGTACGGGATTTCTCGAGTGCTCGCCTGGCGAGATTCAAGAATCTCGATGGGGGCGTGCAGTTCGTTGAGTCCATTCCAAAGAACGCAAGCGGGAAGATATTGAAGAACCAGTTGAGAGAGTGGGCGAAGAAGGAGATGAGGGCCCGTCTCTAGAGCTAGGAAGTCGATCGACATTTGGGGCAGAATTGATGGCATGCGCTTGGGGTATTTTGGGAGTTTCCCTTTATACGAATACAGGTACATAGAGGCGAAAGCACCATTTCATACTCCTTCAACTGCCTGTGTGGTGAGGCCCGCGGGCTATCCACATTTATATACTATCTCCATCCTTCTTGGATTGACATGCGAATAGGCCGGTATAGAACCGAGGTGGGATTTCAGCCCATGACAGATTCCTTGCTCTAGTTCTCATCGTCTGCATAAGGATTCCCTTAATAATGACCATGAATCATGACGGATGAGGACTGGTACTTTGTGTCTAACCCATTTGGCGCTTTGTCGGTGTCGGTGTCGCGGAATGGGAACAAGTTCCTCTCGGATCAGTGGTAGTCAGTGTATCTTGTTTCTTGATAATATTTAATCGCCCCTTGACGTTATTGTCTTTGCCATCCATCTATTCACAATCTCGCCTAGTCGAGGTCTGAGTCAAGGGACCTGTATTTCCCTCTGAAGTTGTGTCTGACAAGTCTACCTGGTATGTATAATAGTTGACCTTGGGTCGTAGTCGACCATGTGTCTGTTGTGAAAGCCGGATAGGCTTTAGCTCCAATTTGACAGAAGCTGTGGAATGTTCGGATTCTAGTGGTGACCTCTTGCAGGTATGAGGCAATTGCGCTCTCTATCCTGTCCGATTTCCTAACTTGGTATTTCGTTGGTGTGGCCGTAAATCGCCTGTACTTCCATCCTCGCGAAATTCCCAAGCTACAAACTTACTACTCAGTCAAAATGGTACAAGTTCTATTACGATATCATCTATATCAGGAAATCTGGCTTCGGGCTTCAAGGTATGCATAGTAGATACGGTATGGTATGATAGATGCTACTCAGTCCTATTAACTCACTCCTCCGGAGCCAATCGTTCGAGTTACCCCTAAGGAGCTTCATATTCCGAATTTCGAATTTTTGGATGAACTCTCGGTAGCCACATCGTACAAGTTGGTTGCGTTTACAGAGATAGTACCTTAGTAACATGCCAATAAATCGTTGCTGCTCTTCCCCTCCCCTACTCCTCACCGAATCCGCTCTGCCCCCTGCACGGCTCCCAACTCGTAATCGTTTCCCTCTCCAGGTCTATCGTCATTGGTATTACTAGCCTCATCGTCGATGGTCGTCATCTATGCCCCAATTCTCGCCCTCAACTTATGCCTGACTAGACAGAGGGTAGCTCGACCATTACCATGGGGGATCATGTCGGTGGTCAGAACCAGTTCTGGGAAACTGCCCCAAACCATGGTATTGAGCGTAGGATGAAAGCATACAGTGGTATATGCTATCCGAAGAACTTATGAATCCTTAACATTGACTGAAATCCCTAAGGCCATCTATTGCTTTGGCGATACTAACAAAACTTATTGCTACTAACACTTATTTGTTCTTTGGATCGCTTAGATACCGTACCGCTTTCATAGACGGTATTACGCGGTGTATACAAAACTTCAATCCATAATTGACTGATATAAATATTTAGAGTCGCACCCAAATGCTATGCAATGTCAAACCAATACAGGAAATTGCACCCTGCCCGTATTCTAGATCTTGGGCTGAGCGGCGCCAGTAATGCCGACAGGTGCACTATGGTTAGTCACAGTGCCGCTCCTAGTCAAGAGCTTTCTCTTCCCATCCTTGGTAATGGGCAGGTCGTCGTCATACTCGCGAATGTAGAACGCCCAGTCGCACGTTTCGTCTAATTCGGTTTGACTATAACCGTTGCCGAGCCAAGCGAACCTGTTACCTGCATACCCAATCTCGTAGTCCTCCAGACGTAGCTCCTGCATGGCTTCAATGTAATGGAGTGTCGACCCGGGCCATAGTGCGGTGACGGTATCGTCGACCGCAGAGGCCTTGTACCAGGAGCGGCAAGGATCGGCCCAGACGGTGCGCTTCATAAAGAAGTCCTTGTGGGCGACGAAGTCCTGGATCGCGGCCTTGGTTGGGGAGAAGGTGCGGATGTTGTGGGTTTGCCATCTATCGACGAGTTTGAGCATGTAATCAGCTTGAGTCTCTGTTTGTTGTGTTAGTGAGCTGCCTTCATCGGTACAGGACTGAATAGATCTTACCAATGGCAGAGAGGACAGGGCCGTTTCCGATAGGGCAATTCGGGCCAAGGAACAACATGTAGTTTGGGAATCCTGCCGCTGAGACACCAAGGTAAGACTCGGCCTGTTTTGCCCACTCGTCCTGAAGGTTGGCACCGCCAGGTCCAATGATTGGGAAACGAGGCTTGAAGCCCGTGTCAAAACCTGTCGCGCATATCAAGACATCAACAGGATATTCATTCCCATCGTCGCAAACACAGCCGCGCTCGGTGACTTTGGTGATCTCGCCATACACAACTTGCACGTTCTCCTCGCCAAGAGCTTCGAGGTAGCCCACTCCTGGAGTCAGGCGGCGGCACCCAACAGACCATTCCGGGATAAGTTTTTCCTCGAGGAACTGGTTGTGGAGCTTCTCTTTCATCAACTCCTTCATGTAGTCGCTAGTTTCGCTGTTGATCTGGGAGCCTTTGAGGAAGATGCCGAACTGAGCGTTGAGGCCCGATTCAACGTTCTTTCGGTACTCGGTGAGGGCACCTGGCTTCCCTACAAAGTCCTGTTTCTCCTCCTCCGTGTACTTATGTTGTTCGAGACCTTGAACCGGCGAGACCCAGGTTGGCTCACGGATGAATGTTGTGCATTTTGACACATGTGGTTGGATGGTGGGGAGCACTTGGATACCGGATGAGCCATTTCCAATGAGGCCGACGTGTTTGCCCTTTAGCTCGACGTTATCATCCCAGCTGGCGGTGTGCAGCAGTTTGCCCTTATAGTCGTGGAGGCCGGGGATGGCCGGCCATTTCCAATGGTTCAAAATACCGGAGGCATTGATGAGAATGTCGCAGGAGTCGACGATTTCGGTCCCAGCGTTGAGGTCTTTAATGTGGACATCGTATCCAGCTTGCTTCTCGTTCCAGTAGGCGCCGGAGACCTCGTGCAGAGGCTTGATATACTGGTGCAGATGATATTTCTGTGCGAAATCCTCAAAATACTGATTGATCTCTTTGCTGCCTGCGTACACGGCAGACCAGTCAGGCTTCGGTTCGAAGGACCAGGTGTAAGTATGCGCAGGGATATCGCAAGCACATCCAGGATACCTGTTCTCGTACCATGTCCCGGAAATCTTAGGGTTCTTCTCATAGATGGTCAAGCTATAGTTCTGGAAATGGCGTTGCAACTTGTATGCTAGTAGAAGACCTGAAGCACCAGCACCAACGCAGATGATACGGACGTGTCGTTCGGCATGGATTGGGCCCAGGAGTCGACGTTGGGCGTCACTCTCTGGGTTGCCAGTCCGAGGAGGTATCTGGTTGGCCATGGTGTGAGGAGAGGACTAAGTCGTGAGAAGTGCAGTCGAGTCCCGGACAAGGCGAAAAGAACACGAGAAAGAGCCTAGAGATATCTCATGGAGAACTGAAGGAGAGAGGGAATAAATTCAATGCTCCTATTTGAGGCAAACCAATATCTCATATAGCGGACAATCTTTGTCCTTCGGTAACCCATCGGGAACACAACAACACCGTAGAGTAAGACCCCTCTCCTTTCCAAAATCATTGCACAAAGTTAGTCTCATAATCTGTTAAACGAAGCTGCCGCGGTGTGGACTAGTTGAAGATTCCAAGGCGTTGTAGTTGCGGTCCCGCCCTATGGCGGTGGGAAACTGATTCATGGGTTTTGGGTATCAATGGGGTCAGTGGATTTTGACGAGTCAATTTGCGGGGAGAATCTGGATACTGTTTTCCTGTTGAGACTCGAGCGGGTTCATCATTTGTGGACCGAACCCAGCCTCGGGAAATATCCCAGGTGCGCTCTGAAGCATATTGCGGTCGAAGGGAATCGGAAACAAGAAAATCGTCGTTGGTTCTTGAAGTCGTCTAGTCTGGGGTCTGCTCTTTTCAATTTCCACTTATTCAGTCTTCAACTATAGTCTGTACCGGCAGCCAGTCCGATGGTTATTTTGGCCGATCTGCTTAAGCAGTAGATATTTGATACCACAATCACGCACTCGCGGCGGCGGAATGGACTGTTGCTATTAAATCTCAGCTGCGGAAGTAAATTTCAAGAAGATGAGAACGTCTTGCGCCTACCGCTTAATTTCCCCCTTTCCTAGTCCCGCCTGTGGCTCTACTACCATCGAGATGGTACGTCCAGCAAACCATGATCGGGTGCAGGTGGTGTGAAAAGCGGCTAAGAGACGCTCCAGTCTCCACACATCATGTTGCTAGTGGGGACTGGGGAGCCATTCCCCGCATCGTGATGATCTTATTACAACCTAGCCGCTCGGCACTCACGCGCTTCTCCGTAAGACCGCAACAGACACCTGGAATGTTGTGCAGAGAAATGAATTAGGATTTAGGGGTAGCTCCCCTGTTATTAGTCGTTCGGATATGGTTCGGATCTTCATCAGGGGTGAATGAATCAGTCGCAAACAATACGCGAGTCCTTCCTGACTCGTGCAAAGTCTGATCAGCTCAGATGCGGCACTCCGTCCATGCAGAATCCATCTCCACACCATTCTGGTTTAATAAACGTGCTAATTACATACCTGCTGATGTAGGTTCTCTTCTCGCGTTCTCTCCCTAGGGGGCTACTCGCTGGCATTGTTTTGTATGCTGAGGATCTCGCACCAAGACCGATGCTGTATCTCTATAGGTTCACCACATTTTGGAAACCCTCGATCACTTTCTGATCTACATTGGACAACTGCTCCTCATTGAACGCTGCCTGTCCCCCAGCACTGTCCACGGCCTGGGTCATGACTTCTCGCACCACCGCGATGATGTTGACGGATCGTATCGGATCGGAGAACGTAAGATGTCGTCGCCTAGCGTCCTCAGGGGTATCGGGAGGACTGAGGGTATCCGCTGAAAAGACCATTGAACTATGAAGGGAGATGTTAGCAGACCGAGATTCCCATTGCTTTGAATGGGACTTACTCGACGGTTTTATCATTCTGGCCCTCGATGAGCTCATAGATGATATCCGTCCACGACGTCATAAAGTCCTGCAGTCGTTCCAGTGCGATTTTCGTCCCGAGTCCGAACACTTTCGCCAATCCCAAATTCATCAGCTTTCTCTTTCCCGGATCGCCAATGTGCTCCGTATGGTTAAGCCATTCATCAATCAGCCATCGCATGCTTCCGAATTCTTCTCCTTTCGTACTCGCGATCCGGTCCGCGTCGGGAGACTGTTGGGTCCGGAGGTTCACAGCAGAATGCCCCCAGAGAGCTAGGGCATCCTGGAGTATCAACGGATTGACCCACGCAATCCGGGCAATGATACTGAAAAGGTCACTTTCCATTGGGCCTTCCACGTGTTTCCATTTCCAAAGTCCGTTTTCTTCCGTGCTGGCACCTTTCTGAGCCCGTCCTCCAGCCGTCTGTCCTCTGGATACTCGACGAATATAAGTCCCTCGCAGCGCCCCGAGAATATATCCCCAAATCCCGCAGTCGATCATGTCACTGACAAGGATTCTGACACCTGCTTCACCACCCAATCCAGTGGCTACACAGATTATCGTCTCCAGGAACGCAAGCACGAGGCCATGGGAATCCGGTTTCAAGGATGAAGGCCGGTCACTCTCATCATTGTTGCCGTCGACCAATAGAGACGCAAGGACTCGGAGCAGTTCCTTTCGGGACCAATCGCCGAGCACATCTCCTGGCACCAGCAAAAGATACCCTTCGGCAACCTGAACCGCGACTCGCAGGAGCTCCGAGTCCATGGTAAGCAGTTCGAAAAGAAAGGAAATCAGTTGCATCAAGCCATCTGAAGGCCTGGGCTGAGATGGGGTGTTCGAGATGACCTTCTCCCACAAGTCTAGGACATCTTCGAGTAGGAATACCCGGAGGGGTGAACCCGGTTCCAGCGTTGCTCGAATTATTGCGACGCATTGTTCCTGATATCTCACAGATTGGTCTTTCATCGCAACGACAATGCTTCCCAGCGTAGTGCAAATGAACTGGTTCACGATTTCCGTTCCTTGCTCCTGGTGCCATAGCTCTAGGAGCGTGGTGACGATATGGTCCCCGTGTGGCGTGATCCTGTCTTCCATCCGCTCGACGATGATACGGATGGTCTGGAGCAAGGTCAGTTTGCTTTCGATCATGTCGAACTCCCGTATCATGAGCAAGAGCCGTTGCATGATGATGTCCGCAAAAGGTTGGAACACCTCCGGATCGAAGTCCCAATCATTGATAACTTGAGAGAGCTCTCGGCCCGCGGCAAATCGGACTACGGGGTCGTTGAGGATATCCGCCGGGTTCAGAAGATGCGTAAAGATTTCGTAGACCACGGCTCGGTCTTCTTTGGGTATATCGATCGAAGTCCACTGGCCAAGCAGGATCGCTGTCCGGCGCCGGAGAATGTGATAGTTCGGCCTCGTCATTTGGACTTCAGCCACCAGGGTCCGTTTTAGAAAGTCTGAAAAGTTTAGGTGCCCCCGTAACACCGCAGCCGCGAGCCCGATCGCGGTGTACACCGACTCTTTCAAGAGGACATCGCCTTGGTCAGGACCTGCGTAGGAAGAATCAGCAACGATCGCAGCATATAATAGTAAAAGTGAATTACCTGCGACAGAATTGAAGGTGTTCAATAGAGGGCCAATAGCCATGGACTTGTAGTGGATCGATATATCAAGGAATATCTTTTCCGCGCAACCCCGAATGGAGTATTCGTATGCACTGGAGTCGCTGTCCTCTCTCTGCTCCCAGTCTTCGGGATCGTCACGCCAGTCCACCAGGTCCTTTGCGGTAAAACAGAAATACTTCGTCACGATCGTCCCAAGCATCTCCATTACCATCGATTCCGTGAACATCTCGGACTTCATCACCTCCCTCGAGTTTTTGATCTCCCCCTTCTCTTCCTCGTGTCGATAGCGTAGCGACGGCGCCGGATTGAATATCATCTTCATACAGGCGCGCAATAAGAGCAGCCCTTTCAAAGCCAGCTTCTCCTCCAGAGATACCTCATCTTGGTCGTCGGCGTCAAGGTCATTGACATTCTGTACGGATTCGGGGGCCCTGGCACGGTATTTGTCACCAAACCCGGCTGCAATCGACCAATATGATTTCGCTACATCTAGGGCCCCGGGGAGTAGTACAAAGGCCTGCGGATGGGTTTGACACATGGCCAAGTGGAGCTTCGCGAGCTGGTATGCATGGTCTTCGATAATCTTCAGGGTCGTCTCTGGCAAACCGGCTCCGTTCTGGGAGGCAATGCCCAGGTAATCTCCTAGGTGCTTGGCTGCAATCTGCCAGAACTGCTTCACTGTGTCGTCTCGATTTGGAAATTCATATCCGCAGATGAAGAGACGCCGGAGGATTTTGAGCGCAAGCTGCGTCTGTCTGATGACAATGATGAATGCCTCCATGTCTTGAGGTCCCGTCTGCATGGATTGCTGCCATGAAGCACATGCACTCATGTACTGCTGCCCGATGATCGAGACGAACTTCGGTCCCACCTGGAGCAAGACCTGACGATGCCGAATCATCCGCGCCGTGGAGAATTCTTTTACGAGCTGAAGAATGCAATCCAAAGCTCTTAAGTTACGGATGTGATCGGAAGCTTCGTAGCTTTGCTGAAGGGCGGCGGCTAGGCTATCGAAAAGATCAGGCCATTCCTTCGGGTAATCGAACCGCCCAATTTTGGCCACCATCAAGGCCGTCATCAAGCCGAGTCGATCATCCTCTTCGGACAGAGCCAGTTCAATCAGTCGAGAACGAACTGCGTCCTTGTCCTCCTTTGGGAGCGGCTGCGATGTCGCCCTCCTCCAATGATGATCTGCCACCCTTCGTAGCTGGATGATAGCCAGCTGCCTCACATCTCCCGGTAGCGATTGGTCCGCGGCGGCGCCCTGTCGCGAATATCAGCCCGGCCCAATGATTTGAAGATTAGACATTTACTTGTAAAAGGGGGAAATAGCCGCTGGTGTGCTCCCATTCCTTAAGCTGGTTCGTGGCCACCTGAATCTGCTGGTTGTTGCCACAGACGCCCAAGGCCAAGGTCCGACTCAGAGCGCTCGTAGACAACGGGTTCGCCGCCCCCGGAGCCTCGATTGCAAACTCCATGTTGAAATTTGGAAGGTGAAAACGGACCGAAAACAGGGCGTAATGGCGTTCAGTGAAATGAAAAGTGTGTGGGGGTTAGAATCAACTGAGCTGGCTCAGCACTCCATTAGAGAAATTCTGCGGTGAACGCGATATATCATCGTAGGGGAGCAACACAATGAAAAGTCTAGACTAGAATAAGTTATAAGAGACGCGACGCATTGATTTCACTCCCAGACTTATCAACGGAAAAAGTTCGAGTGGATAGATGTCTGCTTGCGTCAGTCGCTGTGAAGTGATCCACTCCGCTAATTCACCATACAATTCCACCAGACCTTTCAGGCGTATCAACAGAATCGGACGGAGGTGAGAGTGGTCGACGTTGGAGATCGCTTCCTTGTTGTTTCTGGTCTGATACTTCAGTCTCGCTTGCATGTGGTTGTTTTCACGCGTCACGCCTAATCAAGTGCGGGCGGTTTGGAAACATTTTGATTGGCCACAACGGCATTAGGATATCAGGTAGCAATAAAGAACCCCCAAGGAGATGTATAGAACTCCGTGGAGTAGCATTGCTCGTATGGTCCTTGATTATTCGGCTACGAAGCTAACTTTTGCCTGATCTAACGCTACATCGTAATCTCCAGATGAACGCAATTTTCGACTATTCAGAGTTCATATCGTCCCGCAGGACATCATGATGGACTCAACTCCTGAATCACCGCCCGGTGCTACCAACGCTCCACTATATACTGCAATTTGAATCATAAGCGGTACTTCAGCTCAACAAATCATCGAAAGAGCTTCCGCCTCCTGGCTTCTGTCCCGTTGATTGCGTCCCAGGCGTACTGCTGCCGGCACTCGACGACTGAGGCGCCCCCCAGATCCCAGCGCTCGACTTCTGCTTCGCCATATCTGCCATCGTCATCGGTTTCGACGTCGACGTCGGCTTCGTGAAATTTGTTCCCGCCAGCAGATCGGCGAACGGATCGCTGGATGCCGCGCTGGCAGGTTTGGCGCCCGGCTTCGCACCGATAGAACCCGATGGCGAGAGAACGCCGCTTCCGTTCGCGGCGGGGGTCGAGGCCCCGGTCCCGGCCTGTTGAGCGATTTGGACGGACGTGAAGTAGTTCGGACCGGAAGGCTGGAACCCCGTTGGCTTGGGTGGCTGCGACATGAGGCTGGGTTGTGATGCGGTCATGGAGGGGGTCGCTAGTGGTGGGGAAGATACGGACGCGAAGAGGGTGTTGATGTTGGCGCTTTGCGTCCCTTGGACGGGTTGCGGCGCCGCAAACTGGGTCGCGGATGTAGTGGTCGACACCGAGGCAGGAGGTGGAACGCTGCCAAGTCCGGTTGAGGTCGTCGCGGCTGGCTGTGTGGGGGCGGCGGACTGGAAGTCGTCGAACTCATCGTCATCCGCGGTGTTAGCCAATGCACTATGCCCCCCCGAAACAGGTTGCTTCCCAGTCGATGTTGATGGGCCCGATGGGGCCGGGTCATCGAACGAGAAAAGGTCCACTTCTGGCTGCTTTGGCTTCTTATTCTCCGCTTTTGGCGGCGGCGCTGTCGAGGAGGTTCCATTATTGCGCTTCGGTGTCGCAGCGACCGCGCCTTCGTCATATTCGTCGTACTCTTCAAACCGATCCCCACGGGCCTGAGTATCTGAAAATCCAGATTCGTTGCCACCAAATCCACCGCCGTCCCCATATACTCCTCCGCTATACGCTCCATAGGCTCCTCCGGTTTCGCTACCGAAGCCTCCATACCGCGATGAACCTGAAAGGCCTCCGATGCCTCCTCCCAATCCTCCTTCGACTCCCCCATACTTGTTCCGGTTCGCTCGTGCCTTCTTTCGCTCGGTTCGGATCCGTTCGACGTCACTTAGAAGTTCTGCCAGCTCCTTGGCTCGATTCCGCACATTGATGCCTTGGTCCTTTCCGTTGTTGTCGATGAAGTGGAATTGGCGAAGCATCTTCATTAGAGACAGATGTGACCGGGCATCGTCAATGACTCGTTCGGAGCCGTTCTTGATTAGGAACTCGAGAAGTTGAAGCGCCTAACATAGCATTAATTGATGATTGAGGTCGTGCCATGATTTCCCAACCTTGTATATCTGCCTCCATTCTTCCGCCGTCTTCTCCGTAAAGCGCTTGTAAAGGATGGGCATAATCTCATTTAGAAGCTGGCTGTCGACGTATAAGCAGATCGAATACGCACAATCTCGAGAGGCATACTAATTGAACGTTGCGCTCGCAATCTCCTGCATCAGCGTGGACGATGCACCCCATGGTTCGTTATTCGTGGCTTCTCGGACCTGCATCACGGTCAATCAACTGCACCTGGCATTCGCACGGAATCAGAACCAGCATACCTTCGCCTCCATCTCTGTGTAGTTCATCACGGCTACCATGGCCCATTAGTTCATTCCGACTCGATCCGTCGCGACGCTGCTCACCATTTTGGACTTTCCGGATGCCAGCTTTGACATCGTAGAGGCTCAGGTTGCTGACCTGGTCTTTGAGATTGTTGAAATCCATGGCGGTTCAGAGTTCTCAGGATCAAACGATGGAGCGGATCCTGACGGACGTGCAATGGAAAAGTTTCCTCCTCGAGAAGCGTGCGTGTGAGGTGGATTCTGTAGGTCAGGAATTATAGCGGTCATAATGTCTGGTCTCCGAATTGAAGAGTAATGAGCGGCAGGCGCTACCCCCGGTCCGGGGCGTGGACTAAACCCGATTGGGCTGCTCCTTCTCTGCAGTCATTCTCCTTGCTCACTTTCAGCAGCAACATACGAATTGCGATAATTCGATAAAGTACAACGTAGACGACAATATTGATTAGAACTGTCCACGTTGATGACTAGAATCTACAGATTATAATTATGCAATCGATTCCACACAGATTGAATCATTATATACTCTACAAGGGGTTCTTGGTTTGGTGCCTGGGCACTCGTATATACCAGTGTTTATGGTAATATTACATGAACAGGATCCGTTTATAATGTCGCCAATTGCTGGAAAGCATAGAGCATATCGTCCCGCAGATCCTCCCAATTCTCAACCCCTATGCTGACCCTCAGGACCCGATCATCCACCGTTGCGTCGCTCATTTTCCTCCATTCGATCAAGCTCTCGACGCCCCCGAGGCTGGTCGCATGATGGAACAGCCTCAACTTCGATGGCAGCGTTCGTGCCAGCACTCTCGACTTCATGGAGATGACGAACACCGGCCCGAAGCCGTTGGGGAGCTGTTCCTTCACCCATTTCTGATCGGTCTGGAGACTCGCGTGCTTGACCTCAGCGACGACCTTCCTCGCTGCCTCGGCGTCACTTCCCTCCCCGTTCGTGACCAAGTCGTGGATCCACCGGACCAGCTTCTCCGCGTTCCCGCTCTGCCGTAGTACCCGCAGCTCCAACGTTCGGAGACTGCGGATGGCCAGCCAGCCCTCCAGCCCGCCCATGACGCTGCCCAGGAAGATCCGCTCAACGAACATCTTCTCCCACCACTCCGTGTTCTTCGTCACCAATACGCCGCAGAGCAGGTCGCTGTGTCCGCCGAGATACTTGGTTCCCGAGTGCATGATGATGTCGGCGCCCAGCTTGAATGGCTCCATCAACGGCGGCGGCGCAAACGTCGCATCGACGCTCACATATGCGCCCCGCTTACGCGATTTCTCCACTAGCTCGACAATGTTCACCGCCTCCCCGGTCGGGTTGATCGGGCTCTCCACATGGACGAGATCGCCCTTCCCGAGCTTCGCCTCGTCCCATGCCGCATCATCGAATAGATCGACCTTCTTGCAGCCGCTGAGCTTCGAGTGCAGGTCCAGCACGCCATGGCACCCGTGGTAGCCGCCCCCGATCGCCACGACTTTGGGGTTGAGGAAAGTGAGAAGAGCGTGGAAGGCAGAGAGGCCGGATGAGTAGGTGAGGGCGTGGCCGTGGAGGAGGGAGGAGAGGATGGTCTCGATGCGAGTGGACGTGGGGGAGGAAAGGCGGGAGTAGACGGGGGCGGTCAATGGCCCGAACTATTTAGACGGTTAGACCTTTTGAAATTGCATTATCGAAACTTCGGTTGCAGGATTACCTCGCCGTCATTAATTGGGACCAGCAGCTCCGGGTCGTCGCTGTAGCGGAATGTCGTTGACAGGTGAATTGGTGGAGCGACATCGGTGTGGCGATTGAGCGAATCGTCTGCATGGACACTCAGTGTCGAGAGGGAGTAGGGTAGGTCCTGACGGGCATTTTCGTTGGTGGCCATGGTTGGAAGTGGAAAATTGGGCACTCAAAGGGAAATTATAAATTGTCGGATTGCCAGATGTAGATGTACAAAGTTAGAGGGTTTTCTCTCAAGTCTGGTAGGTATGGCACGGCACTAGTTGTACGGAATACAGAATAGAAATTACGCCTTTGGATGGAACGGAAAGAGAGCCGAGCGGGAGGGACCGCGATGACGTTTTCCAGCAAACTCTGGGACATGGAGGGGTTAAAGCAGTCTTAAAGCACCACGAAGCTCCAGTCACGCATCTACAACAACACATTTGCACATTGCATCTGGTTCACAAGGATTGCGATTTTCTCGTTATAACCCTCCATTGATGCCTAGCCATCGCTATCTAGAATGTCAAGTTTGGACTTTTTGGGAGTGCGTTGCTAGCCATGGGAGTGACGGGGAAGCCGAACAAGCCATAATGACCGGACGCAGCGAACCGTTTAGGCGACGCCACAGCCCTGGATCACAGGCTCCTTGTTGGTGTTGCGACCGTACTTGGGGGCGCCGCTCGAGGTGCCGACGGCCTCGATGCTGCGGACGACCTTGTAAGACGACGTGTCGCCATCCGGGACCTGTCCGAAGACAACGTGCTTGCCGTCCAACCAAGAGGTCACGACGGTGGTGATGAAGAACTGCGAGCCGTTGCTGTCGATCGTTAGTTGCCAATGTCGTGCGTGGTCAAGTGCGAAGTATCCTTACGTGTTGGGGCCAGCGTTCGCCATGGACAGGAGGAACGGCTTGGTGTGCTTGAGCTTGAAGTTCTCATCGGGGAACTTCTCGCCGTAGATGGAGCGGCCACCGGTTCCCTGGAGGGGATTGTCAGTCACACATCCCAAGCAAGTTGGCGGGGTGCGGGCGTACGTTGCCACGGGTGAAGTCACCACCCTGGAGCATGAAATCCGGGATCACGCGGTGGAAGCGGGAGCCCTTGTATCCCTGGCCCTGCTCCTTCTCGCACAGCGCGCGGAAGTTCTCGGCCGTCTTGGGGACGACATCGTCGAAAAGTTCGAAGTTGACACGACCGGATTGCTCTGGAAGAAACACGCGGTTAGTCGAGAGCTACACCGGCATGGTCGGAGTCGACGGAAGCTTGCTTCGGGTCGTTTAAAGCTTGGAGATGGACGGAGATGGACGGAGATGGACGAAGAATCATATTGACTTACCAACATCCAGATTTCCCTTGCTGATGACGTTGCCTTGGGCGTCGACGTCGACGTTGGGGCCAAACCATTTGCAATCGAAGTAGACTCGGACGACCTAATTGAGAGGAGTTAGCGATCTGAGAGAACCGCCGGAGCGATGGGAGTATGACTGACCATATTTGCGGATGATTGATGAAAGGATCGGGTACGAATTGCAGGTTGGAAGAGAGGTTTGTTGTTGCAGAAACGAAGCGTGGAGGTGGAGGGAAGAAAACTTCTTGAGGTGAAAGCGGGGGCGGGGCGAAGCAACGACACAACTCTGATGGGATGGTGGGGCATCTTGGAAGGTTCCTGTGTCAAGGTTCCTGTTTTACTGCAGCAATTTTACTTGTGACGGTCAGCTCTTCCGAATTTCAGGGATGCGGGACGGTAGTAAGGAACTGTATGGAAGGAAAACGTGACAAGGTTACCGCTAAGGGCAGCTTGCTTAGGAGTTAGGAGGGAGTTAGGGGAAATGCAAGTGACCGGAAGAGTCGACTGTAGCTGGAAGGAGCTTGAACAGAAGCTTGCCCGAAATGTGACCGGTCACAGCTTGAGGGGTTTAAAGAGAGGACGTCGAGCTGATGCAATCATCCAGGTTCAACCTTGAGCCACACACGCCTCTGATGCCATAGCGGTAGTTATTCCATAGAGTATTCCGCACTGTAACTCCCTATCAAGCACCAACCTCAGTCAAGGACTCAAGGTCAACTGACCAAGCTGTCGGACATCTCAACAGCCGTGCGGAGAGGTGATTACGACATCAAAGATCAACGGAGACTGGTTGGCAATGGCTCAGGTCTGCCCGGAATCCGGATGGTGTGCTCACTGTTCCTGTCTCCTCCAAGATCCGTAATACAAGCAACAATAGAAGGATTCGACCCAACCGGAAGTCGTCAGGGAAACAAGGGAAACTACGTACCTCGAACCTTCCGATTCTTGAAGTGTCACCAACACGCGACGGGATCGACCGAATTCCAAGAAGATAGGTCCAAAATTGGAACCAAAGAGTGTACGAAATGCAAGAGTTAGATATTATAATGGAATGATGCGAAATGCTGATGGTTAGCCACGTTGGTTCATGTTCAAGGTCAGACAATCTTTGGGAAAGTTTTCCGATTTTCTCACGCCTGAACGCCTCTCATGACTGGGTCCGAGCTTAGCCCCTGACTAGTTACAGTAAAACAGACCTGAGCACAAAACGCACTTGAAAATCCCGAATTGCGTGGACAGCGTGACAGACGTGACCGGGTCGATGAACCGCATCGACCAGACTTCGTACGACTTGATCGCTCATTTCCCATGGGGGAAGCACGGTGATAAGTTCGTGGAATGCGACAAAGGATATTCCACTCAATCCCGATGTCAACGGAGGACCATCGGATTGAAAAAAAATACTGACGTGGGAATTGAGAATAGACAACCCTCTCTCACTTGACGACAAGTGCCTTCATCCGCCGAACCAGCTCCTCCCACATCGCCTGCTTGGTCTCCTTTGTCCTGGCGATTGCATCCTGATTCTCCCTGGCTCGCCGATATAGGAAATGCAGACACTGCTTCGTCGTGCCCCAAGCCACCAGTTTGAATGTCCTCGGCATATCAAGCTGTACCCCGATAGTTTCTCTCTCTCGCTTCGCCGCCTTCGAATTTTGCACCAGTTGGCAACCGATTTCGTCCGCCATGCCATAGAGCTGCGCGTAAGCCAGCTCTCCCAGCTGCTCACCCTTCGTCGCCAGCTCGTTCCGGATCTCTTGCGCCTTGCGAACGGAAGTCTGGTTGTGAGTGGCAAGCATGATGCTCACGTTGGGAAAGGCGTGGCCCTCGGATCCGTCGTGTGGCTGGAGCCTTCCTAGGTACTTTCGGCGTATCAGGCTCTCCGTCAGCTCATCGTATGCTTTGTCCGTTTCCTCTTTCGACGACCAGATATTGGACCGGGGCTCCGAGGACATGTATGCGCCGCGCACCAGCTTCACTCCGAGCGTGTAGCCCTCCTGCTCTGCCTCCGCAAGGCCACGAGCCAGTTTTCCGGGACAGGATGTGAGATACGCTTGGTAGGTGTTGTATAGGATCGCTCCCTTGGACCTGTCTCGATTGTACTTCTTCTGCAGCGCTTGAGTCCATCGATCGATCCCAATATTCGTCGACTCTTCTTCGGCACTGGGGAGAAGCTTCACGTTCTTGGCTGCAGCGTGGTCGCATATCTCATGGATCGCTTGCTCCATGGCCGGTGATGGAAGCTGGCCGCCTCGGAGGAGTCGTAAGGCTTCAGTACCCAGGCCCGACCACCTGTACTCTCATGTCAGCAAATCTTTGTTTTTCATTCTTTTTTGTATCAGAATCCGTACTTCAGCCCGACGAATTCGCCGGAGTCCGTCATGTCCACGGAATCGGTCATCCCCTGTTTCCAAGTGGCAATCTCGCTCTTTGTGACCTCCGGGTCGACTGCATTGGTTGCTTTTTCATCCAGCAAGAGTTCTAGGGCATATTCCAGGATAATGCCATCGAAGCCCACGCTCTTCATTGCCGATGTCGTTCTGCGTACTTCCTCCTTGGTTTCACCGGCGCAGAACTGGGCATAGAGCGTTTGCTTGAAGATCTGCCGGAGTATCGGGTTTCTGTCCACGTCAATGATAGTGGACTTCGACTCCAGAAGACGGTTGAGTACTGCAAAACATCCTCGCAACAGGAGGGGTGAAGCTGTCACTGAAGCGATGAGGTAGGTTCGAAGGACGTTGGGTGTTGGGAGAATTGAAAGTGGAGTGATCGACGAATTCGAGCTGTAGGATTTCGGCTTGGCTACGACACCAGGAAGAGTTCCGATGGAAGCGGTGGCTGCGGTCTTCCTGTTGCTGGTGTGGATTTTCCGTACGCCACCCGCACATTCCCTTCGCGAGATCCAGATGATAGCAGTAGGCAGACCTCTCCACGACATTACTGATCGGGCTGCTGATCAAGATCAGCTAGATGCAGCGTGTGTGGAGAATGGAAGATTATGGAAAATTGCAGTTGAATCAAAGATCCAGGTACACGCTCGCATTATATGGGGGGGAAATAAATAAGTATTCGGACTGGAGTAGATGGAGGTGTGAGCGGATGCGATAGCGGTACATTCCACCTCCCCGATAGTAGCCGGGTGTTGTCATACCGGACATCGTGAATGGCCATGATCGCTTACTGAGAGGGTTGGAATGGTTGTCTCTACCAGATCAAGGCAATCATATGCGCTAATTCGAAACGCATCGTCATAAGATTGCAAACAAGTCGATTGATTGGTTACCGGTCCATTCACCGCACCATTTATTCATCATTCTCCAAGAATCGCCATTAAATGAGCTTCTATTACAAGATATTGGAGGCGAAACTGCCTCCACATTTGATAGATCTACAAATCTTCCCGAGCATCAGGCAAGGCAGGTAGAAAAGTCTCTAGTAATAGTATGCTACTTTAGGGAAACATACCCTTCCACCCATTGCCGTCCGTCGTCGCTCTGGTGCCACGCATGAAGCACCAACTGCTATCGTGGGTTCTAGAACACCGCAGATGACTATCGTGGACGGAGTTCCGCCACCCCTTAGCAATAAGGCGGCTTTCCGCGGGTGACATTGGCGACCTACGTGCAGCTCGGCTTATCAACGCAGATTCTCTAGAGGTGAACCCACGATAATGCACGCGAAGCACATCCGATAGCGCAACAATCAGAGGAAATGGTGTACGCGAGGTCGGAATCCCAACAAAGAATCCAATCCTATCACGCGGTGTGCAACACTTTGACCCGAGTCATGCTGGACATTCGGGTCTGGTGAGTGATAGGAGCATGGGGAGAGCTTGTGAAAGTCCGCTTGGGTTCCGATGATGGAGATATCTTATCGGGTGAGTATCAAAGCCAAAACATGGTCGTTCTTCTACTCAACCGATAGCCAGATAGTCTGATAGCAAGGGAGAAGTCTCCATGGTTGGACCAAGAGCGACACACATGGAGTGGTGCTACTCGCTGGAGTGACAATGAAATCATTGTCCTGCAGTAGTTAGAGGCAGGCAGCTGGGAGGTGCTGTCATACAGACATGGAGCTTGGAGGGGCAGAGGTCCTGTTGTGGTTTAGCGTGTATATTAGCGTGCACTTTAGCGCCACCACGTGACTTCATGCATTCAACTTCACGACAACGCTAATATGGCTTCCATCGACTCGGATTTTGAGCCTTATGCGCTGAATCACAACGACCGTTACCACCTTTGTGATGATTGCTCCGATCTAGAGGTCTTTATCGATGAATTCGAAGCTTATCATCAGGATCTTCTCGACCCCGACCAGCCACGCCCCGTGCTAGCCGAAAACCCCAGCTCCACTCCCGCACCTCGCCTCCACGACGCAACTCTTCCTGGCCCTTCTGCATCCGAACCACCACACCAGCTTCCCCGGAACCTCTTCCCGTCCCTCCCTGGACAATCGTCTCCCGGCCCCTCCAACTCGCCCGCCAGCACGGGCACCGACAACCGCCTCTACCTCTTCGACCTCATGGATCGTATGGACGTCGACCCGCCCGAGCGGGACGAGGCGCCCCGGAAATCCAACGAGCCACGCACTGAGGCCGGCGCTGCGGCGGTGCGAAGCATCGAAGGCTGGATCGTCGTCGCGACGAACCTGCATCCCGAGGCGAGTGAGGAGGACATCACGGATTTCTTCGGGGAGTTTGGCGAGATCAAGAATTTGCATTTGAATTTGGATCGGCGAACGGGATACGTCAAGGTATGCGCGGAATCCTATCCCAGTCGGTGGATCACAGCAGTGGTATCTAACGCTGGGCGCTGACAGGGCTACGTGCTGATCGAATATACTACCTTGGCCGAAGCACATGGTGCCATTGAAGGCGGAAACGGCGAGAAAATGCTGGATAATACGATGAAGGTCGATTTCGCATTCGTCCGACCGCCGCCATCGAAAAATCGTCGCGGTGCAGACAAGGACAGAGAGCCGCCGCGGAAGACGGGAGAAAGGGAAAGGAGCAAGAGCCCAGAGGCATGAGCCCGAGGAATGAGATACATGACTAGTCGCGGGCCAAGTACTTACTCGGGTTCAGGTATGATGAGCTGGCTGATGGTTGGTGCGGCCGGGAAAGGCGACATACTTTCTATGGCACCGCCGTTGGAAGTTGGAACATGGTATCTCATAGCTGCCTATCCACCGGAATACTAGCGGCAAGGACAGGTCCAGAAATAGATACTTCTCTAAAGCGTGCTGGCTTGTTACTCTATTGCAAGCCGGCAGACCCAAAAGGAAAATTGTAGGTCCTTTGGATTCCTTGGGCGTCTCCGCTATGAGCTAACTTCAACGCAGGAACGATTAGCGCAGTCGAAGACCTCACATTCTGACCGTAAATACTCGAGGATGACCTGTTTCGCAACGAGCACATGAGATGGTTATCTTACTATCATTGAACCGCTAGGAGTACCGTACAACAGGTGGAACCCAAACGCTAAAACCCAGCCGAGTCGTCGCAACTCCTCGCCATGCATGACCGATTGCTAAAGATATCTCCGTGCACACCGTATCCCGTGTATTTGAATGTCAGTAAACCACCACCCTTGCGTCCAACGCTAGGAATCCTTTCGCCAGCCTAACCCGCTCGGGTCTCCCCGAGCCCGTACCTTACCCAAAGCGTGTCTAGGAAATGCTGATGCCGTATCCCCGGTGCGCGCATCCTTGCGAACACCTCGATTGCATCGCCGAGCGTCCATCCAAGTCGTTCCACCATATAACTCACCAGGAAGAATCCGGTCCGATTGAAGCCATAGTGACAGTGCACAGCGATCAGGCTCGTCTCGCTGTCGCTGTCGGATGCGGCGATCTCCTGGATGATGCCGTCAATGACGGCGAAAAAACCATTGGCCTCCTCGCGTGATGGCTGGAGCTTCGACACCGTGGGGAATTTATGGTATTTGATGCCCCGCCCTTCGAGACCGCGGGGCTGATACGGCGGGGTCTCATGGCTGATGTCCACCACTGCAACCACTACCCCGCCCGTCTGCCCACCCGACCGACCGTATGTCCCCGCAAACGTGTCTGGCGTGTGCGTCTCGTCCACCTCTCGCAGTACCTTCATGGCGCGAAACTGGCCCGCGATGACACCGCTGACGGCGGGAGTTCGCCTCCATTTCTCCAGGTTTTTGACGTCCCATTTGCCCTCAGTGGTAAGATGCTGCAGCTGCCAGCCGGCGTCCAGACGTGGGTCGAGTCGTCGGAGGAATGTAGCGATGAGACCGGCAAGAGCGCGTCGGGTGGTTGTCGCGTAGAGAAGAGTATGTCGTGCACCGACAAGAGTGTGCGTCTCGATGTACTGTGTAGAAGATACAGCGGCTGGCGACGCAGGTTTCGCGTTGGGGGAATCGTCGGAGTCGTTCGCGGTTGGTATCGGTGGAGCAGCAATAGGGGCGGCGGAGTCAGGTATCTCGAATGTAGAGCTCTGTTCTTGTTGCTCTTTGCACTGGCCCAGTGAGTCCACGGCGTCCTCTCTACCCAGAAATGCAAGGATTTTGGGGATCTCAGTTGGCTTTGTAATCGAATCGAGCTCGCCAGCAACGAGGAGCATGGGGCATTTGACACCTGACCAAACCCTCCGGCCGGGCGTCGTGTTCTCCTGTGCTTCGACGCCAATGTACTTGGGAAGCAAACCCCATACATATCGTCTCCATACTTTCGATACGCTCTGTATGTTGTATCGCCACTGCAGGCGTCGCGTCTCCTCGTCCGCATCTTCGCCAGCGAACCTGAGGACACTAGCGCTTTGGGGTCCTCCCCTTTGGTCGATTGACCGCCATGCTTGGAATATCGGTGTCGGGATGTTAAGCAACACTTTCGCGATCCTGGTGACCTTCTTAGACGGCGTGGTTGTCCCGGGGCATATCGGTATGATACCGATGATCCGAGATCGGAGCTGACACGCCTCTCTTGAGAGAGGGCTGGTAGCAGATGCGAGAAGCGAAAGATGGAAAGTGCCCATGCTGTGACCGATTAAGATAATTTGCTGCGGTTCTCGCGTCGTTGACTTGGGCTTGAGCTGTAGCTCATCAAGATCAATTAGTTCCATTTCCGCATCGCTGTCAGACGCGTCATCTTGTTCGGGGACCTCCATATCCAGGTGTTCATGGATGGCCGTAGCCACTAATTCAGCCAGCGCATGGCATCCATATGCCTCCCAATTGGTCGGCGCGAATTGAGACCGACCGCAGCCCGGCAGATCGATAGCAAGACATGGCCCTAGGTTCACGAGTGATGTGAGGAGTGGCGCAAACTGAGCAACGGATCCACCCAACCCGTGACAGAACACCAAGAGCGGAAGGGAACGTGGGCGAGATGGAAGTTTGCTGGCATAGGGATGAGGCCGATAGAATGTGCGTATTCTGGGATACGTAATGCCTGTGCTAGGAACGGTGTACGGCCGGAATGTTGTATGTTTCCGCAGAAGCCCCGGATCGGTGAGGTGTGGATCTGTACATGCATTAATAAGGAATTGATCAATGAAGTACTTGGGTAGTGTAAATATATAGAAGCAAGGCATGAACGTCTCCGTTTTCCGTAAGAACACATGAATGAAGCCTCTCGCAACTCTCCACAACGTACCTGTAGCAGATAAGTCATCGCCCTCTCCACCTTGAGAAGCCTTCTTCTTGCGGGCAGCAGCTCCTCGATTATGAAACATATAAAGTGATAGTAGAAGAAATGCGCCGGTGGCCGAAACCTTAACTAGGTCTGAAGGGTTTGGTAGCCATGCACTCACACCATCTGGTACCAAGGATGGGAGTTGTTCCTTGATATTTAACAGACTCCTAGCCAACGCTTCCATCGCAAAAAAGTAACTTGAAGAACACTCTAATACGATTGTTCAAAGACCATGAGCAGCAGAAGTGTGAGATAGGTGAAGCGTGGTGGCGATGACTTTATGCATGTGACAGGTGCTTTGGAAGCAGGGGAGCTGATATATATCACCGATGTGAAGGATTTCAAGTCTCTTAAAAACAAGCGATGCGGTTCAGGACGATATTTCGGCATACACGAGACTCTGGGTAGGGGAACAACAAATATTAATTACCTGGAGGATAATGCGAAACGTACCAGTAGCAAAGAAAGTCATGATTGTTGATGTTGTTCATTGTCCCATGGTAACTTGGTTCACTTCACTGCAAGTTGAAACCCGCTGGTCGTCGTTTCAATTGTCAATTAATGCTACCTGCCATTCCTACGGACTCCCACTTCTACCAACGAATACAGTAATAATATCAACTGCAGCTTGTATCAGAATCATCCTTCTCGTCATCTCGAATGGCACCGTCCTCAGTCCCAAGCCTCCTTTCAGACCCCGCTAGACGTTATGACTCCGTCATGTGAAAGCTTCGGGACGTCGATGGGACTCAGTCGGCCACTACCTACGGCACTATAAACTACAATATGACATCGGGATCGATTCCGATTCGTCTTCTGATGTCTCGATAATAGGCTGTCATCTCAATTTAAAGGCTCCTCCTTCGCGCCTTCGTGGATCGCCCTGCATTTGAAACTGCCGATAGCTCTATCTCGAGTTCCCGACATGACCGGCCAACGACGATGCTCCAATTTCGGATCGGTCATCACTCATCCCCTCCAGCGGTCCAGCCTCCTAACTGCGGTAGCTTCCCCCATATGCGGGGCTTTTCGTTAATAGCCCCTCACGCCGCGTTCGGGGAGGACCGTTGGGATTTCTCGGGACCAAGAACCGGAGAGCTTGACTTTGACTGTTTTCTTCCACCTTGTCCCTGTTACCGACGTCAGTTCGTTTATCAAAACTGCCAGGCCGGTTGCATGCACGCTGCACGATTCAACGTTGAAACCTTCCTTTGTGTTGTCCCTTCTGACGAAGACTTTCGCATGCTACATTCCTGATAGTGAAGAAACATTGTGTGACTCTGTTATCAGTCCAACAGTGCAACTACGTAGGAAGATAAATATCTAATCCTGAAGTCGCCCGAACCATTGTGATTGCGTTTCCTCATTGTTATTCCTGCCACTTTGTTAAATTATCAAGCAGCATGGCACAACCAAGTAGTACCGCTTCGGTGGGAAAGTTTCTCGACTTCTCCCCTCTACCCGATGAGGCGACAAGGGATGGAAAGCCGGTTCTCAACAAGTACTCCCAGAAGGTCACCAGGGAACACGATTTCCCGGGAGCCAAAGTAAGCAACCCCCGATGACAATTGGCTAGCAGGCGAAGAACTGAACATGAATTAGGCAATGCTCTACGCAGCTGGTGTTCCCAATGAGGAGATGATGAAGAATGCACCCCACGTGGGCATCGCTTCGGTATGGTGGGAAGGAAATCCGTGCAAGTAAGTCATGGGGACTGATTGAAGTCGGAGTATTACGCATTCTAACATACATTAGCTCTCATCGTTAGTGACTACCCTTCCCCTGTGTCAAATGACAATTGTATTGATCTATGCGGTTCGTCATAGTGCTTGATTTGGCAAAGATCGTGAAAGATGCCGTGAAAAAGCAAGGTTTCTTAGGATGGCAGTACAACACCGTTGGCGTATCCGATGCCATCACCATGGGAGGCGAAGGTACTTTGCTCAATTTATACTCGGAGATGCTCTCAGTAACCGGGACTAGGTATGCGCTTCTCGCTGCAGACGCGGGAGATCATTGCCGACAGTGTGGAAACCGTCACTTGTGCCCAGCATCATGACGCCTGCATTGCCATCCCTGGGTGCGATAAGAACATGCCAGGCGTGGTGATGGGTTTTGCCCGGCATAACCGTCCATCGATCATGATCTACGGCGGAACCATCCAGCCGGGGTATAGCCAGTTGCTGAAGAAGCCGATCAATATCAGCACCTGCTACGAGGCACAGGGGGCATGGGCGTATGACACGCTCAAGAATCCCGATGACCCCTCGCAGACGAAGGACCAGATCCTCGAAGACATCGAGAAACATGCCTGCCCGGGCCCTGGCGCCTGTGGAGGCATGTACACCGCGAACACCATGTCGACGGCTATAGAAGCCATGGGCCTCTCCATCCCTGGGTCATCAAGTACACCCGCAACCTCACCTGCCAAAATGCGGGAATGCATGAAGGCCGCCGAATATATTCGGATTTGCATGGAGAAGAATATCCGTCCACGCGACCTCCTGACTCGCGAATCCTTCACCAATGCCCTGGTCATGATGATGATTCTCGGTGGCAGCACGAATGGCGTCCTCCATTTCCTCGCAATGGCCAACACGGCCGGCGTTAACCTTACTCTCGATGACATTCAGTCAGTATCGAACCGTATCCCCTTCATCGCCGACTTGGCTCCCTCTGGCCGCTATTACATGGCCGATCTGCATGAAATCGGCGGCACACCTGCCGTGATGAAGATGCTCGTTGCCGCCGGATTACTGAATGGTGATATAATGACTGTGACCGGACAAACCCTCGCCGCCAATGTCGCCTCCGCACCGTCATTATCCCCAGGACAGGATATCATCCGTCCTCTGGACCAGCCCATCAAGGCGACAGGCCACATCGAGATCCTCCGCGGCAACTTCGCGCCCGGGGGCGCAGTCGCCAAGATCACCGGGAAAGAAGGCCTGCGCTTCACCGGCAAGGCGATGGTCTTCGACAAAGAGCACTTCCTCAACTCCGCTCTGGGCCGCAGCGAGATCCCGCGTGGTGAGAACCTCGTCCTGATCGTCCGCTACGAGGGCCCGAAGGGCGGCCCGGGGATGCCGGAGCAGCTCAAAGCCTCCGCAGCGTTGATGGGGGCGAAGCTCACGAACGTGGCGCTGGTGACCGACGGCCGCTACTCCGGGGCGTCGCATGGGTTCATCGTCGGGCACGTCGTGCCGGAAGCCGCGATGGGTGGGCCGATTGCGTTGGTTAAGAATGGGGATATCATCACGATTGACGCGGAGAATCATCGGATCGACGTCGATATCAGCGACGAGGAGATGGAGAAGCGGAGGAAGGAGTGGACACCGCCGGCACCGAACGTGACGAGAGGGGTGTTGGCGAAATACGCGCGTTTAGTGGGCGATGCGAGTCATGGGGCATTGACGGATTTATTCTGACTGATACGCATCATGAATATGTAGATATGGTCGTTCGCAAGAAATGGTTCGTGGACATGGGGAGGTTCACGCATGGGACATGGCTGTCGGTGTATCATCTCATCATTACATCTATAAAGAATACTGGACCGGAAATGGGAAGGAAAATCCAATGCGACGCTAGATACTCTCAAGAATCGCCAGCGGACGTCCATGCCAGACGAACAAAACGATGTGCACCCAAATCCACTGCCAGGCGTAACCAATATCAACCCACGTCCCGCATAACTAGTGGTAGAGTGTATCCTGCGTCCGCTTGCTCTGCTGAGCCGTCTGGTGCAAATGCTGCGTAACCTCCAGCACCGTCTCCATATGCTCATAGCCCAAGATCTGCTCCCGGCGCCGTGCCAGCAGCTGCGCGGTCTTCAGAATATTCTTAATCTGTCGCCCGTTCATATCCTTCTCCGCCAATTTCTTCACCTGCTTCTCGGTGAGCGAGTTCTCGATCCCGCTCTTCTTGCTCGACTCCAGGAAGTTCGTCCAGACGGTCTCGCGCGCCTTGGCATTCAGGTCCTGGTAGTTCAGAGAGATGTGGATGCGCGATTGGAAGGCCGCGTCGAAGGTCTGGACGCGGTTAGTGGTGAGGAACATGATGCCTTCGTAGTACTCGAGGATGCGCAGGAAGATGGTGACAAGCTTGTTGCGTTCGAGCTCGTGGAGGCTGCGTTCCTCGAGGAAGACGTCGGCTTCGTCTAGAAGCAGGATGGCGTTCCACTTCGTGCACATCTCCAGGATGTTCTGCAGTTTCGTCTCGACGTTCCGCGGGTCGAGGCCCAGGTCGCCAGCGCTCATGGTGTACAACGGCACTTTCATCTCTTCCGCCACCGATTCCGCGGTCAGGGTCTTTCCGACACCCGGCGGGCCGCAAAGCAACATGATGATGCCCTTCCCCTTCCCTTCGATCACATCATCGAAGCTCTCCTTGTATTTCCGCTGCGACTCGGTGAATCCCAAGATCAGCTCCTTCTGATTCGCCGGCAGCACCAGGCTGTCGAACGCTGTCTCGCTCCACTCGATCTCCCGGACGCCGCCGATGAAGAAGTTCAACCACAGCTTGTTCTTCAGCGCGTACCCCCGGAGCAACGGGCTGCAGATCAGTTTCTGCTCGTCCGTCAGCGGCTTCCGGCGCATCTCGTCGTTCTCGTCGGAAAACCGCCCGTCACGCGGCATGCCGCTATCGCCGCAGTCCTCTTCTTCGTACGAATCGTAATCTTCGTCTTCGGTCTCCTCCGTCGCTTCGCCCGATCCAAGGCCTGGTGTCGCTGTATCGTTCTCCTTCGATGACAACGGCGTGACGTATATGGCCTGGTTTGGGTTAAAGCGGTTCCAGCCATACGTGTCGATCACGATGCGGCCTTTGATGTTGTATTTGTCCCGACCTGGAGTGAAAGTGCTACGCCGCCAGCCAATGCCATGGTAGGCTTTGTAATGATTGCCAGAAAGGCTTTCAACCTGGCCTCCACGCTCGATCAGTCGGGCTTTCAGCAGGTCCGGTTCAGTGTGGAATGAGAGAGGGTAACTGCCGAGACTGCAGATTCGCCTGGTGCCGGAGAAGGCACTGATATCGTGATTGATCTTCTGCGTGCCGAATCGGCTGCCATCGAAATCGATGTACTTGCCGGTTACCCAGTAACAAGGAAGGTTGTTTCTATCCGTGCCATATTTGCTGCTCGCTAACTTAAGTGCGGTCTCCTGGCCGTCTTGCCGTGCGTATATAATTTCGCCAGGCTGGAACAGCGTCCACAGATATTCGTAGGTGATCACGCCCTTGCTCTTCATATCCTGACTCGTTTCAATTGTGTCCTGGAACTCCGACAGCAAGATATCAAAAAGCAGCTGCGCATGCTCGCGCGTCTTGCGATCGTCTTCTGAGTCCTCACTCAAAGCCGCTATCGCTTCCTGCATTTCCTGCCAGCGATGAATGAGCGGCTCAAATATGCCGGAGAACTCCAGACGCGCCAAGTCGACGGTCACGCCCGGGTAGTCCTTGAGCACCTTGGTGAGGAATTGTTTCAAGAGCGGGCTCTGGATGACGATGGAGTGGATCTTCAGGACGCGGCGGGGGTCGTTGTAGACCTTGACATTTCGAACTATCAAAGCATATTTGGCGGTCTCGGCATTCTCGACCGGCTCACCAATATCCTCTGGAATCGACTCTTGCCAATGGAACCGGCCTCGCTTGTCCTCTTTGCCAGAGTACAGGTTCTTGGAGCCGCAGGTCATGCCTAGCTCGGCTGGATCGAGCGGTTGTCCCGGCTCTGATTCTGTGGAAGACATCTTGACGCCGTTCGTCTCCTGGGATTGGCCGTTGAGACTAGACCCTAGTGTGACGGTCTTAACACCGTTGGTAACTGCAGTGGTTTCGCCTTCAGAATCCGACTCCGAAGAGTAAACCGCTCTGGTCTTCGATGTGGCCATTGTGCCAGGCATGTTGGAAGCGTGAAGCGGTTAGAGTGTAGCTTTGATAGATGCTATCATAAAAATAGACACGAAGCATTTAAAAACAAGTCAAACAGCGGGCTTGCTTCAAGGCTTTAAGCATGATTTGATGGAAGAGACTGGAATTATATAGACTCGAGTCGCAGGACTGTGGAATCTCCAGACAAGGCAACTGGTCTGCTGCCTGATGGGAGCAGGGTTACCGTGATCCTCCACTTGAGTGAGTTGAGGCTGTGTGTGTTGAGTCACAGACAGATGGATGCTCCTGTTGGTTTGAATTATGCATCTCCATTTATTGACTAGAAAAGATACTGATAAGCTGAACCAAGTACACGCCGTCCACTTTGGCGGAAATCCTAGGACGAATGAAGACACCAACCTAGGCGGCGTTGCCGTACATTCTGACCGGACACCGGGAGAGATGCGTGGTGAGTCGTCCAGTCCTGTGTCCAATGTTGACGCCTGCAGAGGAAGGGATGCATCACATTGGCTGCGACAGCGGGTGCCCTTCCCCCTCCGCATGGAACAGTCCTCGCTCCTCAGGTTACCTGGGTACGATTTGATAGTCGAGGTGGTATATATTGTTCGCTGCAACGGAATATTGCCTCGTAAGTCGTATATGTGGATCACTCTGTGGATGCGACCGAAATATCATGATTGATGAAAGAGGAGATCGATGTCCCGGTTGTACCAAGTGGTACTGGTACCAATCAGCGAGTCATGTAAATGTTGATGCCTGGGAAGCAGCCAAGAAATGCGCCAAAAGCACAGGGGAAAGCTTCAAGCCGACAATGCTGCTAACGGCTTCTGGAGTTAGGCTCTTATCCCCCTGTCAAATATCAATATCAATCTTCAATCACAGCTTTCTGCAGGTTCATTGTCAACCTTACCACTACATTCCGCTAGACATTTACCGATAGCTCCCGTACTCAATCGAGCAGTCAACACCTCCACTCCTCCAGGATGCCTCTTGATACCTCGTCATACACCCTCTCCCAGCTCCGGCTGGATGGCCGACGTTGGAATGAGCTTCGGCGCATCCACGCTCAAATTTCCACCCACGCCGCCGCGGATGGATCGAGCTACTTGGAGATGGGTAACACGAAAGTCGTGTGCACAGTGACGGGCCCCGCCGAGGGGAGAAGAGCTGGGGGTCAGGGTGGTGGAGGGGATGTGTTGGACGTGCGCGTGGAAATCGGATTGGCGGGATTTAGTGGGGTGGAGAGAAGGCGGCAGGTGAGAGGAGACAAGTAAGTGATGCTTTCTATCTAGTATCCAGTTCGACTTTCGGTATAAGAGTGGTCGCATATGTGCTTAGACGTCTGAGAATTTAACACGATCTGTATATTGACCTCAATGCTAGACGAATCTTCGAAATGGCTCACACGATCACCGAATCCTTAAACCGGACCCTCCTCACCAATCTCTTCCCTCGGTCAACCCTCTCGATCTCACTTCATGTCCTTAGCCAAGATGGCTCACTTCTCGCCGCCTTGATCAACGCCGCGACACTCGCATGCGTCGACGCCGGTGTCCCAATGAAGGATTACCTAGTCGCATGCACCGCGGGCTGCATGAGTGCCGGCGCTCCTCCCCCACCGCAAGTAAAGGCGGATGACGACGGCTCAAACGATCCCATACTCGACCTCACCGCATTAGAAGAGCAGGAGTTACCGTTTCTTACAGTGGCAACCGTGGGAGCGGAGGATAAGGTCGCGGCGCTGGTCATCGAATCGAGGTTCCACGCAGGACGGCTGGATGAAATGCTTGCGGTGGGGGTGGATGGTTGTAAAAGGGTCAAAGAGTTGGTGGATGAGGTGGTGAGAGCACAGGGTGCAAGGTTGTTGGGATCCGATGAGGGATGATGAGTGCTGTAATCGGCGGTCGCAATATCGGGCTACATCACGATGAACCCACTTCTTCACCGTGACTTGAGGTCTTCACGTCCGAAGATGAATATGGCGCCGAAGAGCCGTGCGAGTGTCCGGCGGGCTCAACTCACACGTACGATCACTGGTATGTCGAAGCTCGCAAATTGAGTCAGGTCAAACGAGCTGAGATTTCGATGAGACGCCTTCGCTGTCAAATTGAGAGACCTTATCTGGAGCCGCGGAGCCACCGCTACACCACCTATTCGACTAGCTCTTGTTGCCCGACCCAGGGTTGCCCTGCATTGTTCCGGGGGTATCTTTCGACTGATTCCGGTACCAGTCGGAGGTTGTGCATGTCGTGCTCTTGCAGTCGGCAGACTTGACGCCCGCCTCAAAGGTGCACATTGGCAAGGATTTGGAACGATGGGTTCCGACGGGAGGGCCTGTGTGCCGAATCAGCCACTCGAGTTCGCTATGCAAATCGGGGAAAGATGAGAGTCACTGTTGCTATCGAAGGAGGTTTTACCTGAGTTGTTGTAGGGATTGTAGACCCTGAATAACAGGTTCACTGATTGTAGTCGTACTTGATGCCGCCGACCCCGAAGTCTTGGTCGTAGTACCCTGCGTCCTAGAAGTTTACTCAGGGCCGGTGTAGTTGGTGCTGTTCAGGCAGTATTGTGAGCAACAGTTCTCTTATAGCTTAAAAGATCATGTCATTGCAGTTAAGGTCCGTCCACGTGCAGAGGTTGACGTTATGAAGTGGACGTGATAACCATATACTGATATATAGCAAGATTAGCGGTTCGAATAGTTTGATATTGCAGTGAGATGTGATTCTACGAAGGGAAATGATGACCACGAGATATAAATACTATGTATGCATAGCCCCCTCTAATTTTGGTCACCAAATTGGGATTTAGGACTGTATGACGTTTTCAGAAACATCAGTCTAACCCTTCGTTGACGCCCTACAAAGAGGATTCGACAGGTAGCGTTGCATGGCGCGCTGCTGCCCTTGATTCCGTGCCCATGATGACTCCGAGGAGCGAGGAGCGAGAGTATCCACTGGATTCCCATCGGTGTCACCAAATCGCCCGGAATTGCGGCGAGGGTTGGCGCACGCCAAAGGAAGGGGGATTCAATCAAGGCCAGCCTTACCCACGATCGCCGCGATTGGGCCTACAGGGCACACCGGAGATTGGGGATTAGGGTACCCTGTTTCAAACCGTCAGGTTTCGATGGCACAGCGGATGGAGATGAGAAGGGGGAGCAATCTGGGTATCCTGGTCCTCATGCCTGACACAGTGATACTGGAGTGACTAGACAATTATTGACCTGAATCCTCAATCCTGATCTTTGACCGGCTTACCTAGTGGCCAGTGCCTACAGAGTAAGGATTGGGTGCCTGATTGCCGATCAGCAAGTCCTGCCGACTGGATAAGGATTTGCTGGAATGTGTGCGTTGTCATCATGTCAGATTCCGACCACGTGGATCTGTCCTCCGATTTGATGCAGAACATCATAACATGCAGACGATCAGGATCGGTCCAACATTGAGATCTTGATATGGCCGGCCGGCTGCACGTGATCACGCGATCATTTCGCTCCACCCCCCCGCTCGGACGTCAAGTTCAGACTTTCTGACCTCAGTAGACAATCAGTTTACCTGAAGTGCACTCACTCACTTTGGCATGTCCAATGAGACGCAGTATCTCATTATAGAAGTGACTGCACTCCATGAAATTGCGTTTTCGGTATCCTCATGGTTAACGCAGTGTCCAGCGGGAAGAAATGTCGTCTCGCGTCACGACCAATACTTCTTTCACGTGTAATGCGTCCTGAACGACCACGGTAGAATCATCGAACAATGCGATGTCTGCAAAGGAATTCATCGACGGCATGTGGATTGTCCTTTCATAGTCCATCCGAAATCGCTAACTTGTATCTAGATTTAGCATATGAGTCAGCCGCTGAGACTGTCGATGATGATCATAATCTCGAAGAGAAGACCGGCATAGTGAAGGGTCGTGGAGAACGAGTTGAGTGGTCAAGCGATGATGACGCCGAAGCCGTCTACAAAGCATTCAAGAAAAGGAAGTCCGATCAGCGGAAACGGCAAGCTGCAAACCAGAAGAGAGCCAGAGCATCCGCGAAAGGGTATGAAGAGTCCATAGTCGGGAAGAGGAAACGGCCAGTTACGAAAGACCATGAAGGATCTGCCAAAAGAACCCAAAGAGCCTATGGGGACGAGTCCGGAGACGAAGACCTCGGCGATGAGGCCTTGCCTGACTATGTCAAATCCCGACAAACCGGATTTAACGAAAACCGGGAGAGACTTGGCGAAGCGGGACTGAAGCTTCCTCCTCTCTACGACGACATTGATTTCTCTGATGATGAACGGGTATCATCGCTGAAAGAACGACCGGTATTTACAGATGTGAGGCTGTCCCGTCCAAACGAAGATCACAAGATGATGTTATCCGGCGGTCTAATTCCAGCGCCCATTGCCAAGTATCTCCGTGATTACCAAGTCAAGGGAGCGGAATTTCTGCACGAGAGCTTCGTTTATCAGAGAGGTGCCATCCTCGGCGACGACATGGGGTTGGGAAAAACCATCCAAGTCATTGCCTTCCTCACCGCAGCGTTTGGAAAGATGGGGGATGAACGTGACGCAAAGCTCATGAGAAAGATACGCAAAGTAGGAGGCGATCGATTCTATCCTAGAGTGCTCATCGTTTGCCCCGGGAGTCTCATGGACAATTGGCGATCGGAACTTCATGGATGGGGATGGTGGCATGTCTACACATTTCACGGCTCAACTGACGATAAAGAAACGGCGCTACAAGCTGCACGAAGCGGACGAGCTGAAATTGTCATCACGACATACACAACATACCGACTGAACAAGAGTGCCATCAACACTGTCGATTGGGATTGTGTGATTGCGGACGAGTGTCATGTAATCAAAGACCGAAGGTCTGAAACGACGCTCGCGATGAATGAGGTCAACGCCCTTTGTCGGTTGGGGCTAACTGGCACTGCGATCCAGAACAATTATGACGAGCTCTGGACGTTGCTAAATTGGACCAACCCCGGACGATTTGGCAACGTCACAACCTGGAAACTTTGCATCAGCAAGCCTCTGCAGCTTGGGCAAGCACATGATGCAACCGTTGGCCAGTTGGCAAGGGCTCGAAAAGTTGCGCAGCAGCTTGCCAACAACCTTCTACCGCGGTTCTTCCTACGCCGCATGAAGACTCTCATTGCCGATCAACTTCCGAAGAAGAGTGATCGAGTGGTGTTTTGCCCCCTTACCGAGAAACAAGCCGATGCCTACGAAAATCTTGTGGACGGTGAAATCATCCATCATATCAAACAGATCTCAGACCCATGCAGTTGCGGCGAACCAGGGAAATTGTTTGGATGGTGCTGTGGCCAGGAAATCCCCGGAAAGGAACCTCCGAGATGGCAAGCCTGGGTCTTCCCAGCCATCCTGACCCTTCAGCGAGCAGCCAACCATCTTTGTTTGCTGGTACCCTCTGGTCTGGATCATGTGGAGAAGGAAAAGAGAGATGTGGATTGGCTGAAAGAAGCCTTGCCAGACGAGTGGCGCAGGCTATACCGTGAACGGGACAATATCATGAACTACGCTCGAGAAGAATATTGTGGGAAATGGAAAGTCCTCAAAAAGCTTCTCGGGTTCTGGTCTTCGAATGGCGATAAGGTGTTGGTTTTCAGCCACAGCGTGCGATTGCTGAAGATGCTGAAGATGCTATTCACTGCGACGACCTCATATAATGTTTCATACTTGGACGGTGCGATGAAGTACGCGGAGCGGACGCAAGTCGTGAACGACTTCAACGCAGACCCACAGCAATTTGTCTTTCTCATCAGCACTCGCGCCGGCGGTGTCGGCTTGAACATTACATCAGCAAACAAGGTGGTAGTGGTCGATCCGAACTGGAACCCTTCCTATGACCTCCAAGCGCAGGACCGAGCATACCGTATCGGGCAGACCCGCGATGTCGAAGTTTTCCGACTGGTCAGCGCCGGCACAATCGAGGAGATAGTCTACGCAAGACAGATATACAAGCAACAGCAGGCAAATATCGGGTACAACGCCTCGGCCGAGCGACGGTACTTCAAAGGCGTTCAGAACATGACGGAGAAGAGAGGTGAAATCTTCGGTTTGCAGAATCTTTTCGCGTACCAAGGAGACAGCGTCGTCTTGCAGGATATCGTGAATAAGACAAATATCGCTGAGTCCAAGGCTGGCGTTGCAATCGTAGACATTAATACGGACATGACGCAAGATGATCCTGAAGGTGGTGATAACGATGACCTGCACATCAAAGAGGAGGCTGCCGCTATGAACGAACTCGCAGAGAGCATCAAGATCGGTGACGGACCGGCACCAAAAGGGAAAATCAAGTCTGGAAAAGGCCTGGCATCGAAAAAGAAGAACGCGGACCCAATCCAGGCGATCTTGGCTGGAGCAGGCGTGGAATATACGCACGAGAACTCTGAGGTCATCGGCTCATCGAAAACGGAGAAGAAGCTGAGCCGACGAGCCGTTGAACAAGAGCTTGACCCCACACTGATGAGCAAGGCAGTCTTTGAAAGTCAGACGGGCACCAGTTCGGGGAAGACGAGTTTCGAGACCGGTCCTGAAGGAACGCCAGTCAAGGGATTTGACCCGAGGTACCTACCGCAGAAGTATCAGCCGCCAGAGGATGTGAGACGGCGACAGTTCTGCTCCATGGCCAAGGAGTTTGGACTTGATGCGACGCAGTTTGCGCTGACTGTCGAGGGATGGACACAAGCTCAGCGTAGGAATTGCCTGGAGAGATTCTACAAGATCAGAAGGCAGCGATTAGCGAACCCCGACGCGGTGTTGGCTGAGGTGCCATTAGATACCCTTAAGACCGAGGTGAAGGACGAGAGTGAAACGGACAGCGGTGAGGAACTACTGTAACGATTGATGATGAAGAGCCGATATGTATTAGGTTACGGCTTAATGACGGCATACGACAATATATCTTGCAAAGCAAACGGATCTCACTCTATATCAAGCCCGTATAGCCCCACTGCAAAGAAAACCGCCACCTCCTAAAGCTCCAGCGCTGCCATAACCGTTCAGTCCACGCACCAACGCCGAACACCAAAGCATCAAATCTTGACCACATCGTTTGCAGCCGGTTGTCGAGGTGGCTGATCAAACACATATAACGATTTCACCGAACCGATAAGTCTCAGCCATCTTGAGCTGTTGAGCTTTACGGTCGCGACATATCTCATGCTGTTCTGTCGCTTCGGATGTGGGAGGTCGACGAAGATGTCCGTCTGGCTTCGGACTCGAGGGAGGGGAACCACGGCGCTTGGTTTTCCTTTACATCACGGTTTGTTAGTATCTGGTTCTTCAACTGCAAGGCGATATCAGATAGGATGGTAAGGAAATACCCCAATGCTTCAGCATCTCCTTCGGAGCAACGTAAAGGTCATCGTTCTCTTCCACGTACACAACCACATTCTTGCAGCGGTCCTCTTCAACCCGTGGCAAAGGCGTATCGACGACAACCTGAACCAATGTAGCCATCTTCGTTTGGCTTTGCGGGATATGTGTCTCACACGGTCAACAAACCGAGCTCTCGCAAATATGAACTGGGCGTGCCTGTATTCAATTGAGTCATTCTTTCACTGTCTTGGGCAAGACGTGTATAAATCTCGTTTTGCACGGTCTACTGCGCCACCATCGCTGAACACCACGCGACCAGGACAAATGAAAGGCAAACACGAATCCAGCGTATCACTGGTCAAGGTCAGGTTCTCCTGTTTTGAACGGAGTGATTCTGGAACGTCGAACACTAGGAACGCCCCCAATCATCATCGAGTTGCAACAGGGCGCAGCCCAGCAACGTTGTGTTTTGACACAGCCACGAGGACCATGGTTTGTCATTCTTTATGTCGCACAACGAATTCACAGCAGCCAACATCCGTAGCCTCAGGCAGCTGACCGTTATGGTTTCCCAATGATGGGTTTTGTTCAGCCGCTCATCAGGAAGAAGGAGGAAGGCAACGTCGACATCTCAACTCTGTCCCATGGTCGCGTCCGAAGAGTCATAAAACCGGTACACCCCGACGACTCCATCTATTCCCAACTCTGGCATGATAATCCCGGTTGCCTACTTTCTAGCTGGGTACAATAAAACAAGGGGGAAATGAATGACGTACTATTCTCCAGCCTTGCCTCTGAGCATTTCTTCGACTCCTTGTCGTTACCCCGTCTTTCCCAGCCTTGCCATCCAAAACGGCCCTGTGGGAGGAAATTAATCGTCCTCAAGCATACCCCTAGGACATAGAGAACCTTCGATCGTTACCTGCTTTTGCCTCCTTTTGTCTTTCCAAAGATGTAGAGTTCCTCTTTTATGTTCCTTTTAGTTTAAGAAGTCGATACGATTCTCTGTCTTAGTAACCTGGAGCCTGGAGGTCAACGTCGAAAGTGAAGGACCATATATTTTTCGCTCCGGAGGCCCGGAAGGGTCACAAGTCAAAACCCAAAGATCCTGAACATCAATATCATAATCATTCAAATTTCCAGAAGCTAGCATCGAGCGAGTACTCCGTTGGAGAGGATCCTCGATCCCAATTTTCAACTGTAGGGCCACCCACCCCTCTGAATGCCAATGATTGGAGAACTACGGTCAGCCGTGGCTTCGGGCCGTGCAAGAATCGTCGGGTGCATGACCCAAGAAAAAGGGGATGATCTGGGGAGCCGGGGAGGGCTGGGGGTGGGGCAGGGACCTACAAGCGCCCATGCCCCCATGTCCATGGACTCCACGCCGCAGGGTCTCGGTGAGGATCTTAGTCCTCATTTCTCAGAAATAGGCGATGGGCGGATGGCTGCCGCATGCACCTCCACCACCATCATAACTAGACGCTACCTAGGTGCATCCAGCAGTCGAACGGTCGACACGGGGCGCCGAAGACTGTCTGGAAAGCTGTGAGTGAACTTTGTCAACCTCGATGTTACCTTTGCTGCCAATGTATTCGACCTTCTCCGCCCTTGATACCCAGCCTCAATCTTGTGCTCAATCCAACATTCCAAATCGAGCCTTCAGCCTTTTTCGAAGGACGACGCGCAAACAACTTTGCTTCCGACCCGTTGACCTTCTTGGTTCGACAGCCTGCGGTCTCCCCTTTCAGACATTCGGAGCTGCTGAGCCAGTCCGATTTCGCTATTGTTCCTCCTAGGTGGAAACGCCCCGTGACTCGGTCCAAGTGTATTGACGTGTCGAGAACTCTATTGAGGGCGGACTCGGCAGTATAAAACCCACGGAAGACTGCTCCCCCACCTCGAAGACGCACCTGAGCAGTCTTCCATGTTTTCCCATTGCCATCAAGATTGAAGAAGAAGAACACATGCAGCAAGAACATGACCGGACACCACATGATACAATGGACCAGCAGCCTTCCGCCCCGTCAACGCCGGGACGAGATATTTCGCTCTCGAGACGACCGTCGAACTCTTGTAGTTCCACGTTTCCAGCTCGTGCGCAGCAGGCCATATCAGACTCGAATCCTTACTCCCCTTGGTCACGGAAATCGATATTATGCTTAGGTATGTGGTTGACGGCCCTGTCGATCCTGTTCTAGAGAGGCCCCTGCTAATAGGTATGCAGACGGAGGTGGCATGAAGGGGTACTCGACGCTACTCATCCTAAAGCGCCTATGCGTCATAATCGAAGAAATCGAGACGGGACGACGTCCGAGAATCAACGGCAAAGATTACTTTGAGCTCAACACCAGCAGCGCCGATTACCCTTGGAACTGCGACACATTTGGAATACGACCGAAGCCTCATGCATTTGGTCCCAACGACATCATTCGGAAAGAGACGCGGGGGCAGATTGCAGAATCCGTAAAGCGGACATTCGACCCCGCAGACGGCGATCGGACAGGCGACTTTCTTCTACGACACTACTTCGATTATACGGCCGGGACCAGTACCGGGGGGCTAAGCGCCATACTGCTGAGCAGAATGGGCATGTCAATTGATATGGCCCTTGCCCAGTACGATGTCATAGGGAACTCCGTATTCGGTCGTCCACGCCTCCTCAACCGTGCTTCTAAGGCCATGGATTTTATCCAGTCCAAATATTCAGCGAAGCAGATGGAGGATGCGATCTGCCAGGTGATTGCGAACGGGCTCAAGACTGAACTCAGCCATCGGAAAATTCGTCCGGACGAAGCCCCTTTTCAGACCGACTCTCCTGGGTCCCGAACTATGGTGATTGCTTATGGACATGCGAAGAAGAAGAACGTGGCCAAGGAGTATCTTTTTAGGACCTACCTCCACAATTACCCGTCGCCAGCTCTGGATCGGCAGGCTCGACGAAAGCATCTGAACCCAGGTCTGGCGAATCCTCTCCCCTTGTATAAGGTCGCGCGAGCAACATCAGCAGCACCGAAATACTTCCCAAAAGTCGATATCGGCGGCCGGTCATATCTCGACGGTGGGATGGTCGCCAATAATCCGTCTCGACTAGCACTCAAAGAAGTGGAACAAATGCACGAACAGTTACCGAAGCTCCTGCTTTCGCTTGGAACGGGGATGCCGGACGACTACGAACGGCTAGATCAAGACGCCCTTCTCCACGGCAGCTACATGATCCGGGGGTTCGGCGACACGTTAAAGGCAATTAGCATGCTGGTGACGCAAACCGAAAAGATCCACGACGATATGTCCGACTTGCTAGCGAACCCACGACAGCGCCCGGGAGGCGTCCATCGCCAGAAGACCGAGTACTTCCGCTTCAATGTGGTTGGCGACGCAGGCGAGATTCCTCTGGATGATTGGAGAGGCCGTAACGGCGAGGTTACGAAGGCTCGAATCCGAGGCAATGTCATGACGTACCTTTCCAACCAGAGTGTGCATGAAGAGCTCATCAAGTGCGCACAGATTCTGGTGGAGACCCGACGAGCTCGAGCAGAAACCGAGCGATGGGAAGCATTTGCTCACGAGTTTGCCTACTTCTGTCCAGAAAAGTCCTGCGAGAAAGCCAGCGCCTCCCGGATCTGGTTCACTCGCGACGAACTCCGCGAACACGGAACTCAAGAGCACTACTACATTTCCAACATTCCCATTGCCAACCAGAAAGACTACCCGCATGCATGCCTCTTCGACAGTTGCCGTCATGCCGTGACCATTTTCAAAACCCTCGATGAGTTCCGCTCCCACCTCATGAGAGTTCATCGGATCGGCCGACCCATATTCAAAACGGTCGAGGAAATGGAACGATGGCTTGACCACGGCCGGCGAACTAAGAAATGGGCAGTGGACCGCGCTGACTCGAACCCGCAGAAACTCAGTCAGAACGGCACCACTACTCCTGGCGCGACCGCAATGGAGGCCACAAGAGGCACGACGACCTATTTCCCAACCCGCAACAGCTCGAATGCCAGCAGCCGGCGCGGCCGCCAGCGCAACATCCTCACCTCGATCACTTCGTTCCCCAACGGGCATCTCTCCGTCTCCACCCGTAAAGAAATGCGACAGGAACGCGCCTCAGACGGCGCCTTACCACCGCCCACGTTCGCCTTCGACCATAGCGACGATGATCAAACCGTGGGGGGCGCGGAAAGGAGTGTCAGTCCGCGGCGGCCGTCAAGCGCACCCGAGGCAGAAGAGATGAACGGGTGGTTGTCAAGGAACCACACAGCGCCGGAGCCGAGGCGGCCGCTCCTGGAGGGTGGCTCGGATCGGCAGAGCTCGGAAAGCTCGGGGAAGAGGAAGCTGGTGGGGTTGAGGAGTCCGTTCGTTTGGAAAGGAAAAGCAGGTGAGCAGGAGGGTGATCAGAAGGAGGGTGGGTCTCCGGATCGGGTGTCAACGATGCCACATAATCCCGTGGTTGAGCGGTTGAAGCACAGTTGAAGGGCGTCCTGGTTGTCATTTCGGTTTCATGATTGCGTTCAAGCGAGGATACCACAACGGTAATGCAGCAAGGCTTTGTTTATTTCCTTCTGCTGACTTTAGCGATCATGCATTATATCTGCAGCATTGGCATATGGCATGGGACATTGGACATGGGAATGGCGATATTTTGGAGATACGTACTTCTGTGCCTGTTGTATACAGTCATAGGTCACTGGGCACCGGAATAGCGATAAATTAGAGATATGCATGTCTGTACCCGTTATATACACAGTCATGGGACATAGGTACAAAATCATGACCCGCTTCAGACACCATCGTGGTCCCGACCATCGCGAGAGCAAATCGCCTTATCCAACCCATAGGACTCACCTCTAACTCGAAGGGTATTCTTACTCAGAGTCCTTGAACATACGAATAAACTCCCACATGCTCCTCAGCACAGCAACCCCTCCACCCTGCGTCTCCACCGTCCGTCCTCTTCCCCGATCATTCACATCCCAATCCAGCCGCCCGGCCATCGATCCATCCGCACTTCCCCTCGTCTGCTCCCCCTCATTCCTCAAATCCATCGTCCCATCCGGTATCCTCCTCTCCTCTGACGTCCTCCGTTCCAGCTCTTCAGCCCCGTGCCCCTGTCCAACATACCACTTCGCGCCCCACCACATCCCAAATTTCCCATCCCGCCTCGTCGCCAGGGCCGCCCTCGCATTGCGCGCCACCCACGCCGCGTACGCCATGCAGCTCTGCCGATGCAGGCTCCTCACTTCAGGGTCGGCGGCAGCGGTCTTCCCCGGCGCAACGGCAGTCAGGGGAAGAGGCGCGCAGAAGAGCGTGAGGTGGTGGAAGAAGATGGATTTGAATGTCTGGCCGTCTTGCGAGCAGGTGCCAGACGCGTCGCAGGCTTCTTCCAGGATGCCGGCGCGGCCGAGGCCGTGCCAGGGAGGGAGTGTGGAGGATGTGTCGGGGTCTGGATTCAGGTATTGCTGGTTGCTGTCTGATCCTGGGCGGGAAGGCTCATCGGAATGGGAAGAGAGTCCACTAGACGTAGGACCGGTCCAACCAGTAGCTTTCATCACGTTGCGGACGAGGTGGTGGCCGTCTTCCAGGTAAGTTACGTTGCCAGTTGCCTCCCATAAGCCTCGGAGGCCGGACAATATTACTCCCTGGTTATAGGTATAGACCATTTCGTTGCGCTCGTCGCATTTGCCCGTGCCGATGGTTCCATCCTTACCATAGTCACGGATGTGGAAGCCATCGGTGTAAAGTCCTGCCGCGTTCGTCATTTTGGAGTTTTTAAGCCAGTCGTAGGCCGTGATGGCAGCATCCCGAAACTTGGGGTCATATGGTCCAGAGGTTATGGCGTCTGCAGAGGCGGATTCCGAGCGGTTTGCCGGGTTCATAAGTGGAGAGGGGTTCTTATCGCCGGTGAAGTACAAATACATGCCGACGGACGCCGCCACGAAGAGCTCATTCGTGATGGCATTCTTATAAGGCGGGAAGGTGTTGGCCCACTTCATCCCTCCTCCACAAAGTTCCGTATCCCAGCCGGTTTCGCTCAGCTCGTAGAAGATCCTCGCGCGGTGGTTGAATGCGGGCTCGAACTGCTGCCCGTACCACGGAGTTCCGCCTTCACCAGGATCGTAATGTGACGTGGAATGGAATTTGATGAAGCGCAAGGACTCGAGCCAGCCCAGGACGACCCAGAGCATATCGTCGTAGCCCTGGAACCGGAGCTCGAAATCATTTTGCCCGAAGTAAGACGCAATCGTTTGAGTAAAATACTTGTTGATCTCATTCTCGACCCGTTCCCCGTACAGAGAACGCTCGCCCACAGAAGGTGGAGGCAATATGTAATCGAAGGAATTAGTCAAGGAGTAGAGGGAGGCTGACATATGGGTACCCAAAACCGCAGCCGTCCAGTCGATTGCAGCAGGCCAGAGACCCGCCCATAGCTCGAAGTAGTTATCCTGCATCGTCTCTAGTGCGTAATGCAACTCTTGGAGAGCATTCACGGGATCTCGGGAGCCCATTGGGTCGACCTTGGTGCTGAGCACGTAAGGAGGCCATGGTATAGAAGAAATCGTACGGCCTTCAGGACCAACACGCCTTGAAGGAATCGATTGGGGATCCGATGAAGATACGTAATCAAGGGGTCGTTCCGATTTTGAACCAATGGCATTAGAATATTCTCCGTTTCTCTTTTGATGGAGTCGGATCAATGCCGACGGTTCCCATTCCCTAAGTACATAAACGGACAATATAAAGAAAATAGACAATATGAACAAGAAACTCTTCGCATGTAGCAGATAGCCGAATAACGATTTCATCTTGATTCACACGAAGACGGCAATGATGGGCTGTCCCTGGACTAAAGATGTGGTACGATATGTCTAGTATGGGCTATGGCATGTCCGCTCACGTTTCACGGCGTTGGAAATGCGGATGCCGGAGGCGAAAGACAGGGCGACCGGCACCATGACGGAAGCCAGTCGGAATGGAAGGACGAGAAGGCAGCAGCGGGCTTTTCATCCGCAGAAAGCAGCAGAGAGGTGGAGAGTATAAGGCAATGTTAGAAAGGAGATGAGGGCGATATTGCGGGGGAACAGCCTCCAGGGGAGCTGAAGGGGCGGGATGCCTTCATACCGGTTTGGGAATTAATTACAGAGTATTTTTCTGCCCATCGACTAACTGGATTGTTCTTCATATTAGTGAAGGTTTAGTGGCTATTATATTTCACTAAGAAGTAAAAGCTGCATACTAGGCACTAGCAGACTTTGAGATACAAGGTGGCTCCATATCGTCACTTTCGAATCTACAGTATTGTCCATGTCTTGACTGAAGCAACAGCATCCCATTGTACGGATCAGATACTCGTCATCTGAATAAACACCCGCTCCTGACTGACATTTGCTTGCGCTTATTCCTCACTTCTCCTGACTCACTGGATGAATTCTGGTGTAACCGCCAGCGTTCGCCTTGTCGCCAATCAATCTTCCTTTCGTGGTATTGCTCGTCTGAGCCTCCATTTGACACAGCCTTCCACCCCGTCATCATATTTCCAGCGCAACTATCTGCACAGATTGGTGTGGATTCCTCCTATTCGTCGACCCGGACCTGCAGACTTCCGCAAGTTACCCTGGCATTCGACCCTTCGACAACCCTTTGAACCTCTCCAATCCTCTTCGAAAGCGACGTCAGCCATGGATACCAACGGTGATAGCCGCTCCAAAAGAAAGCAGCCACCAACTCCGGTTACCGAGCGACCTATGAAGCAGTTCAAACAAGGACTAGAAGGGACATATATGGATTCCGAAGGAGAGAATGGCCATGCCGCAAATGGATACCATGGCGAGCTGGTCAACCACCAGATGGAGGTGGATGAGCACAGTACCGGTGCAAAAGTCCCGGTCACGGCGGACACTGCGGAATGGCAGGCGACCATCGAGCAGGTCGTTAAAAGTGTAGTGTCAATACACTTTTGCCAAACACGATCATTCGACACCGATCCTGCAATTGCGAGCGAGGCTACCGGCTTCGTCGTGGATGCGGAGAGGGGATTGATCCTTACCAATAGAGTATGTTTCCAATCCAACCGTGGTGCTTCACAAATAACCAGCTACAGCATGTTGTTGGTGCTGGGCCATTCTGGGGATATTGTATTTTCGACAACCATGAGGATGTAAGTGACTGCTCTGCCGTGGAACTTCGCTATGAACCGCACACTGATTCTTCGACATAGTGCGATGTCTACCCTGTATATCGTGACCCTGTTCATGACTTCGGTTTCCTTCGCTTCAATCCCAAAGCGCTGAAATACATGCAATTGTCGTCGCTCACCTTGCGACCTGACCATGCTCGTATGGTTTTCCTTACCCCCTTGAGATGTACAACCCTAACACAATGCAGGAGTTGGAGCTGAGATCCGAGTGGTGGGCAACGATGCTGGCGAAAAGCTGAGTATTTTATCAGGGGTAATCAGTCGATTAGACCGAAATGCTCCCGAATACGGGGAAGGCTACAGCGACTTTAGTACGATGCCCTTCTACATTTGGTCATGAAGCCATGCTAAACTCAAGCAGACACGAATTACATCCAAGCTGCAGCGGCTGCCAGCGGCGGTAGTTCCGGAAGTCCTGTCGTCAACATCGACGGGCATGCCATTGCCCTCCAAGCTGGCGGCCGTTCTGACGGTGCCGCAACCGACTATTTCCTGCCTCTCGACCGACCACTACGAGCTCTACAGTGCATACAGAGGGGCGAACATATTGAGCGAGGCACGATACAAACACAATGGATGCTAAGGCCGTTCGACGAATGCCGCCGATTAGGGCTATCACTCGAACGGGAAGCCGAGATTCGCCTCAAATTCCCCAAGGAAACCGGGATGCTTGCTGCGGAGATCGTCCTTCCAGAGGGCCCGGCACATGACAAAATCCGAGAAGGTGATTTGCTCATCAAAGTGAATAACGAATTGATAACGCAGTTCATCCCGCTGGATGCCATTTTGGACTCGCACGTTGGAGGGCAGGTCAAGATCTTGATCGAACGAGGCGGAAAGCCGATTGAGGTGGAAATTCCGGTCGAGGACCTGCACAGCATCACACCAGATCGTTATGTCACGGTTGCTGGCGCCTCCTTCCATGACATATCCTATCAGCAAGCCCGATTGTACGCGATCGCGACCAAGGATGTTGGTGTATACGTTTGCGAAGCCTCCGGTACTTTCAAGTTTGAGGGCTGCGAGTCGGGTTGGTTAATCCAGGACATTGACAATAAGGAGACCCCGAACCTGGACACTTTCATTGAGGTGATGAAGCAGATACCGGGTAAGTGACAATCATACCGTTATGTTGACATGATCCTAACTAACCATTCCAGACCGAGCACGGGTGACGGTCCACTACAAGCATGTCCGGGACCTACACTCATTACATGCCGGCATCCTTCTAATCGATCGACATTGGTCGTCGAAGATGACATTGGCCACACGAAATGACAAGTCCGGACTATGGGATTTCACCGACATCGCAGACCCCCTGCCGGCAATGCCGCTCGTCCCCAAAGAAGGCAGTTTCGCTACCATGCCCAACTCCATGTTCGGGCATCTATCTGACATCGTCAAGAGCTTCGTCAAGGTATCTGTAACCATGCCGATGAAGATTGATGGGTACCCCCGCAGCCGTAAATCCGGCCATGGCCTCGTCATCGACGCTGAACAAGGCCTGGTGGTCGTGTCTCGGGCCATCTTGCCATTCGATCTCTGCGACATCACGATCAACATTGCCGAGTCGATTGTGGTCTCCGGCAAGGTCGTATTCATGCATCCGCTGCAGAACTTTGCCGTCATCAAGTACGATGCGTCCTTGGTGAAGGCTCCGGTTCGGTCTGCGAAGCTCTCAACTACCCGTGTCAACCAAGGCGAGAAGACCATCTTCTTCGGATATAACCAAAATTTCCGGCCCGTGTTTGCGAAGACCACCATCACCGATATCACGACCGTTGCGATTCCCGCCAGTCCCGCATGCCCACGCTACCGTGCGATTCACTTGGACGCCATCACCGTCGATACCAATCTCGCGACGCAGTGCGGAAGCGGTGTGCTTCTATCGCAAGACGGCACCGTTCAGGCTCTATGGCTCAACTTCTTGGGAGAACGATCGCACAGTGGAAAAGACGTTGAGTATCACTTGGGCATGGCGACGCCAACGATCCTGCCGGTTATCAACCAGATCATCCAAGGCACCATGCCGAAGTTACGGATCCTCAATGTGGAGATGCAGACGATTCAGATGGATCAGGCGGATGTCATGGGAGTGCCAACGGAATGGCGTAACGCTGTTCGAGATGCCAACCCCGAACGTCATCAGCTCTTCATGATCCGGAAAGTGGACAGCGGCGAAAGCATGGGGCTGATCGAAGGGGACATCATCCTGACGCTCAACGAGAAGCTCATCACGCGAGTGTCCGATCTGGATGTCCAGTACGACTGCGACACGCTCGACGCTGTCATCGTCCGGCGCGGAAAGATCGTGAACTGCAAAGTTGGCACCGTGCCCACCGAAGACGTCGAGACCGATCGGGTGGTCGTTTTCTGCGGTGCCATTTTGCAACGGCCGCACCACGCAGTCCGGCAGCAGATCAGCTCTCTGCATTCACAGGTGTATATATCCAGTCGAGTAAGTTTCCATCTCATCGTTCCTACCGGCCTTCACATACTAATCTCCAGCAGCTACGCGGTTCTCCCGCCTACGCCTTCTGCCTCGCCGCCACCAACTTCATCATCGAAGTGAACGACGTCCCCACCCCCGATCTCGACTCCTTCCTCCACGAAGCGCTGAAGATCCCGGACAACGAATACTTCCGGCTGCGCGTGAAAACATTCGACAACATCACGTGGACGGCGACGATGAAGAAGAACGAGCACTATTTCCCTACCATCGAGCTGCGGAAGGATCCCAGCAACCCGCTGGGTTGGGCGAAGACGGTACATGAGAGCGAGAGGGGCGGGGATAAACAGTTGCTCTCGACCGCAATGGATACGGAGAATGGGGCGGTCGAGGTGGATGAGTTGACGGGTCAGGCGGGCGAGGCAGCGCCCGCGGATGGCTCAGCCTCGTAAAGGACTCGAGACATGGGGTTTGGCGTTCGGCAATTTTTGTGCCACATACAGGAGTTGTGTGTATTTATAAACTGTACCGAAGGCCAGTCGTCCAGCTGCACCGATCCGGAAGATGGATCGATACATTTCGACTTGATTTCGGGGACCAATTTTTGACAATAAAAGATTTGTAATGGTGCATCTTATGGGTTCCCCCTTCATGGTGAATATGGATCTGGGCACCAAACATTAGATTTCATCGGCGGACAACGTCAGCATGAAAAAGGGACATCATACAGCTGGAAAGGATCTCATTCTTTCTCCTATCTACAGCAGCGTTCTCAACCTTAGAACGCAACCCGAGTGCCACGTATGGCTAGAAAACAGCGCCAGGATATTCCGCTCCCTATGACGCCGAAAACACCGTAATCGCAAAGGCGCATCGGGGGGTATGAAGCCGACCACTCCCGGCCGCTGCGCAACCCGACTCCGCAACTAGAAAACGAAACAGAACGCTCCACGAACGACGTCGGCGGCCCGGATTCCTGCCCTCCGTCCCTCCATCTGCGCATTGAATGGATCGGGGATCCGTCGACCGCCTCCTTATTTCCATCGCGGCCGCTCTCCCATACTCGACGTCCGTCCGCCCGTCCGGCTCTCCCTCCCCGTCCCACCCATACTTAGCCTCGCGCCGGTGCGCGGCTGCGGTAACAGACTGCTCCGCCGTCCACTTGCCATGACGCTTGCGGGTCGCGCGGGCCGCGATGCCGCCGCCGCCGCTGCCTTCGCGGTCGGGCTAACGTTGTCTCCGGGGGTGTCCTCTGTTTTGATCGGAGGGAGGTGCGAGGACTTGCGGGTGGTGGAGAGAGGGATGAATGGGGTGGAGGCGGAGGGGCCGTGTTTGGGGAGAGAGGTGGTGGAGGCGGGGGCGCGGAGGCGGGGGATGGTTGGGGTTTTGAGGGAGGGGGTGGGGATGGATTGCGTGGATGTGGTGCGGGATGCGAAGGGCGAGGTGGAAACTTGGGAGAGGCGGGAGGCGCCGAGGGAGGAGGCGGGGCGGGAGGTGGAGCGGCCGAGGGGGCTTGGTTGGGGGATGGCGGAGTGGGTTGAGAAAGAGCGGGAGTAAACTGATGGAGTGGAGGACCGGTGGGGTGATGGGGTTGTGTCTGGCTTGTGGTAATGCCCCACCACCGTATCATTCATGTTGGTGCTGGTGTTCCATTTCGGTCGGGATGGATTCGTGTTCGCTTCACTGGTGGACCGGAACGTTCGGGCGGGGGTGGGTGTGTTAGTGAACGCGTAGCGGGATGATGCAGGGGAAGGGGATCGAGCGGACTCGGCGTCGGAAATGGCGGAGCGGGAGAAGGCGGATTTACGAGTGATGCTGCTGGAGAGGGCAGTCGGAATGCCGGACAAGCGGCGGTTGAAGGTTGTTTGAGTCTTGGTGCTACTGGCGAAGCTGTTTTGCCGAGACTTTTGCCCATGGGGTGTCGTGGTGCCTTGATCGCTATCCTTGCGGCTCATGAGAACAATGGACGATGCGGGCGAGCTGCCCGGCGTGTCCCAGGTGCTGCTTGTGACGGAACGGTCGGTGAGGATGGTGGAGATGGAGTCGCGAAGGGCTTGGCCACGGTTCATGTTGAGTTCTTCCAAGACGAATTCCATTGCCTTCATCTCGCTTTCGAGCTCGCTCCATCGACGTCTCATATCGGCTTGAAGCCGGAGGATCTCTCCATTGACCGTCAATCGGTCTTTGACGCCCCGGTCGATGATGGTGAGGACTCGCTCGATAGCCGGACCATAATGGGTCTTCTTCGCCTCGTAGTTCTCGATCTTCTTCGCGGCCGACTGTTGATTGGTATGCTGGACTCCTTCGTCCAGCGCTTCTCTCAGCTTGATCAGACTCCGGGAGACGCTCTCGCACATCTTGAAGGCTTGTCGCCCCGCATTCCGGAACACCAACACCCAGCGATCTTCGCCCAATTCCCTCCGCAAGGTCTCGGCATCCGACTCCAACTTCTTCCATTGTTCTTCCAGCTGCTCCTTCCGTTTGTCAAGGTCCTCGCATCCCGTGGGAAAGAGGTCGTTCGCTCGTTGCTGGAAGACGGAGAGTCGCATCGGCAGGAAATCCAGCGACGCGCGGAGTGGTTGCATCCGTGCGAAGAGTGCCAGGAGATTCGAATCGTCTTGCGCTTTCTGAACGGCGGGAGAAGCGGCAGAAGGGCTCATTCCCATTCCAGGTTCCACACTATCTCGGGCGCGTGAAACAGATCGGGCTTGTCGGCTTGGCGCTTCCTCGACGATGGTCTCCAATTCTCCGATATCGATGCTATTGCTTGGATCGCTCATCGCCTCCAGCATAGCGGTGCGATGTCTTCTCTCCTCCATCTCAAAGACCAGTCGTCCCAGCGCTGTCAGCTCCAACCCGATCTCTCCCAGTACGGTGTTCCACAGCTCTTCCCATTCCATGGCAATCTCCACCTGTTCCTTGACATCTCCTAACGTGTGCTTGATCTTTTGCCAGTCGCTCATAATCCCATCCATCTGCTCCACCAGTGCGTGTAGTTTCTCGGGACCCAGACTTGAAATGTCTTTCCGCAATTGTAGTTGATCGATTGCGATGACGTATACTTCCACCAGGCTTTCAAACCGGTTGATGGCCACATCCACCTCTCCCAGTCCTTCCCGTCCGGCCGCCGCCGCCCATTCGACATCATCCTCCGCATCCAGTCCGTCCAGCACCTCCGACGCCTTGTTCATCCAGCGCTTGATCTGATCCGCCGCTTCGTCGAGGGTGTTCGCCGCGGCGACCGATGAAGGGATGGCGGCGATGCTCGACGACAGTGACGATGCCTGGGGGAGTCGTATTGATGTCAACTGGGATATCTGATTCGTGAAGGACGCCCGGGAGAGAGTGTACATCGACCCGACCCGTGACAGGCCATATGGATTGAAAAAGGAGACCGCGTCCTCCCCACTCTCCGCGTTCCCGTTGCCCGCTGCCGCGCCCGCCATTGTCGGGAAATACCCATCCCCATATTCATCCTTCGGCGGAGGTGTGGGCGCCATTCCGGGCGTGGAGTCGGCGGAAAAGTCAACCCGGGAACCACCACGCGACTTGGCTTCTTCGGGGAGGCGATACTTTAAAGTGTCGTGCATCGGATCGGGGTCGACATGGCGCTCGCTCGGGGAGGGCGAAGAGTCGTAGATACCTGGGCGAGAGCTGGTGCTGATGATGGATGAGAGTTCGCTGTCAGACTGGGGTGAGGGGTCCATGCCAGGAACAGCACGAAGAGAAGGCCAGGACTGGATCGGGGACGAGAGTGAACCGTAGAAGTGAATAATCTCGGGGCAATTTGTTTCGATTTAAGGGTCCTAACTCCGCCGAGTCGTGTTTAATGAGGGCGGATCTGGCCGTGAGGTCACCTGGAACCTATGGGCTGGCAATACCAAGCTGAGGATACACCCGATTCTCGCAGAAGTGGTGTGAACGGTTTGGCTTGAGGTCAGGACGGTCTTCTGCATATGCCCGATGGAGTCTGCAAGACCATGGAGTGACTTGTCGGAGTGTCGGAGAATTCACAGGGCTTCAGATTATAGGGAACAGTCGGGCTGGTGCGGTTTGATCTTAATGAGAGGGTGAGAGGCGTGTGCCAGTGGTGGCTTGGGGAGTGACAGGCAGCGGAGACTGTTTGGTGACAAGGGGTGTGGAGTGTGGAGTGTGGAGCGTGGACAAATCCTTCCAACGTCCCTGACGCGTTTGATGAATTAGAGATGGATCAGTCGGATGAATTTTTGGAATATCAGGACGGCATTGATAGGAGTGAGAAGTGAAAGAAGGGTCGGAGAAAAGGATGTAGAAAATCGATGAGAGGTGAATCCGAGAACCAAATGTTAGGCAACGCGTGTGTTTCCTACAGAGTCTACTACTAATGTTTCATGCAGCCCACCAGCTGTCAGTCTGGCCGTTAGTCTGCTAATAACTAATTACGGACGGGATGTAAACACGCGAATAATTAGTGGCTTGACCCGTAAAGTCCATCGACGTCACACGACAGGAATCACAGTTCGGAATGTCAACAAATAAATACTTGCTCTGGTCCTAGAAATTCGACGACGTATCCGTCTACAACAACGTGGAAGGCAGTTCAGAGAATACGATTACTAAAATCTGTGGATGGCACTCACCATTGACTACCCAGATCACAATGGTTTGGAAATAGGTTGGGAGTTGACTCAGTACAGTCATAGATAGTCCTGAAGTAGTGGACGCACAATTGTGCAGGTTGGAACAATCCAATCCAATAAATCTGAACACCACGCAGATCAATTATACAAATTTCGAGATTCACGTGAAGTACACCGTCCTAGCGAACACGGAATTCTCCTTGTACAATTTGGATACTACTAATAAGGGTATCATAAGAACAACATGAGTGGTGCTGTTTCGACGAACAGTCCAGGATGAATCTCTCATCGAAGAGACAGGTAGTATGCACATCTCCAAAGACACGTAAAATGTTACACGGCTTCTTCTTGTGGAACATCGGGTAAGTCCTTCTCAACCTTCACCATCGGTGCTCTCTTCTGCGCTGCCCTATCCTTCTCCTCCCATTCCATCGTGATCTCCGCCCGCACCGCACGACACCACTTCATCAACGCATCATCGAACTGCCTCCACGCCGCCGGGTTGCTATTCTGCACCACATCCAGCGCGTTGAACTCCAACTTCGCCTCCCACCGCAACTCCGCCGCCTTGCGCCAGTACTTCAGGTTGTCCGCGCATCGATACGGCTTGTTAGTGTCCGTGTGATACGTCTTGATCTCCTCGAAGTGCCGTTTCGATTTCTGCACCAGCGCGTTGTGCAGCCGTACCAGGCGCACCCCGTCCTGGACTGCCCGGAGAAAGGGCGTCGGCAGCGCGTCCGCGGTCGCGGGGTCGGTCCAGACGGGTAACTCTTCGGTTGCGGGGTCGAAGGAGCGGATGAAATGCCATTCGCGATCGCGTTCGCGGCCCGTCCAGTCGCCGTGCCGCCACTTCCAGCCATCGCGCTCTTCTTGATCGCGTCGCTCTTGGGCGAGCTCTTGGTCGAGCATGTCAGCGACGGTGCCGATCCACGTTTGCATCGCCGCGACTTCCAGGATGCGGATCCCACCGGCGAAGTTCCGTGCCGCCATGCGCTTCAGCACGTCCAAGACCTGGTACAATTCCCCGCGGATTTCCCGCTCTGATTTGATCGCGTACAGTTTCTGGGGGTGTTCGTGTAAGGTGTAGTAGTTCTTTCCGGCCCGGATGGCCAACGTCATCACATCCAGCACATGCAGTCCTTGGATCTCTTGCCAGCCGGGTGCGTCGGCCGACGAGGCGCGTTGCCCTGCCGTGGTGGATCCGGACGGGGTATCCAGGAGATCTCCCACGCTCTGGTGCTTCGTGCTCGTCTCGCTGATGATATCTTCGAGTACCTTGCTGGATTCGTCCAGCGCGTCCGTCAGTTCCCGACGGAGCATCGGTAGCCCCGGCGGTGACTCGACGTATACTTGCCGATAGTTGTACGTGCTGACAGTCGGAGGTAACATCATGGGCTCCTGTTGGGTATCCAGCTCGCTCGAGCCCTCGTCAAACCCCTGTGGCTCGTCGTGAATGACACCGCTTCCCATACTTCCATCATGCCATTCGGGATGGCCACTCGGGCTATACTTGTCGGAGGACTCGGACAACATCGATCCGTACCCTTCGCCCTCTCCGACGCCTCCCCCATTCTCTCTCCCAGCCATGACCCCACTGCCAGGCAACCCCTTCCTCGACTTCGCCAACTGCGCCCCCTTGCCATCCAACAATCCCGTCCGCGCGAAATAGTATTGCAGATGCGCAATCGACCCTAAACTCATCACGCTCTCCCGATTCTTAGCGGATTCGGCAAAGTTGGTCGCTTGGGGGCGCATGTAGCCGCGGCGTCGGAGGCTGGCTGCGACATCGGACGTGCGGGAGGTCGAAGAATGCGCGGAGACGCTGGAGGCGGATGAGGCGGTGGAGATGGAGCGGTCGAGGCGGGGGATGGCCGAGAGAGGGAGGACGGGAGACGCGGAGGGTGAGGGTGAAGAGCCGCGTGGGATGGGATCGTCAGAGGCCATGTTGAGGTGAGGAGGGGTCATGCCGACATGAGGATGATGGTAGGGTATCGATGAGAATTTCAAGAGTGTGATATCGAAGGATCGGTGCAATTTAGAAAGCAAGACAACTGCGCTGGCCGGTTTGCTGAATAATTACCATCACAAGAACAAAGGTCGAAGGGTTCCAAAGAAGGACAGATTATGTATTAAAAGAGTGTATGTTCGAGTAACCGCACGCATGCACAAGAGAAGGGGAGGCCTTTTCGAAGGGCGAAAGGGATGTGGAAGGGAAACAGGAAAAGGGTATGTAGGTAGGTAAGGTACCGATGAGGATTGGGATGTAATAATGCTGGAGTGATGCGTCAAAGGGGGGGTCTCCGCTCAATCTTCACGATTCACGCGTCGCAGGGGATAAGAACCGTGGAAACTGGGAATAAAGAGTCAAGAGAAAAAGACCGACACACTCTAGCCGGCCCGCCTGCCGCCTCCCGAACCGCTGGTCTTTGCAAACGATCTAGTGTCGATCAGAGTTCAGATCACTTGCAGAGTGCACAGCGCAGAGGGTAGATTGTCCGTCTGTCGACGTCCAGGTATATCCGACGGGTCCTTTGCAGAACTTCAATGCAGCGATGGCGAGCAGGGAAATGTTGAGCCTTCCCACACCGTGAAGCCGTGAGGGAGGCGTTTGTTTACGTGCTCGAATTGTCTTAGATTACCCGAAAAGGCCGAAATTGAAGGGAATGGGGAAAGGGGAAGACGATGTTCAAGGCGAATGAAAGTTGGGTCATCTGCCGAGCTAGCCAATTTGGGAGTCTTGATTAAATTGCTTTCTGCTGTCATTTGAAGTCGTCCAATTCTTCTTGTCGACGATCCATATATATACAACTATCAAGGTAATATTTAAATCAGCCGCTGCATGTAATTCAATATGTCCCGTCCATCCAAGAATTTATGACTGTGCCTCTTCCTTGGGTGGACGTGTATAGTTCCGATGTAGCATGCCCCATCATTACACCCCATTTGGCTATGGCAAGCAGGTCAAGATACCCTTCACCTTATCTAGAACCGTCTGCTGCCGAGCCCGGTCCACCGTGCTCTTGTCATCCGCATCCCCTACCGAAATCGTAGCATAGCATCCATCGGTGCGTAACACGGTTGACAGTTCCTGCGGTAGCCGATCCGTTCCGCACCACTCCACGTCCCGCTCCGAGAAAACCCCCGGGTTGATCCGCGTGAAGATGAACTGGAAGTCCTCCAGCTTCTCGCATCGTCCGTCGCCGACTGTGGGGAAGTTGACGTTGAGCCATGCGCCGTCGGGGAGATAGGGCGTACCGGACGCCAATACCGTGTTAGTGACGTTCAGCGCCAGGTCCGCATACAGTTGGCTATAGAGGGGAGTCGGTTCGGTGAACGATGTCGGGTCGCCCGACGCGCCCGAGAAAGCGATGCCGGGGATTTTATGTTCGTTGACGCTGTAGACGACCGCGCCGATGGTGCCGGAGAACTGGACCCCGATGAAGATGTTGGAGCCCACGTTGGGACCGGCGACAGCGAGCTCGGGCCGCAACCCACCGAAGAACTGGGACGCCACCGTGTTGATGCCGTGCTTCATGGAGGTGACGGGGTAGGAGTTGACCCAGTTGAGGCGGCCGTCGTTCGGGTCGGACCCTGTGGGACCGCTGTTTGCCGGGCAACTGTCATGTTGGCATGATTCGGTTCTATCCGTGGGTGGAGAGTCGAGAGAGCCTTGGATATAGTTAGGGATCGGTATCAAACACACGCAAATTCATGGGTTACTGGATCGACATGGCAAGGGGTAACGATCTGTATAGGAACATGATATACAGTATGTAGAACAGTATGTAGCATCAACCAAGCCAGAAACCACCAATGCCACGTCCAGGCTCTTTCTTCTTGCAGACCTGGAAATAGGACTTACCCCTCCCTGATTGATTCTCCGCAGGCCCGGACAAGACTACATCATGTCCCGCGGCCTTCAGCACAGTATGGAGCGTCCGCAGGTTGACTTCTGCCCAACCATCATCGTTGGATTGCACGATTCTCACAGCCTGAACGGATAGCAGAAGCGGCAACAAGCTCGACAGGACTTGGAACTTCATCTTGCAGGCTCGAGCAAACTCGAGTAAACGAATGAAGATTGCGCAAGACGAAAAACAAACCAAAAGAAGGAATGGGCGGTGGTAGAGGTTCGTGATGGATCTTAATACTGTGGTCGATTCCACAAGCGTTTCAATCGCTTTATATTACACTCCTTTCCACCGCTCAACTTCCCCTCATCTCCCCAAGACCCTACAATTTCTAGTTTCGTATCTCTTAGCCTTGCCAATAAGCTGGAACGTGTACTGGGCACTGGAGCTCCTACCTATAACATCGACTTCTCGGCATTCATTGTGGATGAATAGATTTAGCGCGACGACCATAGCAAAGCTTGAGCCGACCTGGCGGCATCATTGGTTGGCAAGAAAAACAAGTGTTGGCCATGGCGGCGGTTTCAAACCCGTTCAAGAGGACGAGTGCCTGGCGCGGACGCAGGCAGTGTTGTGCCTGGCGGACGTGATTGGGGAATGGCGCGTAGGCGTCTTAGAAACAGAGAGGATTTTCTGGGCTTGTGACAAGTTGAACACCTCGTCTCTTGGCAACGAGGGCAGAAACATGCCTTGATCAACATATCTCAAACATTATAACAGACAATGGTTTGGATACTTCGCATGGTTATTCCGCCATCATGAATGGTATCGGCTGCGTAGAATAGTTACCGACAGGTCTAGAAGAGTGGGAAATGCTTAGGCGGGAGGTTGGTTCAATTCGGCCCTCTCACCAATGTCGTCACACCTCGTGACCCGCTCTCCGTTGATATCAACATCGGCGAGACGACGACACCTCTGCACTGGCCTCCCTGAAACAGGAACGTGTACCGGCAGAGGAGTCGACGAGCTTGAAACGTTCAATTGAAACTGTAATACCAGCCAACATTGGATGTGGCCGCTAGAGAACGGCAATCCTATTTTGAAGTGCGCAGTCTATGACGGAACATCGACATTCGTACTCAGAAGACGTACAGGTTGAGGTGAGAAGAGAAGATCTCGGGATCCAGCATGAGTAGACGAGTGCGTGTCGATATAAAATCAAAAGAAAAGAGCAGGATAACTGATGGATTCAAGATTTCGTTCATCGTTACCGGGAGGGTACAAGGAGTGTGCTTCAGGTCGGTCATTCATCTTCCATGCGGAGGGCAACCATATCCGACACACAAGATGCTAACATGTCGCCAGAGCCTCCACAGTCGACAGTGCCAAAGGCCTCGGGCTCACTGGGTTCGTCAAGAATGCTAGAGATGGTAGTGTACGTCCTGCTGCCCTCGCTTTCATATGCCCTGATGCTATCCGTTACGCGGATAGTCGCGATAACCGTTCGTCCCATCGCGCAACGTTGGATGACCCTTTTAAAACCACCTCCAACGACAGTCTCTGAGAACTGACCCCTGATGCACCACGAGCAGGTTACCGGCGAAGCACAAGGTCCTGAAGGGAAAGTCCAGGAATTCGTCGAGTTCCTGCAAACGGGTCCCCCTGCGGCACGAGTGGAGAATGTGAGGCACGAAGCTATCGACGCCCGGCCGGATGAGAATGAGTTTTCTCATGCACGGCACTGATCCTAGATCACGGGGGACGATTTGAAGGGGTGGTTGGACGACGGTGATGGCGTCGCGTAGTGACGATGTGGTGCCCGGCGCCAGATGATGTACGATACGTAGAAAGCATACAAATGTCATTGCTTCGAATTTATTCCCGTACTTTGAGGGGTTGATGCATTGGTCTTGTTTGTCTCTCTGCTCTACCTCTTAGGGTGATGTAAGTTATCCACCAGCTTTTGATCTACCAGCAGTCCTAATCAAATGCTAGAATCACTTAGCCACTACAATATTTGTCGCGTTGCCCCATTCATCTCCGCAACGGCTTTCCTTGCTCCGGAATTCGTGTTGACACACGATCCAACCGCACTCAGCGACATGTGGTCCGAATTCACCTCCCATCCACACATGCACAATATCATTCCCCGACCGCCAATCCAATCAATAAACTCGGGCGTTTAGCTTAGATATAAAACGTACCGGACCACCTAGAAAGTAGTTCTTCTAAGGAGACGTAGTCCATGATGGTTCTTCGGAACCGGGCCCCTTAACTGGACTTGATCAAATCCTTGCGTTCACCAGACTGGTTCTTTTAGGCGTTTTAATTGTTTTTTCTGGCATCGAGAACCGTGTGTGGGCCTTCTATGGTAGCTCTTGTGGATTTATCCCTCGCCGTCGTGGAAGATTAGCGTGATGTTGACATTGCTGATCGTGGAGTCTCGGTGTGGACTCGAGGTCTACCTGGACACATCGCACCTCACCTCACCTAAGCCTCGCTCATGACAACACTTATCTCTATTCGTATGGGTATCATTATTGCTAAGTAATTGCTGAATGAATCAGGATTCGTCAAGCTGCTATACCTCCATCTCACCACTGCCTTCAGCCTGTTGAGCCCCTGACTCTGCTGGAGCATCTGCACCACCTGTTCTTGTAGATGAGGGTCCTTCATCTTTCTTGTTTCCATCGGTAACTGTGAGCGGATCCTGAAGGGTGGCAGGCTCCACCCACATAGCGTCGACGCGCCTCTTCCATCTTCTTCTCCGCTTTCCTGGCTGCTCAGTCTCCGTTCCATGATTGGCATCCTCTCCCTCTGGTGATCCACTGGCATCGTCAACGTCATGCATGTCCATATCCGTGTTCGCGGCTACTCCGGCGTCTTCTCCAGTGCCACCGACGACAGTAGCTGATTCCGCCGTATCCGCCGCTATCGGAATTTCCGCGCCGGGAGGAGGAATTGCTGTCAGCTTCGTCACCTTGACTTCATCCTCTTCCCCTTTCTTTGCCTTCAGCTCGCTTAATCTCTCTAAGAATCGTGCTTGCGCCATTCGCTCTTTGGAAGCCCCGGTTTCCAGTATGATCCGCTTCCCTCGCCCTGCCGGTGCCATTGGCGGCCCGTCAGCCGCACTGCCCTCAATTGCTGGTAAAGACGGCTCCCGGGGAAGCTCAGTAGGAGGGGGAGGAGGCTCATAATCAGGCTGCTTCCGCTTCAGCTTTGCATTTGAAGCGCGTAGTCGAGCGGTGCCGACGCCGAGGAGGTCGTAGTTCTGCATGGATCGGAGGGGACGTGACTCCTTGTCCGCCGGCGAAGGGAGTCCATTCGACTCGGTTTCGAGGTCGATAGAGGTAGATTCCAGCTCTGTCGTGGCGCTGCTGGATTTGCTGAAGAAGAGATGGCCGCCGATGGGTCGGGTCCATTGCGTGGTGAAGTAGGAACCCCGGAAATAAAGGATTGGGTTTGAGGAGGCCAGGGCAAGAATCTGGATGGACTCGTTTGCTTGAGATGTCTCAGGACCCGCGGATAGAGCCACGCCCGACTCGTCGGAGGATCCATCGGAGGAACTTGAGCGGAGGCTAGATGGAGTCGACCGGAGATCATCGTCCTTGGGTTTGTGCTGGGAGAGGCTCGCATTTTGAACTACACCAGGAGCTATCCCGCTAGGTGGAGGTGGAGGAACAGTGGCGGAACTGAAATCGATAGAAACGTGAAATGTCTAGAGGCATTAGACCAGAGGACTGGAATGTTGATCGTTGCCTCACTTCTTTGTCGTTTTCATCATATTCATATTCCCAGTCCGAGCCCTCATTTTCATCGTCGTGTCCATTGCTGTGGACCTCTAGGTCATGTTTCACTGCCGCTGCCATGACGACTCCGTAGTATACCGTTCTGTACCATCAACTCCGCACAGCGATCCTCCTCATATGAATACGGTATCGCCCAAACTGCCCAACTTCCCCAGTGTGGTCCCTTAACTCTACTTTTATTAACAGCTCCCCAGATCCAACTTCCACGCTCTTCACTGGTGCAAGGTCATCCGCTTGTTCTGCCGGCCACAAGAGTATACTCTATTCCGCTCCCACACCTCCCCAGAAATAAGGGTGTTCAATCAATAGGTCGTGACAGCCCTCGAAACGACTAAACAATGGGCGACGATTGCATCCGACGAGGTGTAGACGTGGGGGGTCTCAATTCGCCAGTGGGCATCAGAATATCGGGATTCAAGGGCACTGAGAGAACGGGTAGCGAATCAGGTGAAAGCAATCATGGAAACCCTTAAGCAAATGATAACTGAAGGTTTCAGACGTTGGTTGGTCAGGTGCAGAATTGGATGGCGGATGATCCATAATTAAATGCTATTTTCGCAGTCATGATGTGGTGGACTAGCTTAGTTCGGACCCAAAGGCTAGGGTTGGTGTTGGTGAGCGGCCAACTTTGGTAAGGGAATGATCCTTTTGAGAGATGAAAGCCCGAAACATGACCGGCGGGGTGACACACAGCCGCTTCCGGGTGCCCAGGGGTGCCTATACGGGCCAGAGGTGCCTATAACTAGGTCACTCACACACTACCACGGTGGTCGGTGACTCTCTGACTGCCCGCCCGGCGCCCGCCGGATTGCCCGCTGATCTTTGTCCGTCTCCCCCTCACTGCATCATCTTCCTTCTTTGATTCACCGCATTCCTGCTGACTGCTTATGCAAACATCCTAATACATCCTCGCGCCCTTACCTATACGTCCTTTCGTTTCTTCGTTTACTGCACTGGATTTTGCACTTTCCACTCCCTCGCAGGCGGAGGATACCATTTCACGACATGCAACGACCAAGAGCGTTCTCCGAGCCATCCGCCACCCTTTGATCCTCATGTGGGGGACTAAGCCGATATACCCGTTCCACTGTACCCCGAAATCGAGACCGCCAGCTGAGTACTGCTGACAGATCGGGTTGGAAAGCGGTACATAGTTGTCGCCGCTGAATCAGATAAGAGTGAGTTTCATAATTCATTGCAAATCAACCTTTTCATTCTTTATCTGTCCTCTCATTGTTGTCGCTGTTTGCATTTGACCGTCTCGCCTCCGACCTGCCAGATATCCGCAGTCCCACTTGCCGCCGTTCGGCCTGGAAGTCGCAGCATGTACTTCCACTCGCTCTGTCTAGAACTCTCACTAATCGTTCTTGCTCACAGTGCCTCTGTTAGTTCAGACAGCGCCAGCACAGGTGGCATTAGGGCCGCCTGTGCTGTCCTCCATCGCTTCATCATGGACAACGGTTCCGTTTATCTCTACCACGACTTTCGCTGCAGAACATCTCGCGGCGACAAGCGGATCATCGATACCGGGCATCGAGTACTCCGAACAATCGTTACTATCTAAGAACCCACTGGACCATCTCACTACCCCGTCAATACCTGATACCATCACCGTCACCACGCCGTATCCGACCTCAGTCTTTGCCCCGCACCACCACAACCACTCCATCTCACCTATGCCTCCACGCCGGAACCGAACGTCGATCTTCGGCACGACTCCGCAAGTGTTCGGGGCCATAACTTTCGCTGGATTGTTCTCCCTGTTCGGTCCATCGAGCGCCGAGCTCACCGAACTCGACGAGACATGGATTGCGACGTCGAACTCCTGGCTGGATCGGTCAGCATGTCGGTGGATTGGGGTTTGCGGATTAAAGCATCTCAACCCAGATGGATGGATATTCCAGCCGGGCGAGGAGCCACCCCTCGTGCCTCCTGCGAAGGACGATCCCGCCCTATCCGCCGCTTTCGAGGATAGTTGGAGAGAGGATGGTAGCAGCTGGACGGAGGAGGAGAAGCGGATTCGGGAGATTCCGAGCTATGTCATGACGTACGCGCCGTATGTGCACCTCTATTCAGAGGAGGAATACTGGCCATCGGATGTTGCGGAGCATCTGATGCATACCACCCCCTATCTCAACTATACCCCTGCCCCCGAGAAAACCTGGGATTTCGATCTGGACGCTCTGCACCGGCTGAACCATTGGGGGAAGTCCGTTTACTTGCAGAGTAAAGACAACGTTGAAGAGCGTCCAGACTGGCTCGGTAGCCAGGTGAACGTTCCGGTACCGCCGTCCCTCGACGATCCAAAGCCAGAGCCCGACATTTCCATCCCAGAACTCAACGATCCTCAACTATCTCCTCGAGCAGTTGCGCCTCCCATCGAGCCGCCAATCGGTTCGCACCGACGCATGGGCACTCTTCGCGCGGGGGAATCGAAACAATGGATGTTCGGCAAGAAGGTTGAAGGCGGACGCAGCAAAGCCCCCGCCACCCTTGTCGTCGTCGACAAAGGCAACGGCACCGTCGATGCCTTTTGGTGGTTCTTCTACAGCTATAACCTAGGCAACGAGGTGTTTGGTGTACGGTTCGGAAACCATGTGGGCGACTGGGAACACATGGTAGTGCGATTCGCCAATGGGACGCCGACGTCGGTCTTCATGAGTCAGCATGAGAACGGAGTGGCGTACAACTATGATGCGGTGGAGAAGATCGGGAAGAGGGTAAATCCATCCCATTCTTCCTCCTGGAATGTCTTGCTAACGTTTCTACCCAGCCTGTCGGTTACTCTGCCACCGGCACCCACGCCATGTACGCCACACCAGGGGTTCAGGCCTACATCCTCCCCTTTGGCCTCCTCTACGACCTCACCGACCGCGGCCCTCTCTGGGATCCCGCGCTCAACATGTATTCCTACACCTACAACATGACCACCCGCGAGGCCCGCAGCTCGAACCTCACTCCCGACGCGCCGACCGGCCTGATCAACTTCCGCGGCCACTGGGGCGACAAGACCTACCCGCTCAGCGACCCGCGGCAGTACCGCTTCGCGGGGCAGTATCATTACAGCAGCGGGCCGCCCGGGCCGAAGTTCCACCGCTTGAACCGGACGAACATCTGTCAGAAGGAGGGGGGATGTGACATTCGCGATTGGCGGTGAGCGGGCGTACGGGGTTTGATTTGACGACGTTATGGATCCGCACGGGATGCGGATGGGATACGGGGTACGGGACATGACGGGCGATGAATAGGCGTTCCTTGATTTGGCGACGATGGGTTGCATTACGGTATGGGCTACATGGCAGCTGGTTTTCCGGTCGCTCCGCGTTCTGGCACAGGTGCTCGGGTACGTCAAGGCATGTGGGACTGGATCGGGAATCGCGACATCCTCTGGTCGGGGGCACTAAACGCGGTTAGATGACCCAACGTCGTGTATAGATGAGTATTCTTTTGTAGGCAATCCTAGAGGTATCCATCCGACGGCGTTTGTGCCCTTATGAGTTGTGACTGAGGAAATTTCCGTGAACCGTTTATGGCATAGGAGAATCCGTTCAGCGCTTCAGTGCGAGAACGGCGACACTTTGGTTCGGTGGATGTTGCACTAGATTATACAAACATTGGAATGAGTAACTAACGCGGGTGGCTGTCATAGAATGCCTGGGTAGGTTTGGGCTATGTTCACGGTAAAATCGTGGATAGAAACAGATATTGGGAGTGCTAACAGTAAACATAGACGATATTCAGCCAATAGACCATATCCAGAAGGGTCTCTCCCGGGAATTGACACTCTCTACTCCTATTGTGAATATACATTGTCGGACGTGGACTCATCAATATGGAATACAGTCCTGATCGTTCTACTGTTTGCAATGCCATCTCCTCCCTCTCAGTCAACAGTGGGATTTTGAACTACCTGCTCCTTTGCGTTTAACTTTGTATACCCCTCATTTTTGCGTGCCGGTGATTGTTTGATGTCCAGGACTGTTCATGATAATCCCGGAGTTTGCTCGAGTTTCAAGATCAGAAAATCCTGCTATGATTCTTCCTCAGGACAATACCTAATTTAATGTTCTTGCTCAACATCCTCTCTTGATCAGAGGCTGTTGATGGGACGAGGTGCAGCAAAGAGGATGGTACATCCTGACGTTTCCGGTAAGTTACCGTCACTGTCAACAGGTCAGCTGCAGCCTTCCCCTGCATAGAACTGCATCTGATGTATATGTACTGCAGACACTAAGCAATAGTCACTAAACACCAGGATATCAGTCTAGACCGACTGACCAAGGATGGAGGCTGTGGCCCCGTTCCGAGAGCTTCTTCCATGAATGCCGTGAGCAGTTCCGTCGTCCAAGGGCCATCAACTTCTTCGACTCATCCTGAGTTCCAGGTGATTGTCGGATGGGATTTGGCCGTGGACCCCATGCACATCTTGCCCAACAACGGGCAGTATTGATGGGAAGGCAAACCAGGAAAGGTGTTTAGGGCACGCCCTTCCCGATGTCGCCGGTATATTACGTGCGCTTGGCTACAATAATAGGATGACTAGGGCAGGGGAAGGGGGGATGAATGCTCGATTGGTGATGCTCGTGTGACATGACCAAGTAACATCAGTACATCATCACTCATTCACCTATACAATGTCGGGAGCGGGAGGCCCTTTACTCGAGGCTTCCGTTACGTTGCATTAGTTGGAGTATTATAGTACCAGTCAGGTAGGGGATTGTTGCTGTTGGGTTGATATTGGTACCAACGAGGTCGTTGTTAGGGCTTTATACTACAATACTATCCACCAAGAAGAATAGCCATGAAACTTGCCTTTCCTAACACTTGATAATACAACACAGCTAAAGGATCCAGACATCAGGGAGTGCTGCGAAGCCTGTGACCATGCTGGAATAGCTGGATACCGCGTAGGAGGATGACCAGGTGATGATCAAAGCCCCACCCGTCATCCACCCATCTATCACCACCACCGTCCTTCCGCTTGTTCATCCTGTTCCCCTCCCAAATCCCAACCAACCACCCATATGGCACCAGGACCTGCGGCAGACTGCCTTGTCTCACCATCTGACCAGCGCCACGGTTTCGCCATTCCGCCATTTCACCATTTCACCATTTCACCATTTCACCATTTGGCCATTTCACCATTTGGCCATTTCACCATTTGGCCAGCCCAGCCTTCCCTTTTATCCCAACAAGGACTGAAGGGGGAGGGATTGTCAGTGTTGAAAGTCAGGGCTGCCTCTTCACTGGCTGTGGCTACACTGGCTCTAGAATTGATTGATTATCATATCTCTGCCACGATACCAAGGACTGCGGCTGCCGTCATTAGCAACACCGATTCTAAATTAGTCACGCCGAGTGGATTATTGATTACTTTACCATTTTACTCGTTGAGTGGTAAATATCTGGTGAGAGTGACAAAGTGTGGACAGACAGACCGGGAGGTTATCAGATGGTCACCGCTTTGTTCCGCCCTTTGTGATAATTAGCGGCGCCTTTACGCCAAACCCCACGCTGCCATCCCCCTTTGAAGCATCATACATATTACACGTACACGTTGTTCTTCCACCATTACACCACGACACCACGACATCTCCTACAATCTCCCATTCACTGAAGTCACCTCTCCTCCCTCCCCTTACCTCATCCCTTCTCTGGTTCAACATATCTCCATTCCCGTTCACTTCAACTTGACTTCGTTACTCTCACGCGTCCTGCCATCACGTCAGCGCTCCACCCCTCCTTACGGTCAGCGATACCACTATCTCGATACAACACGGCCGCCATCCAGCTCAACATCACCCCCGATTCTATTCACTACGCATCGCACCATTGATAGACCGGCCTAGGAGACTGCAGCCTGCATTATCGGTCTTAAATTCATCATCGCCATTTCCATTATGGCACAACAGCAGGCCCCACAGCGGCCACCACAACTCCGCCAACCCTCCTATCTCAACTCCAACGCCGTAGCGGGACCCAGTAATGCGGAGAACACCCTCAATTCCCCCGAGCATCCTTCACTCGCCCTTTCTCCGACCCTCTCCTCCCGCAAACGAACTCTTGAGGACTCGCAAGAATGGGTTCTTTTCTCCCCCGACACGGCGACGTCATCGCCATCCCTCATTCGGACCCACACCGCGTCAACCGGCCGGACACTTCGCACGGTGGGCCTCACGCGGTATAGCGATGTCGGATCGCTCGACACCGCCGCTCGCTCCGATCAGATCAGTTCCGATGCATACGGTGATGAGGATGCCATCGACGTTGACAATGACCTAACTTGCCACGGCTCCGATGAGGAGGGGACAGCCGATCTCGATAGCCTGGACGACGGCCTCCATGCTTTCCACGAACTGTCCGACTGGAGTGGAGGGCCTCGCGCACGTCTCGATCAGAGTGGTGGGACTGTCCTGCCCACCCACGATGGGTTCGGGTCGTTCAATGCTAGTGGCACGCAGGCCGTGATGCAGGAACAAATCGGGCAGTTTGAGCGGTACAATACGCGACGCCGTGGCAGTTCGCAAGTGCGAAGGCGAACATCAAGTATCCAGCGGCGCTTGGATGCGCTGCAAGAGGTGGAGGAGCTTACGGGTGAGCACGACCGGATACAAATGGTGGAGCGATGGAGACTGGAACAGAGCAAGGCATTGCTGGAAGAGATTGAGCGGGAGACGAGGCGAATGCGGAGGATGAGCCGGACGAGTATACGGAGAGGAAGCCGTGCGACGAGCGTGGGAGGGTTCACGGCGACGGGCGCAACGGAGGGCGAAGTTGGTGCGGCCATGTCGGCGGCATCGGCCACAGGAGTGGACGAACCTCCTGAGAATGAGTCATGGTGGCAGCGTTTCACCCGCAAGGTGATCCGTGACTTGATGGGGATCGACGAGAACTTGCTTTCCGTCATCTTCGGCGAGGCTCTACCGATTGAGGCGACGGCATCAGGAGACGGCAACGATTCGGCCGGTACGACACCCACCAACAGCACCATGCGAGATATCCTCGCAGAAGGCCAGGATGAGTTGGACCACTCATGGGAACATCGGCTCCTCTCCCGCATCGCACGGGAACTCGGCAGTCTCGTTCACCAACTCTCGGAGCACCCGGGGGCATTTTCAACATACGTCCGCACGCAGGAGACGCCTACCTACGTCGGGGCGCGCGGTCCCTCGTCTCGACAGCCGACCACCCATCCCACCGGCACCATTGCGCATGACAATTCCCCATTCGGCCCGCTTAGCCCGCTCACGCCCACAACCTCCAACTCGACCGGCCCCCTCTTCCAGCCTACCGTACAGACCGCCCACCGCACCCCTCCCTTTAGCGACCCCTCGCTCTGGGGTATTGAAGAAGAAGAGGAGCCCCTACCGTCGGACCCCCGCCATTTCAACGAGCTGGACCGTGTATATTGGGAGCGCGAGCTCGACGCCAAGCTCATCTTCAACTTCCTCCGCCAACGCTTCTCCTCCCGCCCCAGCTCCCCCACCCCCGAAGCCTCCGGCCTCTCTCGGTCTCCGTCGAACGACCTCGGCACCACCCCTCCTCACGCCTTCCACGGCCTCCCCTCCGTCACCGCGCCTAGCCTCGCCTCCCCATCCACCTCCCCCCCCACTACATACGTCCATCCGCATCTCCAACCACTCACCCAACCTCGCCCCACCACCGGCATCACCTCCGCCTCCGCAACCGGCCACTCCCCCGCCCACATATCCGCACCCGCCATCCGCCCCTTCAACACCCCCGCGCACGCCCGCCGTGCCGCACTCATCCGCGCCAACCACCCTCTCGCTACCCCGCCAATCTCACGACGACGGGACCTCCACCGCCACCACGGGCACATCCCGCACCGGTTCAATCCCAGCGGCGGATTACGTGGGGGGGTGGAGGGGACGAGCGGGGTGGGGATGTTGTTGCGGAGGGGGGGCACGGCGGGGAGTTCGAGTTGTGCGAGTCAGAGTACACGGCGAAGTTGGAAGAGTGGAGGGGGGAGTGGGGGGAAGGGGAAGGGGAGGTTTTGGGAGGGAAATGGGGGGAGTGATGGGGGGATTGTGGTGTGATATGGTAGGTATATGAGGGTGGGGAGGATGGGTGACGAGGGATATTTTAGTAATATGTGCTATATGATGATGACTTGTACAACGCATGGACGGAGGGATGTCGCGGGTTTACGAGAGAAGTTTCATAGAAGATGTCGTTTCCACTTCTGAGGTGTAGCGTTTTTTCTATCTTTAACTTAATTCTCCGTTTCTTTCTTGGAGCTCGCTCCGACATAAATGTCATCTAGAGTTTCCCACTTTCATCACTGGTGCATGTCGTGAACATGATTGTTTCCAGATAGAAACGGAGCATAACGAATGAAGCGTATCATACTAGAGATTGAAACCAACTGGATTGTGAGTTGAATGATCCTTTACGGCCTCTTGTGCTGGTATCTACAATGATTTGCAAAGTACGGTCGGCATGGTGCATGAAGAGGGTAATGGTCACTGATTGATAGCATGCAAGGACGAGGTATCGGGATTTTATGAGTGCCATTGATTGCCCTGTAATGAAGCATCATTTTGAATAACAGTACAACCTTATTTGACTCCCGTAATGTCGATCAAACCCGTTCTCTTTCCATTCCACCTCCACAACCTCAAGCCTCGAAGGCCTGGGGATACGACTCCATGTTCGACGCGATCGACCCCCGGCTCGTCAAGAACTTGACGTAGGCGCCATCGGGCTTGATCTTCCCCTCCTGCATCTTCTTCACGAACTCCTCCCGTCGCAGCGTGGTGAACCCCCAGTTCTTGCTCACGATGATCTTTTGGCGGCCGGGGAACTTGTACTGGCTCCTCCGCAGGGCCTCGATGGCGGTGGGCTTGTGCGCGTCCTTGGTGCGGATGGACAGCAGGATCTGGCCGATGTTGACGCGGGCGACGCGGCCGTAGCACTTGCCGAAGGCACCGCGCATACCGGTTTGCAGACGATCGGCGCCGGCGCACGACAACATCTTGTTGATGCGGACGACGTGGTGCGGGTGCGGGCGGACGCGCATGTGGAAGCCTTCCTTACCAGCGATCTTGACCATGTACTTGTTGGCGCAGATACGGGCGGCTTCGAGGGCTTCGGAGGAGAGCTGCTCGTATTCGTTGGAGACAAGGTGGACCTATGGGAGTTACGTCAGTTGTTGTTGGATGGACGTGTTGGAGTCGGTTCAACGTACACATAGCGGGAACTCAGTGATATCTGCGCGCTTGCGGCCCAAATCGTAGATCCTGATCTTGGCGTCGGGGACACCACGGTTGAAGCGAGACTTGGGATACGGCTGTGATGACGAGAAGTCAGTTTTGATGGTCTTCTTTGAAAGACACCCATCTCGGGGCGTGTGTGGTCGAATGCCATACCTTGTTCTTGCAATAGCGGTAGCAATGAGCCGGTCGTCGAGCCATCTTGACGGATATTTGCTCGATGGGACTATGTTGTGGTTGTTGTGGTGAAAGAGGAAAGGGAGAGGTGAGAGGGTTATGAGGTGGAGGTGGTGGTGGCGTTGGCAGTTGTAGGTGGATTTCAAATCAGGTGCGCCAAGCCTCTGGTGGTGGTGACTCCTTCGCTTACGAACATTCACGGCATTTGCCACCCACACTGCCCACCTGCCGATCAATCAGCCACTGTATTTCAGGACATAGAAGAAATTGAGAATATTCAGTAGAAGTGAACTACGATAGGATGCCATCATTATAGGTACTATAGCATTGGATCCGAGAATTACGAAACTGGTTGGAATTATTGGTTTGTTGGCACTCGGTAATTGAGTCCAGCTAGGCGAGCAGTTGAATATCACAATCACAATCGAGTCACAGAAGTTGGATAGATCTCGCATAAGATATGGCACGCTGTCGATTCATGGTATTTCGCGGCATCAAAAGAATCCGCTCACGGATCTAATACATAGGTATCCATTTCCCGTTTTAACGCCGGACGCAATGCCATGCTTCCCATCCCCATTCATCGCTTAGGCAGCGGCGGTGGAGAGGATATCGGAGTCACCAGCATCCAGGACAGCCATGGTGGAGGTCCTGAACAGCTTTCCGCAGGCGGTACCCAACTCAATCTGCAGAAATATATCGCGTCAGTCATTGTGCGCCCTCCAAAGTCTTGCATGGAGACTTTTTCGCAGGGCAGGTCACCTCCTGCGACAGAAGGACCGGGGGAAGGAGAGGCTTACGTTGTTTCCGGCGAAGTGGTGGACGCTCGTCTTGGCCAACATGGAGTAGTATTCGAGCTCCGACTTCTTGAGGGGAGGAGTGTTGCCAGCGATCTTGTCAAACGGTCAGATTTTGCCGTGTCAAGGAGCTTCTTGTCTAACTTACGATGACAAGCTTGGCCTTTCCAGATCGCAGGCTCTTGAGGGTCGACTTGTAGCCCAGGGTGACTGGATATATGATTAGAGGGAGGACTCGGTTGAAATTTCATGGAGCAGTACACACCTTTACCAGACTTCATCACAAGCGCAAGGCGCGAGTTGATGGAGTCAGCAGCTTTCTTTGATCGCTTGGGAGCCATTTTAGCGATTGGGATTGAATGGCGGTGGGATGGATTGACGGAAGTGGGAATAGATTGGAAGTCTTAGGATCGTGAAGTCGCGAAGAGGAGGAAAATTATCGAGTTGTGGGGGACTGCTGTGTGGGTGGTGTGGCTTGGCCCAGGTCACCTGACTGGAATCTATCTATCGACCCTCTGCTCGCTCTCTCTCTCATTCAGGCATCAAGGAACCCACGCCAGACTACCATCTCTTGCGCCTTGCATGTGCTTTTCGACATGAACCCTTAATAGCCCAATACAGAAGATGGTCGAGCATAATGTAAGTCGTAACAACCATCCACATGTCGAATCAGGTCTCAAGAACATAGATCGGCCTAGTCTAAATTACAGTATACATACTTCATACAGGTATAGATCTGTTTACAATTATGTCGCAACTATGAACTACACCGAAGGCGATGCTAAGATCCAGCACCTCATTCCATCCGAATTGAGTGGTCAGCAGACCACGTATTATTAGAACAAAACATGAACAAGCAGGCGAGCACATAGATCGCCTCAGTATTACACATATGATACCTACATACCCGAGGACAGCCAGAGGTGAACCAGCATCTGCCAGTGTCAACAACATACAATACTGAGGGGGCAATTAGCAACCCTGTGATATGGGAGTACTGTCATCTCCAGACAACCACCCATGATATCCAAGGCCTCCTTCCGTCCACGTCTCTTCTTGGTTCTCACTCTCTTTCGCACATACGCTAGACAGTGACACAGACATTCGAAACAATTGATAGCGCATGTTAACAGGAATCTTGTCGTGAAATTTCCAGCTCACGCCATCCCGACCTGACAGGAACAGCCACAACGGCCAGGTGCAGGGAATCGAGTTCGGCTATTCTTCGCCACTCGCGTCTTCTCACGGAAGCGCTGCGCATTGAGCGTTCAACGTCGCGGACTCGCGCCAGCCCTTCGTATCGACTATCGACAATCATTAGCGACGCCGACGCCATACGATTTCAGCTTAGTCGCGTCCCTGCTCCAGGTTATCAGCAATCACCATCCTTGATTCCTCCCTATTAAGATGTCGTCGTCTCCCAAAAAACCTCCTGGAGGCACCAATCGCTCGACCAACCCATCGCAGAAGGCCACATCTTCATCCGCAACGCAATCGCCGGGAACGCCCAAGACCTCCTCCTCGAACAAGACGACCTCCAGCAAGTCCGGCTCCTCGCAAATGGCCCCGAGCGCGAGCGGAGTTTCTCGAACCAAGTCCACGAAAGGAGCCAACGGCTCGCCTTTGTCGGCGCGCGCCTCAGTGAAGAAGCCGGGAAGCGGCGCCGGTTCAAGCAAGGGTGATGGCGCACCGGCAGACAATGCGGAGGAGGATTCGAAACTGGCGTTGATTGAAGATCTGAAGGAACGGCTCCAGCACGGTGAGTCCGTCACGGAAGAGCTGCAGAAGCAGGTGGAGGTCCTTCAAGCCCGACTGGACGAATCGATCCGCGACCAAAGCAAGCTGGAGGAGCGAGCGCATGAAGAGGAAGAGCGCAACGAAGGACTCGAGAATGACCGGAAAGAGTTGGTCAGACAACGGAGGGAGCTGGACAGTATATATGAAGCGGAACGTGCTTCGATGATGAAAGAGAAGGAAGAGGCACAATCAAAGGAAGATGAGATGCACGAGACTATCCAGAGACTCAAAGACGCTCTTAGTCAACGAGATCTCAAGCCACCCACCGACGAGGGCGGGAGAATCTCTCGAACAGGTATGCCATTGCCCTATCTTTCAAATCGCCTCACGCTCACTTTTCTTCCTCTAGCAAGCTTCCAGAGTTCCGCATCGGGAGGCGCAGATAGCAATCAGTTCGCTCCTTCGGCCTCGCTTCAACGGAGCAATTCTCGCAACAACTCCAAGATTCTACTCCAAAAAGACAAGGTAATTGAGTCCCTTCGTCTAGAATTGGCCGAAGTACAGATCAAACTTGTCGAGATGGAGAACATGGGTGGCGGCAGACTGCAGGACTTGGAAAAGTCTCTGCTTGAAGCCCGTATGACCAACGCTCGATTGATGGAGGATAACGAAAGCTTCCAGCTCCTCCTCAGCGAAAAGACCCTCAACGGCGACTTTGCAAAGGGGGACTTCATGCGCGGTTCGTCAGCCGTCGACGGCACGCCCACCAAGCCCTCGCACGGGGGAGCCTCCCTCGCTGACGAACTCGAGACAGCCGACGAAGATGAGGACGTCGAGTCCGACAAGCGACGCTTGGAATCCGAGATCCAGGCGCTCAAGGAGCAAAACAAAGCGCTTACGCTGTACATCAACAAGATCATCGACCGTGTCCTTCAGCACCAAGGCTATGAGGCCATCCTCAGCAATGCCGCCGATCCCCCAGAATTCTCCTCTCCCAACATCGATAAAGACCTTCCCCCTCCACCCCCAGCCAAAGATGCTGGCGGTCCTTCCCTCCTCCAGCGAGCCAAGTCGGTCGCAATGGGCGCCACCGCCGCCCGCCCCCGTCCCCGTCCCGTCTCCTACATGCCTCCGGCCGAAAACAGCATCAACTCCGACCCGACCACCGCACCCAGCATCCCACTCGGCCGCACCAAGACCAACCGCGTCAGTTCCGCTGACCAAGCATCCCTATCCTCGCGCCGCAACACTGTCGATTTCAGCAACCCCTCCGCGGCATCCGTCGTCCACAACATGTTCCGCGCCTCTTCCCCCGATGCTACCCCGGGCAGCCCCGCCGCGCTCGCCTCCCCCCGCAACTCCTTCTTCGCCCCGCCCGTCAACCAGAACTACAACGCTGCCGCTGCCGCGCGCCTCCCATCGGGCGCGCAGCGTGCCTCGTCCACGGACCGCAGCACCGGCGAGGTGGACACGCGCCCGTCGTCCAGCGAGAGCGGGCCGAGCGCCGAGCCGCCGAGCCCGCCACGGAGCGTGGGGCCGCCCGAGCGCACGATGACGGGGAAGGGGATCAAGCCGTTGCGGCTAGTGCGGGAGAACGCGGAGGCAGAGGAGGCGGCGCGGAAGGCGGCGAATCGGGGGAGCTGGATGAATATGGGGTGGTTTCAGCGGGGGCAGGGGCAGGGGCCGAGTGAGCAGTGAATGAGGGATGACGATATGCCCGGGCACGGGGCGTTAGTGGAGATCTCTCGCTGTGCGTGAGCGCTCCTATGGGCGTGCCGTGGTTGGGTGGATTTTCATGGCGTGAATGTTTGGAGTTTTCGGTATATGATACCAGGGATGGCTCGCCGCAGGATGATTTCGGCGATGGCTTGTCACATTACGGGATTCGACAGGCTCGAAGGGCGATTGATGGGACGTCGTGGCCCTGATTCGATGTAGATAGCCCTTTTGTTGCCCCATAGAGTAATTAAAGTCCGCTCAACACTCCTGTCCAGATTTCCTTTTCTACCAACCGAAAGACTGCCCTAGCTCTATCCCATCGTCAACCCTGTTCCGCTTCCCCTCACCATTTGGCCTTCAACACCTTTGCAGCCGCAGAAACTGTTCTGGTATTAGCATCCACGCCCCTATTGATGTTGAAAACGCGTACCATTCAACCCTGTATTGTCAGGCTCGACATGTGCCTCCTTGACTTTCCCATCCTCCACGACAAGCGCATACCGCTTGCTTCGATGTCCCCCGAAAATGGAGGTGCCGTCGAAAGCCAAATCCAACGCCTTGGTGAAATCCAAGTGGGGATCAGCCAAGAAACGGATCTATATAGTTCAGCACAGGTCACGCTCTATTGTTGCCGGATGCCTTACTCCGCTCTTCTGGCTGGGGTCAAGAGATGCAGCCCAGGCTTTCATGCTGAGGAAATGGTTAATATGGGAGGTCAAGAAGCTTGTGATAAGAGGGCTCTTACACAAAGGGATCATTGACGGACACCACGAAGACGGAGTCCACTCCCTTTAGGTCTTTGGACGAGATATATCCTGGAATATGTGATTCGGAGCATGCCGGCGCTTCATGTAGTTTCATATTAGTATTTGACTTTCTCACGAATAAACGGACAATCCTATATCCCGATCTCTATTTATGGGTCTCAATGGGGGGTGTCACGTATTCCCAGGCATTGCAGTTCGATAGACTTACAGAAAGCCGCCGGCACGCCGACGATAATCGACCGCCCTTTCAACTCGTTGGCGATATTCACCTTATTGCCCGGAGAGTTTTCGAATAGCTCGACGGACGGAATCGCATCTCCGACTTGAACCAGGGAGCGGGCAGAGGCGTGGAATGTGCGGATAGGGGTGGTGCGTGGAATGGTGCTGGCGGCGCGGAGGAGGGGGCGGATGGAAGACATTGTATGTCAGATTTAGGGTTTGAAGAGTAGGTTCAAGTGATTTCGACGTGTGTTTGTACCGTCGCTGGATATGTTCAATTGATGTTTAGTTAGAGTGTAGAATTCAAATCATTCAGGACTGGACGAAGCTTGCAACTTCGTGTTGGGGTGTGATGTCAAGTTCTCCACGACAACCAACTACCATCCCTGCAACGATCTTGGTAAATTAAACGGCTTGAGATTTAGCATCCGTGAGCTATTCTTTTTTATTAATTCGGTCAAGTTCTATCCTCCCAGGTAGTGGAATAGTGTGTTGCTAGTCAATAGTCATAAGGAAAATCGTGAGAGTATTTTAATCCGGAGGGCTGCAATAGACAAAGAGCTAGGAAGGCAAGTACCATCTGCTGGAGAAAAATTGCTATATATCATCAGTTGATTTTCAAGTTAAACCATCCTCTTCTTAGTCTCCGCCTGTTTTCTTTCACCAGAACCGGAACAAGAGCATGGGATATCTCCAGGTGCACCGGGAGCACGGACCTCTAGTGGACCGGAGACGAGAATACAATATGAACTAGGAATATACCATCGATCATAAACCTCCTCCAGCTTCGAATATTTCGGTGCCGGCCTGTCGGGGTAAATCCGATGATCGATCTCGAATCCCAGTCGGGCGTACTCACTACTCAGTACTCAGGAACCCGATCTTATCATAACTCACAGTCAAGCGATGAAGGAAAGCTGATATGGATTGAGATGATGGCACGTCGCTGTTAGCTGTTTTGGGTTAGACCCATTCTACAGTAGCTGCGCCAGATATCCAATTGGGGGGACCACTCCTGAAGACGAGATCAGGCCTGAGGGGAGCAAGCAGGCAATCAGAAAGAAGCTACACTATCTTTCTCCCAGACGCGAAGTTGGGCTAGCGTGAAGCCTCAGGTCCAAGATTAGACATCGAAGACTAGATGTGAAATCCCCAGCAGCCTTTCTCCCTGGCTCATGGCTGTTGAAATGAACGGTTCGATTCGAGGGAGCATAGAAGACGATGGTTACAGACATGTCGTGTTCTCAGTTCTCGTATCTTTCATTGATCGCCCAGGAGCCGCGCCACCAAGGCAGCAGAGTGAACGCAAAACCGTCTCGAGAACCAAGATTGCCGATGAAATGGCTAGTTTGTCAAAACACAAAGTTTATGTCACGATTCCGAACCTTGTCCTTTAGAGGCTGAAGCACCAGAGTGGAGATGAGCCATGAGGATTGAGGAGGGGACTCCATGTCTGTGAGAGTCTGATGGTCGTAGGATTCTCCTAAGAATGGCGACGATCGTCCATCATCCTGCAGCTCCTCACATTAAAAGAAAAAGCCTCCCAATGAAAATTTCTTTGAGGTCCTTTTCCTTGCAACTGTCGCATTTACGGACTCTACCGATCTATTAATTTATATTCCGTTCTCATGGGTCTCAACTCTCCTCTCATCGCGTGCGTCACCCTCCCAGCCTCCCCCTCTTTCTGGTGTCCGTACCGTACTGTGGAGTATCAGATATCCATAATCCGCAATTCGCAGGGTACACAATAATATTTGCCATTTGACTATTAATACCTAGTTACAGATTACAGAACTACGGGTATTAGCGCATGTCTGTAGTTGCTATGTAGGTGTTAACCGCTCTGCCGCTGTCTTGATCCATTAAAACTTTCCGGGTCCGAGTGACGTCGGTACCAGATCCTGACCGGACGGGGAGCCTGATCGCATCGCCGGCCCTTGTTGTCTTTATCGTTCGTACCCAGGCCCTACAGCCGGTGCGGATACGGTCCCTCGTCCCCGCTGCTGTCGTAGCCCCGTCGCTCGTATCCCGCCCCATAGAGTACTAGTAAACCCAATATTATTAGTGTATCCAAGTGTGTCCTGTTTCCTGTAGCCCCTAGGGAATAGGCACTTGGTTAGCGGCGCACCGGCGGTCCAGTGCCTAGAACCAGCCAATGCTACCCAGGAAAGCCCAAAGGTAGAACCCCCAAGGATCCCCCAACTCCCAAAAACAGGCGGTGCTCCCGCCTGCTCCCGCCGCTCGAACAGCATCCACATTCAGCTTTGCACAGTTTATACCCTCCCGGCAGGCGTCCACGCCAGGCTTGCAGGCTTGGGGTGTGCAGTGGTGCAGACTGCAGTGCTCCTCTGCAGTTCTGCTGCAAGACTTCATTAGGATCGACCTCCACTACTCCAGTCTCCACCACTCACCAGTCACCACACTCCTTGTCACCACCACTTCCTGTACCAATTGGAATCCGAACAAGCACTACGAAAGTCTCCTCTAATCCTCCACCTCCTTCTGTCCTCAGTCTCTCGACTGGCGAACCGCATCTCTGGCTCTCTATCCGAACTTCGCAACTCGCCGGCATCCTCCCATCTCGAATCATCTGCAAAATCGAGAGGAAATTGGGCCTTCAATCCGGTCATCTGGATCCCGAGCGCGTCACAATTTGGTGGCGTTAATTCCAATCCGGCTATCCCGTCCTGTAGGTCGTATCCCATTGCACTTTGCAGGGTCGCCTGGTTTGCAAAAGTAGTCGGGCCGGTTTTATGCGCTCCATACCCCATCTCCAGCCTACAACCCGCGAATTGACTACCATCGCGACTCGACCGTCCATTCTTTGAATCCGTTTGCCATCACACCCGATTGCCACGACCCGACACGGACTCGACGCCGGACGAACTTGAGTTTCGGTGGCCTTCTGGTCCAGAAACGAGTCCCCGACTCGACATCGCGGTGTGAAGGGGACAACATTATGGAATCGAATCAGGGCGGTGGCACCGCGAACAGCTCAAGCGACTTTGTAAGGACTCGATGGAAACCTGTGATATAGAATTGCCACGCTAACAGCTGTCCGACGTAGGTTCGCAAATTATACAAGTATGTGGAAACGATATCGTCTACGGAGGCTCGCGTTGATCAGGCTGACCGAATGCAGAATGCTGGAGAACCCGACGGATGAAAACATTGTGCGATGGGGCAACGAAGGCGACAGTTTCGTGGTGTTAGAGGTGCGTCCATTGTCCGATGACAACAATAGCGACGTCAATAGAGTGACCCATTGACCGCGTCGCAGAACGAGAAATTCACCAAGCACATCCTCCCGAAGCACTTTAAGCACAGCAACTTTGCGAGTTTCGTCCGACAATTGAACAAATACGACTTCCATAAAGTACGACACAACAATGAAGAATCGGGACAATCGCAGTATGGCCCTGGGGTATGTTGGTTGCCGTCATTGCTCGCGATCGCATTTCGCTGACATGAATAGGCTTGGGAATTCAAACATCCTGATTTCAAGATGAACAATAAAGACGCCCTCGACAACATTCGGCGCAAAGCCCCCGCGGCACGCAAACCGAACCAAGGCCCCGACGATGTGATTGTCCCGACACAACAGATCGACCTGATCAACACGCAACTCGTCGCAACGCAGCAGCAGCTCCAGCAGTTACAGGAACGCTATAACGAGCTCAACATCCATCATTCGATGCTCCTGCAGGAGCTGATGGGCGTGCAGAAGACGGTGGTCAACCACGAGCATGTCATGCAAAATGTCATGAACTTCCTCCACTCGGTCGACGCACAACGACGCCGAGATAGTCGCATGATCAATCCATTCAACCAGGCGACCACCCCAAGCGGCGGAGCCGTCGCTGGCCAGTCGTCGCAACAGCCACAAATCGAGGAGGATGTACCCGCGTCCCCATTACAACAAGCTTCCAAACTCCTCCAAGAGACCAACGCCGATATGCTCCTGAATCCTCGAAACCTCGAGCACATGAACGAGATCTCGATGCGCATGAACGGCACGCTTACGACCCCCCCTCCGGACTACGGCCTTCGGAATAGCCAACAACCGCGACCCGGTAGCAGGGGCGCTCCGCGATCGGCAGGCTCCTCCAGTTCCGTGCGCGCCGGCGAGATTGATACGCTCGTCTATCCCGTCGGGCAGACGAACGGGATCGATCCCATGTATAGCGAGCATATTAACAACATCCCGTATCCGCTACCGACGAAGCCACCGGAACCGACCGACCCACGGTATCAAGGGCCCGAAGCACTGAAGAAGAGCGCGCAGATCGATCCGGGGTGGATACGGCAACCGCAAATCTTGCTGGTGGAGGACGATCCGACCTGTCGAAGGATTGGAGGGAAGTTTTTGTATGCGTTCAATTGTGCGATTGATAGCGCGGTAAGTCTCCATGATGCGAATACTCAGTAATATGATGCTAATGGAGCGCAGTTTGACGGCCTGGAAGCTGTCAACAAGATGCATGGGGGCTCCAAGTACGATCTTGTGCTGATGGACATCATCATGCCAAACCTAGACGGAGTCTCCGCTTGCCATTTGGTCCGCCAATTTGATAACACTCCCATCATCGCCATGACCTCTAATATCCGAAGCGACGACATCTCCATGTATTTCCAGCATGGTAAATACTTCCCTATCCCCTCATCTTGCCCAATCTAATGAATTCCAGGAATGAACGACGTCCTCCCCAAACCATTCACCAAGGAAGGCCTCTTCCAAATGTTGCAAAAGCACCTCCACCACCTCATCAAGCAACCCGGACAAGGCATCGACCCGCAGCTCCAACCCAACCTCACCCCGGCTGGACCCTCCCATTCCGTCGCGGGTTCCACTCCCCGCCCTCCGCACGCGCATACTCACTCCCTCACCCACTCCCTCAAGGAAGAGGAGTCCCCATCCGCCGGCGCATCCAACAAATCCCCCGCGACCACCAGCAACTGGAACTCCCCGAACCAAATCCCGGGCGTCTCCCCCGTCACCTCGTCCGTGACCGACGATTACATGCACCACGTCCCGCAGCAGAACCCGTACGCGGCGCAGATGGCAGGAAATCCGCCTATGGGGTACCCGCAGATGGGCATGCATGGAGGTGGAGGTGCATCCGGCCGGCCGGGGCCGCAACAACCCGGGATACAGCAACAACCACCACAGGGCCAACATCGGCGGCAGATTTCGGAAATCTCGGGCGGGGAGGAGATGGCGGGGAGTGGGAAGCGGCAGATTTATTCTGGGCAGATGGGGATGCAACAACGGCGGTAGGCGACGGGAGAGGACGAGGTCCATCGAAAAACCCTTACAGTGATAGGGGCCGAAAAAGTATACCGTTAATTGTGTGATTTTTGCATGGAATCAAGGGACGGGCCTGTCCCACGGGGATCGAGGGCGGAGAACACGCTGCGCATCCGCTATGATTCGGAACATCATGGCTAGACTGATGCCGGTGGATCGGGCGTTCAAGGTGGATGGGTCTAACTAATATCTTGGAGGCACGATGACTGGGAGGCACATTGCTGGACGCATGGCAGCAGCCCACGGATGCCTCGTCACGGGAAGGCGGGTGGGTGCATTTTCTTCTATCTGACGACATCTACGGATCGCAGAATCGCGTGGGAAGAGCCGAAATCTCAATCGGGAGGCGGCTTTGGAATTTTTCAATTCGATCTTCATTGTAGATACTTGGGTCGCTGTGTTCGCTGCTTCGCTCATGATGTGCAGCCATAGTCAACTCGCAAGCGGACAACACAGGCGGCAATTCCAGCTAGGCTTGCTTCCTTCCGATTATTAGACTGCAATGAAGCCGCGTATCCATCAAAATTTCAATTCTTCCACATGTCCATTGTTCATCGACGTCATGACGAATTTCCCCCACGCCGGGCGATGTCAGGGCGTCACGGCCCGCCGCGCACCACCCGACCTTCCCACCGCGCCGGGTCGACCGCGATTCAGGGACGGGTCCTTGGAACGATTCCAGGGCGACCTGGATCGGGCAAGGGAAGGATCCCGTCTTACGCTCAAAGCTTAGCACCGTGCCGTCGAACGAACTGGATGGATTGAGGGAAAATCGGATGATGAAGACGGGCTTGTGCGTGGGTCTATGGGGGTCTAGAACGGGCGGGATGGGACGATGGAGGTGCGGATATGCAGACATGGGGGGCTCGAGCGCGACGGGCGGGCTGAACGCTGGGCGGGAGAAATTGGGGTGGGAATACCATGATGCGTACGGAGTGGCTGATAAGATATTATTTAGGCGTTTGAGATCATAAGGAAACGTGAAATTACCTGCATGCGATAGGTTATGCGATAGCTGGAGAAAATTATTTGCATCACTGGCTGTATGGTATTCATGGGCACCACAGTTTGGGTCTTTTGAAAATCCGATTAAAGCTTCTGCCCGGCTAGCATCCATGAGAACAATTAATCAATTATGCCGTATGGATTCCTTTCCTTATCTGCCACATGTTGTGACCAATTCATGACCAGTCCTCTCCTTCCGAAAGCGATTCCAAGGGCAGTGGATTGCAAAGGAAGATGCCAAAATGAGATCCACTTCCACACCATTTCTATTTCCCGTCTTTCGGTGCTTCCATTAGGAATGGGATTCCTGTCCAGGAATATTGAGGTACAATCACTGTCGCAAAACCGTATATGAAGCCAGAAAAAGTCCGATGCCATTTTAATCATTCCGCCGCACTTTGAGTTCGCTGCCGACTACATGAGGACGCGCTTGAAAGCTCGTCGAACAACATCGACAATGAGGACATCGGACTGGGACTAAGGAAACAGTATCTTTTGCGGCCAAATGACGACCCAGTCGACAGTTAAGTCTGGAACACTATTCTTGTAAGCACCGTAACATTTAGATATGGGAACTTCATTACCGGTCTGAAAGGTATGCCACTTCCTTCGCATTTCGATGTACCAGCTTTCACCTCCGATGATGGGACGATGCTGTAGATTATGCAGGTGATGTAAATCGGCCCATTAGGGTGTGGCCGCGTCCACTTTGACCTGCATATCTTCTTCTGAGTCGAGTAGCGCCAACGCACGCCAACGAAGCCCCCCGTCAACGTCCGGCTAAACGATATCGGTGATACGTTCGATTATAGTGCCAGGTTCGAGAGGTGTCTCCTCGGTCTTGTCGTCCCCTTCGTTGGAGTCGGAGCCCGCGTCGGAGCTGGCGTCGGATCCCTCGTCGGAGTCGTCGTCGGAGACATCGCCGCCGCCGGATTCCTCATCGGAGTCGTCGTTGGAGCCTTTGTCGGAGTCCTGGTCCGAGTCTTCCACGTACCTTTCATCGGAGTCCCGGTTGGACACTTCGTCGAAATGGTCGGAGTCCTCGTCCTCCTCCTCGCTGCCCGCTTGACCCATCGCTACCACTACCACTGCTCTTGAAGATATCATGGACGTGGCGGCGTGTTCGGCAAGTAGGGCTTCCTCCTTATCCTCCTCCCGGCATCAATTTTGAGGAACCATATTCTTTGACATTTGGGATTGGATTGGGCAGGGATAACACATGCTTTCTCGAAGATCCCGTTAGTAGAGCGTATGGTGAGAACGCGCGATATGGAGAGACTTGTTCGGTGCCGGCCATACACAGGAATTTGATGCGAATAAGTAGAGATGAATACTTATAGGAAATCGGACGACTGATGCAACACAGGACTCATGCGATAACAAGACTGCTATGGAGAGGGATGATGGTGGATATTACAACAACTTGCTGGTTCACCGAAGGTAACACTAAGAGGATATAAGAACGCAAAAGAGAAGCACTGATTAGTATTCAACACAGGCGGTAATACACCAACCCAGACATTTTATTTGTGATGTGCGCATCCATATCTCTGATTGCACCAGGTCGTTGACCAGGCATTGTGCAAGAACTGATGGAGTGAAGACAGCCTGTTTGATGGGATTCCTACGGTTACATGGCCAGGATACTTGGAACGCGAATATGGCCCATTATCAGCTTTATCGGCCATAGGAGCCTAGAGATTCCCCTGGTGATAAGGCGTAGATATTCAAGAAGAGTATTTTCGTGATAATTGAACCGGAATCTGAATATCAGATTTATTATAGTCTGTAAATTGAGCAGCACCTGTAGAATCCAATCAAAAGCCCCTCGTGGACAAGGGTGTGTCTATCGTCACATTTTCTATGCCGCCCAACAGTCATTACATTCACCACCCAATTTCACCCCACAGGACCACAGCACGACCTCCAAACATCCCAGCATTATTTCCTCAATACCTCCATAATAAGTACATAATCTTTATACCCGAATCATAAAGCAGCCGTCAAACCCGGCGGATCCATCACAATGGGCCCGAAAGCGAAGAAAGGCGGAGGGAACGAAAAGTCGAAATCGGCGGAGGAAGAGCGAGAAGATCCGCTCCAGGCAGTGGTATGTGCGGGATATACGCCCGAGGCCGTCGAAACAAGCAGAATGCTAAATTCAGCCATAGGTCCTCGCAGATGCCTTCGAGACTCGATTTCAACCGTTTACTGTCGAGCGACCACGAGTATGACTCCTTCCGAGCTTGCGACTATTACTTTCGTGATGTCTGACGGAATCGCTAGTGCTTGATCACCCTCGCGAACACGCCGCTCATACACTACACTTTGGAATTCTTAGCAAATGCAGGTGTGGAGGAGGTATATGTCTATTGCGGTTCGCATAAGGAGCAGGTGGAGGACTATATAAAGTATGGACGGAGAATTACGGCGCTTGAACCGGAACTGATGATCGGAGCAGCACCTCAAAATGGAACTCGACCTCCTCCCCATTTTCGAAACTCGAAATCATCCGGTCGACATCGAGATCGGTCGGCGACGCAATGCGCGACTTGGATAAGCGAAATATTCTGGTAAACGACTTCATCATCGTATATGGCGATCTGGTCAGCAACGTGCCTCTGGAAGCGGCTCTTGCCGAGCATCGCGCACGACGAGCAAAGGATCCTTCCGCCATCATGACCATGGTGCTCCGGGAAGCCGGAAGGCATCATCGGACGAAAGCGATCCGGAGAAAGCCAGTGTTTGTGATGGACCGGAACGAGAGTTCGAGCAACCGATGCCTGCATTACGAAGAAATGCACTCCCTACCAGGAGGCCGGTACACTAGTATCGACGAAGAGATCCTCACCTCCACTGCCTCGCTCGACATTCGCGGAGACTTGATCGACTGCGGCATTGACATCTGCACCCCGGATGTGATCGCGCAATGGAGTGATAATTTCGACTGGGAGGTCCCACGGAGCGGATTCCTGTATGGCGTTTTGAAAGACTACGAGCTCAATGGCAAGACGATCCACGTGCATATAGTCGAGGACCACTACGCCGCCCGCGCTCAGAATATCCGTTCGTATGATGCCGTTAGCAAGGACGTCATCTCGCGATGGGCGTATCCTCTGTCTCCGGACAGCAACCTCCTCCATACGCAATCCTACAAGCTCCAAAAAGGCAACGTTTACAAGGAAGATGGCGTCATTCTGTCGAGATCCTGCATTATCAACGGCGGAACCGTTCTCGGGCAAGGCACCAGCGTCGGGGATCGAACCAGAATTAGCAAATGTGTTATTGGACGTCGGTGTCAAATTGGCCGAGACGTTCAGTTAGAAGGCGCGTACATCTGGGACGATACAGTTATCGCGGACGGAGCAGATGTTCGACAGGCGATCATCGCCAATGAAGCCGTCGTGGGCAAAAACTGCAAAGTCGAACCCGGCGCATTGATATCTTATGGTGTTCGCATTGCGGATGGGTTCACTGTGCCAGGCACAGCCAGGCTTACGAGATACAGGTCGGAGGATGATGGGAATCCGATCAAGGGAGAAACAGACCCTGCGGCAGTGGGAGACACTGGCGAAGGCTTCCAGTTTATCGATCCGGATGCCGACGAGGAGGAGGTGGAAGCTGACACATCAGGTTTAGGTATTCCATTTCGCCGGCCTCGCATTTTCTTCGCTGACTAGACTTGACAGGGAAACTGGCTCACATGAACCTGTCGACGGATTCCATATCGACGCTCGATTCCGAGGGAGATCTATCCGATGAGGAACCCCGACATCACGACCGGGACGCCGGAGGAAGCATGGTGTCGTTAGTATCGGACGACAGCAGCATGGCACCGCAGTCGGCCGCGGATTTCCACCATGACGCCACAGCCAGCCTGCTCGACTCATTACAGAAAGGCGACCAGCCCGAGAACATCGCCCTCGAGCTGAACGGGCTGCGGATGGCAACGAATGCCAGCGAAAGCCAAGTGCGGAAATCCGTGGTGGCCGCGTTCATGAAGCGGGTATCGCAGGTGATGGAGGACGGCGCGACGGTGCAGCAATCCGTGGAAACGGCATTAGGCAATTTCGGGGATCTGTTGAAGCGGACGATGTTCGATCAGAACCTGGAGGAGAAGAACGATCAGGTGGACTTCATGCTGCTCATCCAGGCGGACATGGTGCATCGGAGCAAGGGGGACACGATCTTGCCGTTCGTGGCGCGGCAGTTGCATGCGATGGAGGTGGTTGAGGAGGAGGGGTTCGAGCAGTGGTGGAACGACCCGCGCAGTTCAAAGGATGCGGCGATGGTGCAAGTGAGGATGAAGACGGAGCCGTTCGTGGATTACCTACTGCAGTCGGACGACGAGTCGGATGAGGATGAGGATGAAGAGAGCGAGGAAGACGAGTGATGAGCGCACGACTGGCAGCGTGATATCTGGGCTGCTTGGCTATACGACGTCTCGAGAGGGAACTTTCTGCAATGCCGTCACGATGTTCCTATTTCATGATAGGGATTCGACCAAACTGGAAAGGGGATCGGTTCCGGAATGTCGACACATACTTCGGCTCCTCGCATCTAATCATTCATCCCTCATAAATGGAGATTCAGCGCCCCTTCAGTTCCGCAATCGGCAAATTCTGTACAATATAAGGATAGATCCATGCGCGTCCCATGGTCGCTTGACGACAGATCAAGTCACAAGTGAGTTCCTTGCGTGTACGGAATTGGTAGTAAGTAGTATCGTTGTCCTAGCCCGGAATGACATCAGCAGGGGCATGGCCCGCGAGGAATCTCGTGCTAGTACGCCATCGTTACCAGACGGTATTTATGTTAATAATATCATTATTATTGATTCTCCGTGACACAGGTTACTATTGTTCGGCATTCCTAGCGCAATGATAGTCCTTTGTGGGCATAAACGCATCTGTTCCTACCTTAGGGTTGTATGCAATCTATAATGGTAGTTAGAAGATAGAAGTAATAACTAGAGGCCTGCTCCTAATGGATGGCAGCTTGAAGATTGGAGACTTGATCCATCGTGGCTGGTCTAGGCAGACGCTGTGTTTGGGGAGAGCGACCATTTGATACCTTTGGCACTTTACTGGTGTTATCTGATACCAAGCACGTTACTGGTTACAACTCATAGCACCTATCTCCATTCCCCATAGGACGTAGGTACATAATTACCTAGATTCGCCATTCATTTGCATCCATGTCATGACCGGCAACCGGAAATAGAAATCAATACCCTACCTTACGCACTCACAAGCAAAGCACCTCATCCTCTGAGTTCCTTTCATGTTCTCTGGCTACACACAACTCTCCATCCGGATCCTTACGTCTTTGCCTCTCCCATGTTCCCCATCGGTTCCCCTCGTTGCTACTGTTAACTTACCCACCCCACCACCATACAGTTAGCTATCCGGTGGCAAACCTGCCTGTCTTGCTTACCAGTCATCCGATAACGAAATACGAATACTTTTGTCTTCCGACATCCAGCTCGCCAGCCCACGGAAACCGGCCTGACGCCTTGCCTTTATTGTCAACCGTCGAGGCAGAACCGGTGCCTCGCCCACCCAGCAACCACCACCTGCAACCAGCAGCGCGAACGCTTGCCAGTTCTCGTCATTCTTCGACGGGATCTCGGCCTGCCTCCGGTCTCCACCACGCTTCCGCGACGCAGTTCCAGGAAGCGGAAGCCCTCGTCCGACCATTCCGCCAGCACCGGCGTGAACCCTCCCCCGCGCAAGAAAGTCGACGTGAGCGGTGCTCAGCGCTTGAAGAAGGCCGCGTTGCCTGCGACTCCTACGACGCTGGGTTCGACTGCCATGGACTCGGATGACGAGTTCAGCGGCCATTCCAGTATGGAGGGCTTTGAGGAGGACGCTTTCGATAGCGATATGAGCGACGAACTTGGTATGAGATGCCTGGGCACTTCGGATGGGCGTTGCTAACATTCCTAGTATCCGACATGGAGGTGGACGCGGACGCAGGCTTCGATTCACAGGATAAGATCATCAAACCGGGACGGAAGGCTTATGAAGTGGACTACCGGGTCTACAGCCCCGCCGAGATACGCGCGTACCAGAACGACCAGATCAACGACGTCTCCCGCATCCTCGAGCAGCCACCAGAAGCGACGGCGATCCTCCTGCGCCATGCGCGCTGGAGCAAGGAGCGGCTGATCGAATCGTACATGGACAACCAGGAGCAGGTGCTGGAGGAGTCGGGCCTCGGCGAGGATTCGGCCGGACCGCCGCGTTTTCAGCAGATTAAAGGGTTTGTGTGCGAGATCTGCTGCGAGGATGAGGAGGGCATGGATACGTTTGCGATGAAATGTGGCCATCGGTTCTGTGCCAACTGCTACAAGCAGTATCTAGCACAAAAGGTCAAGGATGAGGGGGAAGCCGCGCATATCAAGTGTCCCGGAGATGGTTGTAACCGGATAGTTGATTCAAAGTCGGTCGATCTCCTCGTGTCGACGGACCTGAAAGATAGGTATGGCACCATTTATTCTAGAGGCAAACCCATGACTAATGACGACAGGTATCAAACGCTCCTAATCCGAACATACGTGGATGACAAGGAGAATCTCAAGTGGTGCCCGGCTCCGAACTGCGAGTATGCGATAGACTGCGGGGTGAAGCCGAGAGAGCTGGCCACCGTCGTTCCCACCGTCCGTTGCAAGTGCAGCCATGACTGGTGTTTTGGTTGCACGCTGAACGACCACCAACCGGCGCCATGCCGGCTGGTGCGGAAATGGTTGAAGAAATGCGAGGATGACTCCGAAACCGCTAACTGGATCTCGGCTCACACCAAAGAATGCCCCAAGTGCCAGTCGACGATCGAGAAGAACGGAGGGTGCAATCACATGACGTGTCGTAAGTGTCGTCACGAGTTCTGCTGGATGTGTATGGGTCACTGGCAGGAGCATGGCAACAGCTGGTACAACTGCAATCGATACGAGGAGAAAAGCGGCTCGGAAGCACGCGATGCCCAGGCCAAGTCTCGGCAGTCTCTGGAACGGTACTTGCATTACTACAACCGCTACGCCAACCACGAGCAGTCAGCGCGCCTCGACAAAGACATCTACCTCAAGACAGAGAAGAAGATGACGCAACTGCAGTCGTCGTCGGGCATGTCCTGGATTGAAGTGCAGTTCCTCGAAGGAGCGTCGCAGGCCCTCCAGCAGTGCCGGCAGACACTCAAGTGGACCTATGCGTTCGCATATTACCTAGCGCGCAACAACCAGACGGAGATCTTCGAAGACAACCAGAAAGACCTGGAGATGGCGGTCGAGAACCTGAGCGAGATGTTCGAGAAGCCGGCGGACCAGCTCAAAGATCTCAAGGGGGATATGATGGACAAGACGTCGTACTGTAACAAGCGCCGGATCATCCTACTGGAAGTGACCGCCGAGCGATTGAAACAAGGTGAGAGTCACCGCTCGGACTTTGGGACCAGTGAGGCTAACTCGCGGGCAGGCGCTTGGGAGTTTAATACGGATTTATCGGCATAACTGGGATCTATATGGATCGTGGGAATTCGGGCAGGAAGCCGGGAATCTGGGGGGGATTCCGTGAAGGATCTGAGGCACGGCTCGGACCATTTCATGATTGGTTCTCGACCAACCCTTGTGCCTCTTCGACAGCGTTGATTTCATCTGGTGCATTGATAGGCGTATTATATGATCACAGCGGTAGGCCTGGTGTTTTCCGGGGAGGAACATGAATATGCATGGTGCCAACTGCAAACATAGGGAAGGAGGGCATTTACAGTTTCCAGGGACCGCACTTAGTCACTTCACTCATCGCTGCCAAGTGCCAACATCACGACGGGCAGGATTCGCAATAGAAGGGTTGATTAGGCAGATATTCCAGATTTTATTTTCCTCGGTCAGCTGGCGGTGTTTAAGGCTATAATATCATAGGATCGTTTGTGACACAGTCTTTTTCGGATTTCAGGCTCTCACCTTACAGTACTATGGGCTGAAGGCTGAAGCCCTGAAGGCGAGAAGGGGCTGCGCCACTGATAGGGTAATCGGATGGAACATGCGGGTTGTCGAATGATCATGGATTAGAAATCTAAGATTGTATTTACCAACGATGATCTTGATTGCTAGTGTTGTTAGGGTAGATATTGCGGAAGAAAACACCATTGCCACGTAAGCATAAGTGACGGAAGTGAGTGTTGGAGTGACGGTGAATAATTCAAGGCCTTTATATGTATTATTGTACAGTGAGAGAGAGAGATTCATACGCCCGTCAGGCCTCTCTGCGAGGCCCATGTGGGGATTATTGTACAGTATGGGTGTGACATCTGATGAAATGGAGGGAGTTCGTTGTTCAGAGTGAAGGGAAAGCACGTGCCCCCCACCTTCCTCATTCTGTTTAAAATCAGTGGTTCTTTCTCTCTTTCGCAGCGGCCGACTCAGCGCTCCACTTGTACAACCCTCCCACCAAAACCCTCCCACCACACAGACGCTCTGACACACTAGTTGCAACTCAGACTTCCACTTCCACCAGATCTCTCTCACCATCGACACCACCCACTCCATATCACCAACCTCTCTCTCACTCACTCACCCACTCTCTCTGCCTCTCTTCAGTTGCATCATCCTCCTTCTGACCATCCTTCTCACCCTCGCCACCCATCATGGCTCTCAAGCGAATCAACAAAGAACTGACCGATCTTGGCCGGTAAGTGCGCAAATCTCCGCCCTTCAGCCTCAGATCGCCACGAGCGCTCATCCGCCCCTTCGCCGCGCCGCCGTCGACGCTCTCCCGGCGACGTGTGGGCGTCGACGAAATCTTCCTTCGATCATATACTGACGCCGTTTGCAGAGACCCGCCATCATCCTGCTCAGCTGGGCCGATCGGCGATGATTTGGTACGTGGGATCTTGCCTTGCCAGCGTGCGGAGGGCCGGCGTTTGGCGCTGGCGCCGCACGCTGGAGTTGACGATGGGTTTGGGATGAGTTTTTACTGACGCGGGGTTTTTCGTGTAGTTTCACTGGCAAGCCACGATCATGGGACCGGTAAGTTCACTGCGTTTATCACCCGCGACCCCCCTCCTCATGGGGAGGAAGTCGAAAAGGATTTCGAACGGGAGCTGACAAACGATGCAGAGCGACTCACCATACTCCGGCGGTGTATTCTTCCTTGCCATCCACTTCCCCACCGACTACCCGTTCAAGCCGCCGAAGGTCAACTTCACCACTCGCATCTACCACCCCAACATCAACTCCAACGGCAGCATCTGCTTGGACATCCTGCGGGATCAGTGGAGCCCGGCTCTAACCATTTCAAAAGGTATTTCCCCTCGTCGGACCTCATTTCTATCGACGTCAATCTAACGCCACCCATAGTCCTCCTCTCGATATGCTCGATGCTGACGGACCCGAACCCCGACGATCCGCTTGTTCCCGAGATTGCTCATCTCTACAAGACCGATCGAGCACGGTATGAGGCCACAGCAAGGGAGTGGACCCGGAAGTATGCCATTTAGAGCGGCATACCGACGGTGTAGCGAGGTGGTTCGCGAGTCTGCGACGGCGTGAGAGACGCATCCGATCGAGGCGAGGGCCTGTGCCCTAACCGTTCTTGCAACCCGGACACGTCGATCAGGTAGAGGAAGTGCACGAGTGGACATACAAATGGAATCACAATAGTTATCATAACCTGCTGAGCCGACTTTTCCTTATCCGTAACACTGCAAGGAGCTCGTCGAACGGCCGTTGTGGGGGGATTGCTTTTCTGACGTTTATGCATATTGGGTCTATGTTTTCTACACACGTTCCGGTCTCGGACTTCGCTGAGTTTATCTATCCTAATTTGCTCATGTCGTGTATTGGGGAGTCCACGGGCATTTAGAACGTCCGCCACCAGAAACCAATCAATTTGTCGGTCGATATGCGTGTTCAAAACCGCAGTGCTGTGAAATCTGCCGCCAGTCCGCCCATTGCGGTGGGACGAAACCGTCTGATCGGTGAGAGATTTGATTTCGGTGACGACGCCTCCAACCCGCCGGACGACGCTCCGAACCGCTCGAGCAACACGCGCTCCTTCTTGTAGATGGGTTCGCAGGCCCCGACCATCGTCACCAGCATCGGACGGTCCCCGCGGCCTTGCTCATGCTCCGTGAGACTGTGCTCGAGTCGCTTCAACAGGTAGCCGAAAGTGGTTCGGATGTGTTTGATCGCGATGGCCTTGAAGCCGAGATCGTTGGACGGGTCCGCGGGATCTTGGAGGTAGAGTAAGTACGGGTACTGAGGGTCGACGAGCGACCGTTTTTCGATCTTCCCCATCGTCTGCTCGATCGTCAGCCATGATTCATTCTAGGTTATTGATCTCACGATTTGGACCGGTGCATCATACCTTCGCTGCCTTGCTCTTCGGATCCCCCTTTTCAATCACCCCCGGCGGCAGTACCGACGCCCCATATTTGTACGTATTGTTCTGATGCCAGTACCGCAGCACCTTCATCAGCAACTGCGCGGGGTTCATATCCGGCATCATTTGACTACACGCCGCGGCCATCATGAACAGCGAATACGACCCCATCCCACCCTCATGCACCGTCATCAACCCCCTCACCTCCAGCGTCGTCCGCAGCACCAAAAACACCTCCCGCAGCGCCGGACACCCCCCCAGCAACTGCCTCACCGCGTCCATCTGCCGTTTCCGCGCGCCCGGCACCAGCGACCCCGTCACCTGCACCTTTAGCCCCGACGGCCGATGCAACGCATCCACCAATGGATACCGCGCCCAATGAATCTCCACTCCCTCCCACTCCCCCGACCGTTCCAACACATCCTTCAACCGCCCCAGACAACTCCTTAACTTCTCCTTCCCCGCCGTGGCCGTCATCGTCCCGTTCTCCAGCGCCCTACGCTCCGCGTCTTTCAGCCCGAGGTTCATGTCGATGTCCGACACCGCCGCGCTCAACCCCGTCGCCTCTGACCCGAACGTGTCGACCGGCCGCGCGGGGAACAGCGAGTGGAGAACCCGGCTCATCGCGCGGATCACGTGCGTGCGTGCCGTGCGCTCGGCTGGGGTGGGTTGGATGTAGGCGGCAAAGGCGCGGATTTCGGCGTCGAGGCGGTCGGCGGGCGGGAGCGGTGGGGAGGAGGAGGTGGTGGACGCGGGGGAGAACCACGGCCAGGGGCCCCAGCTGGTTTGGGCGGTGAGGGGGGGGATGTAGGCACCTTCGTATTCGATGGGGGATTTGGCGTGGGGGACGGTGGTGGCGAGGGAGAGGAGGTGGCGGCCGACGATGGGGGGGATGGAAGGGGGGTGGTGGGGTTGGGGTTTGGAGGGGGAGAAGGGAGAGGGGGTGGTGGAGGTGCGGTTGGGGGTAGGGGGGAGGAGATCTTGGAGGAGCCAGTCTACGGCATCGGCACCTCGTCCTGGGGTTATCTTCGTGATAGAGAAGCCGTCGAACGAAGGTAGTGTGGGAGTTCGATCTGGAAGGCCCGTCGCAATCGAGTCTTCTGCAGTGCTGGCGGGCGTCTCCATTGGTCTCCGCGCGGTGGCATGGAACGAGCTCCTCTGCACGAGGGGCCCATGGCGTGGTCTTTTTCTAGACACGTCGAGCCCGCTTCGATATGGGCACCCGGCGGATGCGCAATCTAGGTGTACGGAGCGTGTCGTTACGGAGGCATCGAAAGCGGCGTTCGCCCAGACGCGGGCATGGGAGGCGGTGGTTCGCATTCCCTAACCTACCAATTGGCTATGAGCTTTAGGGAGGGACGGAGTCGATGGGGCGAGGAAGGATGGAGGTTACTGACTTTGAATATGTCACGGCAAGACACCGATTTTCTATACGGACCCGAGAGAGGTCATTGCTATTGTTGTCGGGACAGGGTTTGAGAATAATACCCTGTTACGAAGGATATAAGGCGATAAGGCGATAAGGCATATATAATTATCGGATTAGTGCACATCAGTGCAAATCAGTGAACACTGCCACATCCTGTCGCGTGCGCACCTAAATCTACTGCGTCCAGATTCCAGAGGGGGCAGGAATTGCCGAATCTCTGATCAAGGAATTCCTTGAGGGGCCCAACGAAGATGGACAATTCATGCCTCGCGGCCTCAGGCCTCCAGGTGCTAGCTGTGGCTGGGCTGGTCTCGGCAGCCTTGCCCAGGCGTTCTATTGCAGTGACGTTGACGACGACGTGGGGCTATCAACCACCAACTCGCTCCCATCCATACGCAACTTTTCTACCTATCTCCGGTCCATCAGCCTATTGCTTCCGACTTCTAATGCCTTTGTTGCTAGCATCCCCGGTTCAATTCCTCTCTCCTTGTCCCTCTTGGTATCTTGTTTTGGTTCGTCGTCTTTGAGCAGGTTCCAGACTAGGAGTCCGTCCGCATCGACTCTCACTCATCCGACCTATACGTTACCCTTTTTCTACATTGCTTCTGAAAACGGCATTGTGAATAGCAATTGGACTGTCTTTCGCTATGTTATGACGTGTTGCTGTCGAGTAAATATCTATTCCTTCAGGTGAGCCCCCATTCGCTCTACTCGTACGGCATCAACCCAGGCCGACATCTGGGTGTTCATGGGTTGGAGAACCGGCTGTCCTTGTCCTCTTTGATCGCTAACTATCGTATGCGCAGATCCGATCGCAACCTCGGGCCTCGCCATAATGTCTTTGTCCAGTTCTCCCAGTCCCCATAACGATCCCGTTGTAACCCCCGGCTTTCCCTTGGGAGAGAAGTCCGCCTATGTGGATGACGTCGGGGGGATGAGGGAGAGGGGAGATATCCAGTCGGTCTCAGAAGCCCGGAACTCTGGATCACCGACCCCAGTGGGTACTGTGTCGGGAACCGGTAACGACCTGATGAGCCGACTCAGCCTGACTGGCGACTCTGAGGAGAAAGAGGATGGATATTTCAACCCGAGAACCGCCCACCCGAACCTCAACCTCAGCGGCTCCATCATCTCCGCGACCTTTTGTATACCGTACGATGTTGGATTGAAACCGCGGTCAGACTGGGTAAGGATCAGCGAGTCGACATGAGATCAGCAAGAAGATTGACATCGTCAGGAACTGAAACCGAGAAGAGGCACATCCGCCCTTTACGACTCCCTGGCTTACCTCGCCTCCCCCGAATCCACATGGAACCACACCCTTGTTGGCTGGACGGGAGAAATCAGTCAGCTCGCCGAGCCTCCCAGTACCGGACAGGCGATCATCAATGCCCTCGGCCAACTGATCCCGCTCAACAAAGCCGCTGCCCCCATCCCGGTGAATGTCAACCGCAACCTCCCTGAACCGGAAAACCCCGAAGGCATTCGGATTACCAAAGCCGATCGAGACCGGCTGGAGAAGCAGCTCAACCAGAGCGACCGCGGCACCATGGTTCCGGTCTGGCTACTCGACGATGAAAATGAGGACCAGGATGGGAATTACCTTATCAAAGATCAGCGGCGTTGGCGACGATATCCAGAGCATCAGTTATACACCCTGTTTCATTACAAGCTCAACCAGCCAGACGACGGGCGAGCGGTGCGTAAGGCGTGGGCAGACTACTACCGGATGAACAAGATTTTCGCCGACAAGATCGTGGCGATCTATAAACCCGGAGACGTCATCATCGTCCACGATTACAATCTGCTGCTTTTGCCAAGTTTGCTGCGACAACGCCTCCCAGGGGTGTTCATTGGTTTCTATCTACATGTCCCATTCCCGAGCAGCGAGTTCTACCGGTGTCTCAGTCGACGGAAGGAGATCTTGGAAGGCGTGCTCGGTGCCAATATGATTGGTTTCCAATCGTATAGTTACTCCCGCCACTTTGCTTCTTGCTGCACGCGCATTTTGGGCTTTGAATCATCCGCAGCAGGGGTGGACGCATACGGAGCGCATGTTGCAACCGACGTATTCCCCATCGGAATAAATGCCGCCAAGGCCGAGAAAGATGCGTTCGGTGACCCATCCATCGATGAAAAAATCAAACGGATCAAGGAGATGTATGCGGGGAAGAAGATCATCGTCGGCCGTGACCGACTCGATACCGCGAAGGGCGTGACCCAGAAACTGCAGGGTTTCCAGGCGCTCCTCGAGAAGTATCCCGAATGGCGGGATAAAGTCGTCCTCATCCAGATCACCAGCTCCAGCAGCCTGGATATGCAGACCGATGATGAAGAGACGAACACAGTCAACAAGATTGGAGACCTGGTCCACACGATCAACGGGAAGTATGGATCACTACAGTTCTCGCCCGTCCATCACTTCCCGCAGTACGTGCCCAAGGAGGAGTACTTTGCGCTTCTGCGCGCCGCAGACGTGGGCTTGATCACGTCGGTCCGAGATGGTATCAACACGACCAGCCTCGAGTATGTGGTCTGCCAGAAAGACAACCACGGGCCGTTGATCTTGTCGGAATTCTCGGGAACGGCTGGAAGTCTCACCAACGCGATTCATGTCAACCCCTGGGACTTTGACGGGGTGGCGAATGCGATTGTATATGCCTTGACCATGAGCCCCGAGGAACGCAAAGAGCGACAGGAAAATCTCTACGCACATGTGACATCGAGCACCGTCCAGTCCTGGACCAACAGCTTCCTTCGCCGCCTCCTCGCCAACCTCGCGTCCTTCGACCAATCCTCCGCAACCCCGCCCTTGGACCGCTCGAAGCTCCTGGCGCAGTACCGCAAAGCCAAGCGGCGGCTCTTCATGTTCGACTACGACGGGACGCTCGTCAACATCGTGCAGTCGCCCTCCGCGGCGATCCCCTCGGACCGGATCATCCGCACGCTGAAGACCCTGGCCTCCGACCCGCACAACGAGGTGTGGATCATCAGCGGCCGCGACCAGGCGTTCCTCGACGAGTGGTGGGGCCACATCTCCGAGCTGGGCCTGTCTGCAGAGCATGGCAGTTTCCTGCGGGAACCACGCACGGAGGAATGGGTCAACCTGGCCGAGGAAATGGACATGGGTTGGCAACAGGAGGTGGTCGACATCTTTCAACAGTATACGGAGCGCACTCAAGGTAACCTATCCACATTCTCCAAACCAACCCGCGATCCCTCGTTACCCCGGCTGCAACCTCCCACTAACCACCCCAGGCTCCTTCATCGAGGCGAAAAAGATCGCCCTGACCTGGCACTACCGCCGCGCTGACCCCGAATTCGGCACCTTCCAGGCTCGGGAGTGCCAAGATCTGCTCCAGGCCACCGTGGGTAAAAAATGGGACGTGGATGTCATGGCCGGCAAGGCGAACCTGGAAGTCCGGCCGCGCTTCTTGAACAAGGGCGCCATCGCCAAGCGGCTGGTGGAGCAGTATCGCGGTAACCCGGCGATGGAGCCGGATTTCGTTTTGTGCCTGGGCGACGATTTTACGGACGAAGGTAGGCATAACCTCCAGCGATACTCGGTGTTCCGTTCGTGCGCTAATCATCGATTACAGATATGTTCCGCTCCCTGCGTAACTGCCGACTGCCCTCCTCGCAGGTCTTCTCGGTCACCGTGGGCGCGAGCTCCAAGCAGACGCATGCCAGCTGGCACCTGCTCGAGCCGTCGGATGTCATATCGGTCATTCAGCTGCTCAACGGGTCGGCGGATGCGGGGAACGTCGGGGCGGTGGCGGTGGTGGATGGGGGGCATATTCCCGACACGCGATAGATCCCACGACAAAATCATGGGGCGGGTGCCTGATTAGCGTCGATGTTGCTGGGTTTGGCGACAATAGGAACGGGATGCGAGGCTCATGTTCGGACGAGCTGGATTGTATAGAAGGGACGGAATGCGGTCGATTTCGACGCGAAAAATAGACGATGTTTTTTGGCCATATGGTTGGATTGCCCAGGGGTTGGGGATCGCATTCGATGGTCATTAAGAGAGGTTCCACGTACAAAACTGAATGAAATGTATGAGCACTAATGGGGTTGCTCTATCTAAACCCGCTCTGCTGCCCTTTGGCAGTGTCGCCCGATTGCGCCGTACCCATTCACTGCGAACCTCGCAGGAACCCGTTTCGTAGGATAGAAATAGAAATAGAGAGGGAGATAAACCGGGAGCTGTGCTAAAATTACTCTCCCATAACCTCAAATTGAAGTAGAGGCGTTTGCCGAGCGATTTCGTGGAAGACGTCCACTCTAGTTGATGACATCGTCGCGCTCCCAGCCGGTGGGCCGTTGATAGGCCAGGTCTTTCCGCGGATGTGGCTTGCTCGGGTCTTCGAACTTCGACACGTACGGATTCGGGTCGCTGTTCTGGTCAAGATTGGCCAACGTGTGATTCACCTCCCTATATCACGAGTCAGCATGGCTGGGGATTCGACGTTGTGCAGAATTCCCGGGTCACTTACCGATGCTTCGACTCGTCCGCACGGACGTACATCAGCAGATCCTTCATCGTCCGCTGGCCCTCCGGCATCTTATAGTAATCGATGGCGATCTGTGGTGCGTCCATCTTCTCCCATTTCGGCAGCTTGCCAGCCTCGATGGCCTCGATCTCCCGCGAGTACGTCAGCACGGCCTCCTCCTCTAGGAAGCCGACGAAGCGGTGGCAGGTGCGCGGCGAGATCAGGTAGCTGATGAACATGGCGTTGAAGAAGACACCTTGGGCGCCAAGGACGAGGAATCGCATGAACCAGCCGGGCTCGCCGATCTTTAGGAAGATCAGGAGATGCATGCGCTCATTGTATGATTCTTCGAGGAGGGTTTCGATCCAACCTTGGTGGGGTTAGCGACTCGGCCTTCCTGATACACAACAGGTTCGGCCAAAGGCCATCGACGTACCATTATCCCGCTTCATCCTCCGCATGCTATGCAAATGCCTTAGCATCCCCGCCACCATCCCCGGGACCCCCGCCACCGACTCCAAGAAGATATTCCGGATCAGATACTTCCTCTCGTTCATCCCGTACTTCGCCTGCGCGGCGGCCGGGTCCGCCGCGTTCAGTTTGACCGCTTTATCGTGCTTGTAGCCGGATGCCAGGTCCAGGCCCCACCGCAGGATGCGGACCATGGTGAAGGCGACGCGGTCGGACATGTTGCGCACGTCGCGGTGGGCGACCACGACGGCTTTCATTTGCGCGTCGGTGTAGACGGGGTGGGGCCATGCCTGTCACATCAGGGGTTTAGCATATCATACTCTACATGAGGTAGTGGACCGGGGGCGTTGAAACGTCATCATGCAGGAGCGTCGAGAGGTTCGAATGGGAATAGGAACGTACTGCTTCGGTTTTGACGATACCAGGTGTGTCAGGGGCCGGGAAGAAGTCTTTGATGGGTCGGCGTGGTGTAGTGCTGAAGGCTCGAGTATATGGAGTCCATCGTGGTGAGGGGGATGTGAGAGGTGCGGAGTGGCAGACCAAGCATGTTGCTCGGAGTGCTTGGGTCGACGACCCTGGAGCTAAAACAGTGCGAGGGATACTTGACCGTAAGATGGACATTGGTGAGATAGTAATTGAAGTCCAAATTGATATGTGTTTGACTTGGAGGAATAGAAAATGTACAGATTGGAAGTCCTGAGGTTCAAGCAAGAACAGACAAAGACAAAAGGAATGAACCCACGTTCCCTTATATTCACCTTCGAGACCCCCAATACGGGACGCGCCTTGGATTAACACCATTGGCCTACCATGCTTCCGCTACGTCCGCACGTACATCCAATTCCTTGGCCGGATTCCTTGTTGGTGGCTCAGGAATAGTCGGGATCCTTCTTATTCCTTGATCGCCGCTGGAAACTCACCGCAAAACGGCACGCGGGCCGTACCATTACGCAATTGCGCTCTCAGCTGCGACGGTACCATGCTAATTGCTACAGTCATACCTTCATGTTCGGCCTCAGAGAAAGACGCTATGTCGGTGTCAGCCTTACGGCGCAAAATTGATTAAGACATTGGAGAGGCGTCCCATGTGGATTCCGACTTTCTCCGCGAATTTGGTGAGAGCGAAGTGGCGGGTTAACTGTCGGGTCGGAAAGATTAGGGATCGTCACCAGCAACGACACATTCCTCGTGGCAGCTGAACAACCAACTTTTCAGCTCACTAGAAAGTTGAAAAGTTTGATGACCTAGTTTAGCATTTGTATCTTCGAGCTTCGAGATTTGTCTATTTCCGCCTTCCGTAGGGTGTTGGATCCGTGATGGCAATTTTCGGTTTCTCGCCTCCATCTCCCCCTTCTCCATCCCCTGATCCCCCTTTCGATATGCAATCCTCACCAGTCACCGCAAGTCACCCGGGAACTTTCGTGGCCGATATATGAGGTTTACCATGGATTAGCTGATTAGCGTATTGCATATGATCTGGCGTCCTCGCTTGGGTCCGATCTCGATTCCCAGTTATGTGGTTCTCTGTTCTAGGGTTCAAACTTCAATATCAGAGCCTCTCCGGGGTTACTGCCAATGAGAATGCTCAATTGAGGCCTCGGAGCCGTCAATGTTAGCCGAGTCTGTACCATGCCGAAGATCGGTGTCGTAGCTTTCGGCCGAGATCCGATTCGACGTCGATTCTGATATACACAATGCCTTTCATTACTCATGAACTCACTTTGGCCCGTGACGTCCAATCTGCGGTTCTTCCCGCGATACCGCAGACTGAGACCAACCAACAGGTGGCCTAGACCGCATAGCGAACGCTCATCCTTGCTGCATTCCAGACGCGCCTATGCCTTACTCTCCCTCTCCTTGGACTTAATCCTCTCGAACAACTTCACAAACGCCACCGGCTCCTGGGCCCCCGGAATCTCATAACCCCCAACCGTGAAATTCGGCACCCCACTGACCCCCTCCTCATACGCCTCCTGCACCTCCCGATCCACCTCCTTCCCCCCCTTATCACTCCCCAGCCAGTCCCGCACCTCAGCGGCATCCAGCCCCGCCGCCTCCCCCGCCGTCTGCAGGAACCCGTGGCTCGTGATGTCCTGCTCATTCTCGAAGTAGCCCTTGAAGAGCTCCTCGATGACGCGCGTACCGAGACCACGCTCCCGGCCCAGTTGCACCAGCCGGTGCGAGTCGCGGGTGTTGCCGGTGCGGCCGCCAAATTTGTAGTGGATGCCTTCGGAAAGGCCGAGCTGGGAGAGGTTGGCGAAGATCCCGCGGGTGCGCTCGGGGCCAAATTTGGACTGGTAATATCTGATGCGTGTGTCAGTATATGATATGTCGAGGAGGGTTGATGTAGCTTCCCTGCCGGACTTGTGCAGGGAGGGGAGGGAGCATACTCTGCTTTGTCCACACTAGCCTTCGGTGCGTGGGGGTTAAGGTAGAAGGGTTTCCATGTGATATTCCATGTATCCTGCGAGTCGGGATATTTCGACGTGTATTGTTGAATGGCCTTATCCAACCGCTTCTTGCCCATGTAGCACCAGGGGCAGACGTTGTCGGAAACCACTTGAATGTTGAACTGCGTCATCTTGGGCAGTGTAGCTCTCATGAACACGGAATTTTATGACTTCGAAGTTGGACTTTAACTCAACTCGATGGATTCCAAAAAGGTGCCGCTGGAGGTGCCGGCTTCCAGATGCTCAAAGTATTTATAATATCTCGGAATTGCGTTATTTGCGCCACCCTTTTGATTACCAAGCAACAGAACAAGAGCTTGCCGTGCCCTCTCCGCGCTATATCAGAAAATTGGTACTTGAAACTCTTAACGCCGATAATTCAAAAAAAAAGTCATGTGTATGGGCGACAGAGAGCTTGCCATAATGTAACAAGATGCCGCCCCGCATTTCTCAGTTCAGACATTGCCGAGTTGAAGTCGCATTCAATACGAACGATGTATGACGTGATGCCGAGTAACTTCATACAGGCTATGGGGATTACACATTTGACAGAGTAACACTGCCATACGGTATTATTTGAAAACACTGAAGATGTGATTGATATTATCAATGTATTGATGCATCTGATGCCATCTGGTACATAATTCATCAATGTGAACGCCTAATGAACCCTTTAATTGTCTCCGTATATCTCCACGTGACCTTTCTCCTTCCACAGATGTTCAGAAATCCATTTAAAGAGTCCAAGGTGACAATTGATGGACTCATTAAGTGATGTGTATTACGGTGTGCTACATATATCGTACAGTGAGACCACGTGGCTCTCATGATGAAGATACCATCCGAACGCCATGCCCAAATCAGTCCTCTGGGTATATTCATGTCGCCCCTTAGCTACCACCAAACCGGACCTTCAACCCTCTCTTCGCATCCCTTTCCCTCTCCCGCTCCTTGTCCCGCTCCTTGTCCCTCTCGCGATCTGCTCTCTTATCCCGGGGGCTCCTTTCCTGACCCTTCCCATCCCGCCCACGACCAGCCCGGATATCTAGCCTATCTACCCGCTCGTCACTCAGCCCCGCACCTAGCCCGCTTACCGCCTCCTTCACCGCACCACTGACGCCCACTCTCCATTCATCCTTCCTGACGCTCCCTTTCATTTCGCGATTCTTCTCCTCGCGCATCCGCTCCTTCTCCATGCGCCAGGGTCCGGCGACACAGTCGCACACGCAGCCGGGAACGTGGCATTGGCCCTCGGTCACAGACGGGACGCCGAGGCCGAAAGAAAATGCGGAGGAGGTGAGGGAGATGGAAGGAGTCGGTGAGAGGAGGGCGGTTCGACATGCATTGTGGGCGACGTGGAAGCAAATGGGGCATGCGGAGAGGAGCGAGGTGTAGTGAGGGACGGGCTCTAAGGGGGCGAAATCCGTCTCGTCTACGTCCTCTTTTTTGCCATCCTCAACTTGCTCATGAGGCTGGGCGTAAGCAGTAAGAAAGGCGAAATGCTTGGGGTCCACGCCAGCTTGCAACGAATCCCTTCGTCCATGTCGCCGCTTGCTTTTTCCTTTGCGCATGCCAAGAGCACCGTGACTGCCAAACGGGCTCTCCCTACATTCGCAGATCCCGCAGATTCGAGCCTCCTCGACCGGTCCGCAGCCCTCGCGCATGCAATGGATGTTGACGACCGCTTGCGCAGTTAGGCCTGGTTGGAGCATACTCGGAGTGGACAAGGCACCGCCATGGGCCAGTGCACCCGCTCCGGCAACGCCTGGAGCCGCAGCATTGCGCGGCAACTTGCCCGGTGAAGCCGGTGTGGAAGCGATGGCACCTTTTTTCTTGTTGCATCTTCCGCAGGTGATCGCAATGATCTGTTGCCGGGTTGCGTCTTCCCATACCGCCGGAAAAAGTGGATAGCAGAGGTTGCGAATGGCTGCCGCGGGAACCACGTGGCCAAGCGCGTCTAATTGGGCGGCATATGTCGCAATGATGGCCTCCGTTTGCATGGGGTTGAGGCCCGCTGCATCGAGCGAAAGAAGCTGTTTTCGCGCCGAAGACAGAAGCCCAGGCGGGGTTGAAAGCTGGCTGAGCTCACCAAGGATATTGGAAACGGCGGCGTGAGGAAGTAATTGGGAGATAGGCGGGTGGAGAGATAGCAGGGGGATGAGTAGGAGAAGGATGTGTGTAGCAACTTGGGCGTCCGAGATATGCGCAGTGTGGAACTGAAGGAGCTGAGGAAGGAGCCCGGAAAGGGGAACAGGATGCATGTGATCCTTGGAATCAATGTCGTCTGGGTCAGGTAACGCAGAAGGATGAGTGAAGTCGGAGAGTGTGAGCGGATGCACGGTGGTACCCCTCTCTGGCTTCGGCATTCTCTTCATGCCCAACTCAAAGTAATCCTCTTTCGGAAGAGACTGGCCCAGTAAATTGCCCGCCGAGTCTGTCTGTTGGCGCTCTGATGAACCCCCCGGAACATCATGCGCGGGTGTGTGGGGCAGTCCACTCTCGCTGGGGGCGATTATGGTCCCACTCGCATCCATTGCCTCACCTTCACTGCTCACGGTATCTAGTCGAGGACGAGCGAAGCTGCTCTTGCTGCCAACGCTACTGTACCACTCGCTCTCATCGCTACCCTTGCGCATCAACTGTGCTCGGGTGAGGGCCTGGACGGTGGCGACCTCCGTCTTGCTCATCTCAACCTCGTGGGAGCTGGCGATATCTTCTCCGGTCCCTTCAGTATCGCCCTCTGGAATCGGTCGTGCGCTCATGGCCACTCTCGGCCTTTCTTCCTCAACGCCCTCATCTCTGGCCCTTGGCGTAGCGATCGGCACGGGGATGGGGCCTGGAACCTGAACGCGCCTCGACGACCGTTCCACCACTGGTGAACTGTCACCTGTACTTTCGCCGCTTAGATTGAACGGACCGGACCAGCTGCCGGCAGCCTTTAAGCTTCCTCCGTCTGTTTCTGTGCCTTCCTTAACCGTGGGTCGTTCCCGTTCCTTCCCTATTCCAGGAGTCCGCATCGCGCCTTCCCCGGATCCACTCAGGCTGCTCCACTGGGCGCTTCTCGGCATTGCGCCTTCCTCGCTTTCATCTTCTGCAATCCCCCCAAGCCCATTCCGATCTGCAAAAGAACCAACATTGCTGAATCCCTTGGAAGACCGGACGCTCGACCCCTCGGAGAACATCGTGAACGATTCGCCGGAATTGTGTCGCTCGACTCCAGGGCGTATGTCGATACCCCCCGTTGCTCGAGCGCTGCCGGCAACGGCCTGCGGGGATGGGTCCTGTTGAGCACTAGGCTGTGCGGTTAGAACCAAAGGGGACCGTGATAGCGCAAGACTATGACCACCCTGGCCTCTTGGAGCCTGAGGGGATGAACTTGGGTGGGTTGGGTCGAGAAGCGGAGACTCTAACTCTAGGAGCCGCTTGGATTGCGGTCGCCAGTTTGAAAACTGCGCACGGCGCTCCGACACGTCGAAGGATGGATACCATGGTTCTGGATTCGGCGCATTTTGCGGTTTCGCATTTCGGTTGGTGTCCATGGGCTTGGAGGAGGGACTGAATGAGGTCTGCGGATGGGGAAATAAACTGGGCGGTAGCTTTATTGTCTCTTCTTCATCGTCTGGGTCGGGCAGACTCAATTGCGACTGCGTCCCGTGCGCTTGGGCTTGTGTCTGGACGGGTACCGGCCGGGCGACTGGCGTCGGGACATTTGAAGTAGATTCTACCCTTTGGATGGGCGGGGCTAATAAGGGTGGATGTTGAAGCGGCGTAGATGAGGGTTGGGCAACAGATGGACTGTCGATCGCGCGCCTGGCCGGGTTTAGAGGTGACGCTTCTGCTACGCGGTTATTGCTGCTTTGTGGCAAAGCCCTCTCCTTTGCGGGAAACGGACTTCCTCGTGGTATACTCTTGACTGCTGGAGAACCAGATAGCTCCTTTGCCCCCTTCCCGGCTCTTTTCTCCCTTGTCTCCTTCTGCTCCTTGAGCCTCTTCAACTTCGCCTCTGCAGCGGATTTGATGCGACCCTTCACCCACACGGCTGCTAGCGCACCAACGAGTCTCATAGTCTGAGCGGTACGGAAGTTGGCCGTCTTGGTTGAATATTCCGCGTTTCGCTCGAACGGAACCACCACCTCTTTTAGTAGCCGATCCAACGCATCCTTGGCAACGAGCTGAACGTTTGGATCGACTGCCCCAATGCCGTTGCCCGTGTCCCTATGCAGTGGATCGTCTAGTAGCTTCACAACGGCTCTGACCGCTTCAGTATCTGGCCACCCGCCAACTACCAGGCCTTCCAACGATACGTCTCTTGCAAATCGCCACTTCACTGCAGCATACGTCCACCCTTCCTTCACGCCTCCCTGCAAACCCGCTCCCCAGATGCCAGGCAACATGCCCTTCATCCCGGCTTGCGCACGGCGTCTCGGCTGCTCATCGCGGGGCTTCATTGACTCCTCCAGGAGGACGACCTTTGCGGGAGGTTCGCCAAGATTGTTCCCTGGGAATCGTAAGTCCTCGAGAGGAGGGGTGTTGGAGAAAGATTTGGTAGACCGCGAGGAGTGAGTCCGTCCATGATGTCGGAGATTGGAAGTTGCCCCCGTGGAGATGGATGATGAAGGAGCCAAAGATTGCGTCAAATGATTGGCTCGAGCGGATGGCGAGTGTGATAGAAAGACATCATCGACACTGTCATCGGCGGCACTCCTTGTTGGAAGCGGCAAGCTGATAGTCGGGTAGTTACTTGTGTTAGTGTTGGTTGATGTCCCAGTGCTCGATGAAGATGATACGATGCCGGATCCCGAACCAGGCTGTCTTTCACGAAGTGGTTGCTCGCGGGCCTCCAAGTCTAATGGCACGGTTTGCGCCGCACCACGCTTTCGCGGTCTTGACGTAACTGCCGCCACCGAATCACCCGCCGGGTTGACGCCGATGGCCGCCCACGGCCTCCTGTCGATACATTTCGGCGCCAACGCCACATCTGCTTGGGTGAAGATGCCTTCACGGCTCACCAGCCACAGAAGATGCTGCGAGTGCCATAATAGGTCGGTCGGGGCGGTGTCGAAAGGGGAAAATCCTCGGAACGGAATATGCGGGCGCCGAAAATCCCAGACATGCACCGTCCGCAGGTCACGGGTTGCGTACGATGCTGCGAGATGTGTCGTCTGCCATACGTTTACTGATTGTGCCGATGACGGAGGTGCATTTGCATCAGGGTAGAATGAACTGGACGGAATAGGAATGTCGGACCATGCAGGAGTTCGCCAGGCGATCTTGGCAACAGGGGCTGGGCAACGGATAGAGTACGACGGTTTTAGTCGCTTATTCGGGTTTTTGGACTCCGTTGGCACCTCTTCTTGTGAGGGACCAGGACCGATGTTCCAGCAACGGATGGTCTTGTCAGCGCTGCCAGATGCCAAATACTGTCCACCAGGATGCCAATCCACGCAGGTAACGATCTTGTCGTGGGCGGTGATCTTAACCGTGGGGCGAACAGGGAAACGAAGATCCCAGCACTGCACGGTACCGGAGTCGGTGCCAAAGGCGAATTGGACGGCGTCGACGGGAGACCACTTCACGTCACGGACGCCATCTGCTTGATTGGTGCTATAGGTGTAGCGACTACCGCAAGCCAAAAGCGACGAAGAAGATCCGGCATAGACGGTGGATTGATTGCGGGAGAGGTCCCGGAGGTCCCAGAAGCGGACCGATCCGTCTTGAGAGGCAGAGAGGAGGCCATAGCCCTGAAAGGGAGAGAAAGCAAGCTTGTGGACTTGGCGACTATGCTCATGTAGACGAGCTAACTCTAGAGAATGCTTGTTTAGGTCGTACAGCACGATCTTCCCCGACGTGGATGCTGTGGCAATGCAGGAGTCGAAGTCTTTATGGCTCCACTTCACATCGTGGATGTTGAGATTGGCCCGATGCGACGGGAGGTTCCGAGGCAGTCCGACTCTAGTTCCAGCAACCTCATCGCGGTGAGAGGCGACCTGGGTGAGTTTGGCACGGAGGTTGGTCTCCTCCGCGCAGCGGTCGTTGTCGATTCGGACGGTCTTGAGGATCTCTCGGCCCGCAAGGATGGCCGTCGTGCGGTCATGGTTGACATCGAAAGCAGCTATCTCTAATCCAGTCTTGTGGGACGCTTCTTGAGGTGCGCTGGGTCTTCTGAACGCCTGAATGTCAGCAAGGATCTTGGTATAATGCAACAATGCAACAAAAACAGCGTATGCGAAAGCCAATCGGAGGGAACTGAATACAGATTGAGAGAACCGGTGAAGAGATAGGCGGTGGGTATTAAGATTCTAAATATGCGTGTTCCTGACAATGCAGATTCCAACGCGATGTCGGCTGTTGATCGCACTATCGGCCAATACCTGTAGCCCACGAGGTACTGGTCCGAGGCAGAGAGATCTTAAGAAACTAACATCGCCAAAAAGCCACGGAAAAGTCTAAATGGCCCAGGAGCAGAACTCCGGGGCTTCCAGCATCCTGACGGACGGATCGGCACGGGTGCGCCGTGCTGTATGATGCTCAGATCCACTTACCCGGTAAAATTAGCAAATGCACGTCGTCTCTCCTCGTCCACCTGCCTCGCCTGGTTGGAGGGTCTAACTGACGCCGCCCCCGATGTCACAGCTGCATAGGTAGTGAATTGCTGAGGGACCAATCGCGCCCAGCCCGACCGTTGGGCGCGTGGCGGAGGTGGAGGCGGTGGAGGAGGGGGTTGCGGAATAGGACGCGTTCCCGAAGCGGTGGAGGAGCGTCGAAGCTGGTCCTCGGCCATGTCGAGGGGTAGGGTGGAAGCGGAACGCTTGGTAATACGACGAGCTTGGCACTCTCGGACGTCGAAAGGTCCAAATCAGGGGGGAAGCACGTGCTTCATTGGAGGTGGTAGAGTTGAGATCAAAGGGTTATCCGCATGTTTCTGTCCTGACAATGAACCGGCATGGCCATTGGATTTGGAGATTTGAGACAACGTGCTGGCAGGGCTCGTATGGCCTTTGATCCAGACAGTAAGCCGGCGACGGCGTTGGTGCGAAGTCGGAGGCTTTCGAATCCTGCGGTTGATGTTTTGGATATCGATTTCGGTACAAAGAGTCGTTCCAAAAGGACAAAAGAGGAAGAGAAGGTATCTGGGACTTCCAAGGATCCGTCCACTCTGATTGGAGAGAGTTTGATATAAAAGCGGTGAGCTCTGCGGTAGCACCCCGGGGAAGAAGGGGGGAAAGGCTTCCTTACTGCCGCTGGCCGAATATATGCACGACCCGCGAGGTTCAGCAAAGTAGGCAATACGATACTCGAATTGATTGGACTAAACGGAGCTCCGTTGCTAGGATGAGACTCGAATTGGCGAATACTTCCTGATGCTTGGACCGCAACGGTGATGGCGGAAGGGAAAGTTGTGATGAAGCTTGCATCATGCAGCTCATAAACCAGATGCGTGGGAAAGTGAGGGACGGTGGTAGCGGCTCAGAGGGCCGAGGGAGAGGGTTTTACAATTGTAGCGAGTTATAATGCAGCGGGTTTGAGGGATTTTTGGGACGTGTTGGATGTGTTCTTACCATTCCAACGATTGGATTGACGTTGCATCGAGATAAACCGGCGTGAGTGATCGGATCGAGGAGGTTGGGACCAGGGACTAAGCTGCCAAGGCCACAAGGCGCCAATGCATATGTGGTGGATTAGTCATTGATTCTCCGTCGACCCAGTCCAGATCATCGGCTGCGTGGGTGTTTGTCGCCTTTGTGCCTAACTAAGACCCCAAGCAGGAGATAAATCTGATGAAGTACAACTCATGCAATCGACTACTCTGCTTATATCGTACCGACTACCGAGTACGATTGTACGAAGGAGACCGAATTGATCAATGGCCGTATAGTTTGTGGAATAGACACAGCTCGAACTCAATCGGTCCGGCAAAGAACATAAATATTCTTTTTTGATATATTTGTCAGATAATGTAAGTTGTAGACTTGGAAAGGTCTAGCTACACCACACTGGAGGAGCTGAAAGGTTGCCATGGATTGAACATATCTCTTCCTTGACCACTACTGCTGGCTTGCTGCAGTGATGCAGTCTGATGCCCCTAGCATGTAGCTTGGAAAGCTTCCCATCATTCTCCTTGGCCACCTCGGAAGGAGGAGGCAGCTAGACAGCTCTTGCTATGTAAGTCAGACCCTCGTGTTCAATCAATCAATCAATTCGGAAGGTAATTAGAGCTTGTGTTGGTTCGGACGATAATGCAATGCCAATTAGCTCTCCCCCATTGTTGCAAACCCAATTCGCTCTCGTCTCACACACTGCGCTTTCAAACCCGCCACCTTCACTTCTGTAGTTCGGTCGACGTTTACATGATGAAACGTTCCACCGTTTGCGTGTAACTCTAGCTCAGAACAAGTTTTCAACGCTCAATGGACACTGGGAACGCTGAGTGAGATATCATGTCGGAAACGGGAAAAGACATGGAGAAGATAGCAATATGAAACGTCCTTCTGCTGCGGGGAACGTGGCTCCAACATCCAGCACCGGAAATTGAGTTGCATCAAATAAGATTTCAAGGCACCGTCGCACTAATAGCCAGCCCGAGACTTAAAATATTCAAGATCGAGTCTCGTTCTCGACGCACCCCGAGACTAGCCTATAGCAATCCTCGGCACGATATTCCTCTGCATCCGACTGCAAGCACGCAGTGGGTTGGGGAGGATCGCATGCGAGGCGACCCGGGAGTGTTCCATGCCTGCATGGCTTCGAGCTTCTCAGGTCCCCAACGTGATCATCCGATCCAGAGTCCGATATGGCCAGCAGCGGCCAGCCGAGAGAGTTTTAGCGAGCAAAGATCCCTCAAGATCGCCGTGGAGGCAGCTCAGTGGCAGGAAAGCTTCTGGGGGATTTGGCCTCCTCCGTCATCATGCATGGAGCTCTCTGTATGGTAGTTTCGTTCCCAGTTCCGCACCATAGTCGCAGAATATTGAAGTATTCTCTCTGTTTTTCTGTTTTTGCGATACCTACCGAACATAAGCGCAAGCGAACCCAGTTTGGACAATCACCCCAGGATGGCCTTATGATGAATGCAGGGTTCCGGATGCGGGGATCATGGATCACAGTGCCGACACCTTTGACCTTTCGACGTGCCAGAGAGAACTGTGGAAGTCTTCCGGAGCCCGGAGAAGGATCAGGGATGAAAGTCGCGCCCGAGTCTCAAGTCTCGAGTCTCGAATCGTGTCGACAGGTTGAAGGCGGCGGGAGGGGCCCCGCCAAAAACGCGCACCAACGGGCTACGGGCGTCACGAGTCTCTCAGGCACGAGGCTGGCGGTGAGTGGCGTTGAAAGCGGGATCCGAAGCTCAGCAGCGGGATGGCGAGTGCATGTTCCCGTGCTCTTTAAACCTTTCCAAGTCGTGACATGTGAGCAGTTGACCTTTCGCGGTCGGAGGTTGGGGAAATGGAGGACCGACTGCGTGACGCATGTTCGGTGGCAGTACACTTAACAAGGACGGTCAAGGAGTCAAGGACCAACCCACCCACGCTACCATCAGCTTGCTTGGCAATATTTGGGGCGCAATTGTTGAGGGAAAAAGCGCCGAATCATGGCCATCGATGACTGATCCGGGTCGAGATTTTAATATAGTCAGCTCATACATCAGATGAATGTATGGCTAGATCATCAGTTAGTGGAGCACAACGGGCTTGTTCCCTGCGCTCGTTGAATTTGCCGGGCCGAGATCTGCCTGGAATCGGAAGGATTCAGACCTCCGGACGATCAATTGATAGAGTGTCACTAAGTACTCACTAGCGCGGGAATTAGAGAGCCGAAAGTAGTCCCTGAAGGCCTAAACGGATAGGGCAATAGGATTAATTTGCCCAAACAATGGGTCCAGTCCGTCGACCGTTCGGCACCGTTGGCATCTGCTCGTTATTCATTTGGGGGGAAGTCCTCCGTCATGGTCGTTGACTGACTGAAGTGGAGGTTGCGCGAATTGAGCATTGTTGCGGGACCTGCAATGAGGGGGTCTGCCGTGTGGTCCCTCAAGTGGAGAAAAGACTCCGGAATCTGAAATCTGAATGTGCATGTCGCATGGCCAGTCCAGATTAACCAGGTGCCCTGGCAGTTGATGGTGGTGGACTGTGGAGGGGGGTGCGCCCAGTCTAGCCCCGTCTGTATTGCATACTGTATGTTACCGGGGTACGGAGGATTAGAGTTGCATGAAGTATTCAATACTAGATGAACCTATGCCCTGGCCCGGGGGTCTGTAGGACGATATTTCGACCTTGTCGACGGACGTAAGACACACACACACACACCCACCTGGTTCTTCTGGTCGTTGGTGTATTGCTTTTCCGTTTTCGAGACACCATCCAGGCTGTCGGATCACGGCCGATTCCAATGAAACCCCAAGGAAGGGATCCACCTTCTTTGTACATCATCCACCCAGTCGAGATAGCGTTATTACCGTATTTCCGTACTCCGTCGAGGCTGAGGCCAAGAGCACTGTAGAGGGTCGAATGTAGAACAGGAGACCGCCGACGATCGTCCCGCTAAGTATCGCCTAAGTCCTCGTAGGGAAGAATCACGAACCACGAGTGACCAGACTGAATTGCCCCGCGCTGACGCCCTCACGCTTTACCATCATCATGGTCTCGTCGTAGCACCGTGGTGGGGCGTCTGGTAGGTATTACCCAATGCTGCATACAGCATTAGACATGAGTCATGTCTTATGTCCTTCGCTATGTTACTACGTAGTATGTTCGGATTCGGAACCGGATACGACTGGTGCAGGTATTTGTTGCTCCATGATTACATGTCAGATATTGATTTGGCCAGAACGAAGCCCCTTCTCTAACTGAGTGCCGCGGAGTCCATCCCGAGTGGTGGTATATTCCATACCAAGGGCACCATTCGCAGCCGGCAAAGGAAGAAATCGGGAACCCAATCCATGCCGCGAGATTCGAGGAATCGAGGTCCTGGGAGTTCGAGAGAGAAAAGTATTCCGCCAGTCCAAGCCAGTCGTCGAGAATTGCCATTGCCGGTTTAAGGGGATGCACGAAACCATCTGTCGTCCCTCCCATTCCTCAATCGCTCCCGAGAACCAGTCAATCAGATGGTGAGCGTTCATGATGCTGTAATATCTACGTCGTACTACGCCTGTCGAGACTCGAGACTCGAGACTCGAGCGCACCCGTTCCAACTCCCCCACCACGGACGCCACTTCTGCTGTAACACCTGCAGGCTGGAATCTCCCCGCCAGCAACTATGCCACCCGGGGGGCGGAGGGGGGAAGGCCAAGGCTTTTGAGGTATTCTTATGGGAGTACTCAAGTCTCGAGGGCTGGTGGGATAATACTCCCTATTGCTGTCAGCGGCAAATGATGCCTGGACTCTGGAGGGGCAGCCGATGGGATTATTCCGTACTGTGGGCAGTATTCCGTAGAAAGGGTGTATCAGATGCTCTCAGTGCAGTCACAACTCGCAAGCATCTGATCCATGCCCTTGTCCATGTCATTCATTCATCGAGAAAAACGCCACTCGCGCGGATGAGGAATTGAGGATCCACCACAGCGCAGCACAGCAGTCTGGCCTGGTGTAGGTGTAGGAGAAACAAAGTTACGACTTACGAAGATCGAATAATGTACTAGACTCGACCATCCACACTAAACAAAGTAATACCACACTAATCCATAACACTAATCCATAACACTAATCCATAACAAACTAAATGTAAGTATCTACCTGTACCAATTGCAATTGCCTCCGTAGACTTCGCCTCTAAACCGCCTCCAACACCAACTCTCCATTGCCTACCACTGCACGTCTGCACCGTCCGTCTTTCATTCTCAATTCTCACTCCTCTTTCTTTCTTCCTCCTTCCTTCTATCTTCCTTCTCCTCATTCCTCTCCTCCTCCCCACTTCACTCACTTGCAAATAGTGTGTTTCCTGCCGTAGTCTGTTCCACCGATTCGAGATCGTCTTGGGATCCATGGCGAGTCTTTGACCACCCCTCCAGCAGGTCACACCTCGTTTTATCCTCTCCCCCAATTCTTCCCGATCTCGAAACGCCTACCTCGGGATTGTCCAATTCCTAACCCTTTATACTCTCTGTGCGACCAGATCCGTTCCGATCTTGCGTTGTCGTTAGATTCCTGCTCCAAGAGTTTGGCTCCTACCGCACTCAGCGTGAGACGTGTGTACTCGGATCGACGCCACTCGTTGACCCCTCCCCACCGACGACGATCGCTTCTATACTTCGACCGGCGATATACTCGGACAAGATGGCCGAAGAATGCAGACGGATCGACGACCCCTTTCTCCTCGTCGTACTTCACTATGCCTCCCCGATAATCCTCCTGTTCTTCTTCCTCGTCGCCTTCAGTCTCAACAGTATCTACACCACACCGAAGGCCACACCACCTAATCTTAATCGTAATAACTCCTATGGAAGCGTCAATGAAGTCCTGAAAGGCCCGGGCGGCAAGGCCTTACCGGCTAGATCGCCCAATCGCAGCACCAGCCTGGACCCGGTGGACAATGACATCTCGAAGAACAAGAAGCTGCTATTCGAATGGTTGTCCGTGGCATTGGCTCTCACCTTTGCCGCAAATACGACCGTGGTCATCATCCGTGCGCTGTACTGCAGAATAGAGGAATGGTGGTGCGGTCAGAGTGTGGTGGTAAGTCTCGGAGAGTACATGCGGGCAATCTAAATCCCTTTGCGATGCTAATCAAACTCTTTGCAGATTTACCTCATCGGTTCGTTCTTCATTTACGCCCTCTTCATCATTTCCATCCTCGATACACGACTATCTCCATCCAACGCCCACCTGGCTACCTGGAGTCTTTCTCTGGTCCTCGAGATCACGATTCTCGCCTTATACATCGATCAATACAGGAAGAGCAGCGACAACAGCCTCTGGAGTATTTCGGCATCAGGGAAACTCGACATCGGGTCATGGGAAGGGATCGAGATCGCTATCGACCTCGTGCGCATCCTCCTACTGATTGCTCTGATTGTCTTCTATTTCACCCTCATCACATTCTGTAAACCATCGTACAAACGCGGCACCAATCGTACTCACGCCTCATCATCGGAAACCCAGGGTCTACTCGATGCCGAACACCAAAATGGGCACGCAAACGGCAGTACCACGACATATGGTGCGACTCATCCGGTTGGAGGCAAACCCCCTCACGCGGAAGGCGAAGCACCGGCTTGGACTCGTCCAGACAAAGTGCCGTCTCTAAACTGGTGGGAATACCTACGCGGCTATTCCGTGTTCTTCCCTTACTTATGGCCATCCAAGGATCGTCGACTCCAGATCTGCGTGGTCCTCTGTTTCCTGATCGTGGTCTCCCAACGATTCGTACAAGTCCTCGTGCCCATCCAAGTCGGCACGATTACCGACATCCTATCCGGCGAACAGGGGGAAATTCGCATGCCTTGGGGTGCGATCTGCTTGTATGTTTTCTTGCGACTTCTCCAGGGCAGCAATGGCCTTCTGGGCGCGGCTCGTGCCACTCTTTGGATCCCTGTGAGCCAGTATTCCTACCGTGAGCTTTCCGTGGCTTCCTTCGAGCATGTGCATACCCTGTCTTTGGACTTCCATCTCGGCAAGAAAACGGGTGAAGTCCTGTCCGCGCTGGGAAAAGGAGCCAGCATCAACACGTTCCTCGAGCAAATTACGTTCAGTATTACACCCATGCTGGTCGATTTGTGCGTTGCCATCGGGTACTTTTTGATTGCCTTCGATGCCTACTATGCTCTTGTGGTGGCAGTGGTGACGTTTTGGTACATTTACCTCACCATTCGCATGGCTCAGTGGAGAGCGGAAATCCGACGTCAGATGGTCAACGCTGATCGTGAAGAGGATGCAGTCAAGTACGTTTTTCCTGCTCAAACGTGTAAGCAATCGCTGACCTAGCACCAGAAACGACTCAATGGTGTCATATGAGACCGTGAAGTACTTCAATGCGGAGCCATACGAATACAACCGATATCGTCAAGCCGTCCTCAAGTTCCAGAGCGCCGAATACAAAGTTCTGTATTCGCTGAACTTGATGAATGTCACCCAGAATATGGTCTTCATGATCGGATTGATGGTTGCATGCTTTATTGCTGCATTCCAGGTCACCACCAACCAACTGAGGGTTGGGAAGTTCGTCACCCTCCTTACCTACATGGCGCAGCTCCAGCAACCTCTCAATTTCTTCGGCACTTTCTATCGGATGATCCAGTCTGCCATGATCAACTCGGAACGAATGCTGGAACTCTTTAAAGAGCAGCCAACCGTCATCGATCGTCCGGATGTCGGGACCCTGGAAAAATGCCATGGCGACCTGTCGTTTAATGGCGTTCATTTCCGCTACGATACTCGCAAACCGGCCCTCCAGGGTCTGACTTTCCGCTGCGCGCCCGGAACGACGACCGCATTCGTAGGAGAGTCGGGTGGTGGCAAATCGACCGTGTTCCGTCTGCTATTCCGTTTCTACGATGTTGAGTCCGGTTCCATCTGTGTCGATGGCCATGATGTCACCGACATCTCCATCGACTCTCTCCGCCGTCACATCGGTGTCGTCCCTCAGGATACTGTCTTGTTTAATGAGACGCTGATGTACAACCTCAAATATGCGAAACCTGATGCGACGGACGAGGAGGTGTACCAAGCATGCAACGCGGCGTCCATCCATGAGAAGATCCTTACGTTCCCGGATGGGTATCAGACCAAGGTTGGCGAACGTGGACTTCGCCTGTCCGGGGGTGAGAAGCAGCGTGTCGCTATTGCACGCACCATCCTGAAAGGGCCTCCCATCATCCTCCTCGACGAAGCCACCGCCGCGCTCGACACCGAAACCGAGCAGCATATCCAGGACGCGCTGACCACCCTTTCGCAAGGCCGTACCATGCTGGTGATCGCCCACCGACTCAGCACGATTACCCGGGCCGACCAGATAGTCGTTCTCCACGAGGGTCGGGTGGCGGAGAATGGAACACACGAGGAGCTGTTGGCCAAGAGAGGCCGATATGCGAACATGTGGAAGAAGCAAGTGCGTGCGCAGCGGGCGGCGGAGGAAGCGCGTGAGAAGCAAGAAAAGGCCGAAAAGTTGCGGCGAGAAAGCTATACCGGTACGCGTGAGGGTGGGGAAGAGAGTCAAAGTACGAGCGAGGACGAGGCGATCGAGGTGCATACCGAAACGCCGCTCAAGATCGGCGAGGGGAAACGAGCGGTGCAGTGAGGGGCGGAACAGGCGGTACGAAAACCCGAGCGACTACACGACATGAATTACGATCTACGGGACTGATGACGGGCGATTTAATTCCTGATGGGGAATTGGGAGGCAAGATCAACTTAATTCCATTCGACGTCTACCTTGAGAATCCTTCTTCTCTACGTTGATATTCCCCATTCCGGTTCACACTACTTCACTTTTCGGCTTTTGCATGGCGAGGCGGAGTTTTTCGGTTCAGCAATATTCTTCCGTGGCTCTTCAGCGGTGCTATGGATTCCTTCTTCAACTTACCTTCTCATCCCCTCCCACCTCTCACGCACCCGATCCTGCGGGCTTATCATGAACCCCCGGTTCTATGAAGGTCACAAAGATCTCTATAGCATTCCTATCCTCCTCTCCTCTTGCACTGTTGGGATTTAGCAATTCTTTTCTTTTCGACGCGATGTCGTGAATCATTCCGCCCCCGAAAAATTCGGAGGCTTAATAGGACTGGCAGATCCAGTCTGGACCCCGGAACGGTTAATTCTTCTCGGCTTTTCATACCGTCCACTGGTCGATTTCCCCTGACGGCACCGCCAATAACGCCGATTGTTCTTCAGAAGGACAACAGGACTTTCGGGTTACACGGATGGTCCCGGGTGGTGATATAGTGCGTTCTTTTCTGCAAGAGTTTCTTTTCAGTGCTCTGGAAAAGTCAATATTGTGGCTTCGTTGCGTTTTGGCAGCAATCGTGGGTGGCTTTACTCGGGCATCGTTCCTACAAAAGCACATCTGCTACGGCGATCCTTGGACTGCAATAATTACGCGGGTGGTATGGACGGCGGCAGGTGCTCTGTGCGAGCAACGACGGTGGAAGGGACACTTACAGCGGCACGGCATACAGGAACGAGTCTATGATGGGGCACGGCAAAGATCTCTCTGCATTATCGAGTCGGATTAGAAAAAAGCACCAGATAGCACCATTATTCGAGGTTGCTAGACCTCCCGTCACAGCAATGTGGATGAGTTATGGAATCCGGGGTCGTTAGCCCTTGTTTGCATACATAGAAGGCGTCGTCTCATGAACTTTTAGGTTACATGAGCGATACCGTGTATAGTGTATAGAGCTATCTGGAAGGAGAGTGCAGAGACAGGTGGTGGAGAAATTGCGTCGTGACGGTGAAGGGGAGCTGCAAAAGCAATCAAGAATTCGGACATGTCAATAGACCCTTGCATTGATAACTATCTCAACCTGATTATTCCGAGATGCTCCTCTCTGGCATGAAACCCACCACGTAGTTCAGCCGCCTCATCTGATAATCCTTATGACTGGAATCTCCATTCAAATCACGAGAAGATTCGCAGCATCGGCCATGTCTCGCCCGTATCTGTGCCTCGGACCGCAATTCTTTGGTCAAGAAGCCCATCAGAGGCGAACCACGCCAACGAATCGGGCGACACAATCCCACAGACGGGGTTCATGCTTCCATCCTCGTTGACACGGCTTTTGCTCTGCAGTCGAAATCTCCACTTCCTGTGCCATTGGGGAATGGTTGGGCGAGGAAGCATTGAGTGACCGCACAGGCGCGATGAGAAATGAAACGATACACGTACATAGCAAGGTACGAAAACTGGATGTGAACTCAATATGAGATTTTTGAATTGCCCGAGGATCTTCGCGTTTAACGCCTGGAAGTGTCTAATCGTGGAAGAATTGATAGACTCCGACTCCATTCATGCCGTTGTGATGGCTATAATGTGCCGCTTTCCTGTCCTCCGCCGGGTACGCAAGACAGCCACGCACGACGCCCGTCGCGGGGGTGTTCCTCCCAACTGCATCAGTCCTGCCATCCCCTCCATCCGTCCTTCCCCCCCCACCACATCCGTCCTTCCGTCCTCATCCCCCTTTTCCGTTTATCGGCTCGCGCTCCACACGCCCTTGAGGAACCCGTCCCGCTGCGCCAATCGGTTGACGCAGTCGTCGCCCTCGCCCATGGCGCGCACGAAGCCGCAGAGCGCGTAGGTCTGGTTGTCGCCGGTGTAGCGGCCGTTCTCGTCGACCTTGCCGACGCTGAGCTGGACGGAGGCGTGGTCTTTCGCTTTGATGATGCGGTTGGTGGCCGAGCACTTGCGGGGGACGTAACTGCGAGGTTTGCGTGGTCAGTTGGGTTTGGAGATAGGGGATGGGGGGTGTGGTGGGGGTGAGGGAACGTACAGGTCGACGAGTTCGCCGCGTTCGTTCTCCATGGCTGCGAGGTGTGAAGATGAGGTTCTTGAGGATTGAGATTGAGCGACGGAGCAGATGTGCAGGCGGTTTGGAGATTTGGCGTTGCTGTCGTTGTCGGTCGAACAAGAAGTTTGAGTGGAATTTAGCGAAGTGCGTTGTGGCGCAGGTGGGTCAGGTGACCAGTGGCAAATCCACACAGTCACGTGCCAACGCCCAGACTTTCCAATCTCCTTGTCTTTTGATTGGCTGGATGGATCCTGAATGGCATATCGGCTCCACGCATTGAAGTTGATCATCAACCTCACCTTCTCAATCATCAACGACAATGCGACGCACCCTAAGATGAACGGTTGATCTAGTTACGTTAATCGATCCAGATGCTACATTTAGAGACCTCTGCTGTATGTTCAATGATCCTTCATCTTCCTTTGGATTTGCTTGAGTGAAATCGCCATGCCTCAGGCTTCTCGAGTCCTTCACATCTGGACAATTGGACTCAAGCATCATATCTCACTCCCGCTTGCGATGCCGGCACATACGAGATTGAGGTAGCTCCTGCTTCTCGGAGTTCGATTTTCCTACTCCAAGCCGGGACTGTAGAAGGGCAAGCCCATCCATGCAATGACATGGCAACAATGGTCCAGGTAGTGAACAGAAGGGGCAACTCGTCTAGCAATGCAAGACGCCTCAAGAAGTCAATAAAGAACTTGTTACCGTCTTCATACTGTGCCTCTTCCGCCTTCGAGTAGCATCTGAGCCCTACAAACTCTATCCTCACGCTACTATCTACTACTATCTAGACTACTGCTTCCTCAACTGCCCTAAGTTACCACCACCGCGACCTCGGCATATCCTCCCCTTCGGTTTTCAGTTCTCATCCCAATCAGCGAACCTCTCTTGATCGAACCCAAGTCCATCCTCGATGCCTGTCGGCCTTCCCGGCGATCTTCCCGTCGAATCCCGCCTCCGCCGCCTCCGCCACCGCTTTACCCGTCGCAAGTGGCGCCACAAGGCCAAGAACGGTGGCCGGGTCGTTCCAAAGGTTCGAATCCGCAAGCCCCTTGGACCGGCGACTTACGGCGTTAAAGTCCCCCGCTTCCACCGGGCGAGAACGCCGCTCTAAACGTTGGGCGCGGACGCGGACGAACAAGGTCGTGAATCGGGGGAGGGACGGGCAAAGGTCGGCGGATCGGGGGTATGCGTATGGGAGCGGAGCTCAGGATTCTTCGTACCTTGGAGTCGGGGCGTCCTTGTAACGGAGAAAGTCAATAGAAGAGAGGTTGAAGATTGGCTCAGGCAATTTCACCATCGCACTCCTAGCACATGGTTTACTTCCTGGGATGGCTGGGCTTTTTGGCTTATCCGAATGTACACGAGTGTCCCCTAGAGACGAGGATTTTCTGCTCGCCCTAGAATACTGATGGATTAGGACTATTTATATACAAATTCCAATTACTCCGCCTCAATTCCCTTCTCTGATAGCTGTAGCTGTGCAGACAGACGAACATGGTGATGCCCCTAGTGGGGGTCACTTGCAATAGCACTCGATTCCCTGGCAAGGTCCATCTCAAATCCAGTTAGGACTTGACCCGGACGTTTGGTTCAACCTGAATCTTGGATAAAATATTAAGTTCAGATACCACCCATGGTACTTTAACTGGTCGGCATAACGTCCAATAGGAACCTCTGCCATCAGGACCTGACCGGACATAAGCCAGGTATTCAGCCGCATAAGATACTTAGTGGTGTCGTCACTTGTCAGGCCACTGCATGAACCAGCCCTGCGCCATGTATTAACGGTACATAAACCTGCCGCTCTGCTCCGAGCGAGACATTAGAATTTAGACGCCCCAAATCCATCGCGGTATTCCTCAAAACCGGAATTCCATAATTCGAACTAATAATTACCGACCTTCTAAACACAGCTGCGCTACAATGGCCGATCGAGTCCAAATTGAGGGCTCCCTCCTCATCAAGCTCGCACAGCTGGTCGGGATTGCCGGTGGTGCTCTCGTAACAGGTTGGGCCACTGTCTTTATAAACCCATTGTTCATCTATTCTAGTATTCCAACTAACATTGCATCGTAGCAATCAGCGGGGGTGCCTCGTTTATGCTCGTCCCTGCATTGAAAGCCGGTCCCGCTTCCGTGCTGGTTAGGCAGTGGCGAGTCGCATATGGAATCGGCGCGCGATCCGCACCGCCTATTTCCATCGTGACATCCCTTGCTTGGGCGTATCTCGCCTCGAAAGGTGGGTTCTCAAAGCTGCTCTCTATCCCTGCGGAACCGCCCTTCACGACTCGCACTCCTGTCTTGAAGAATCGATGTCACCGAAGCTAACCTCTCCCAGCGCGTCACCATCCCGCGACCCCCTCGGGGCCCTTCACGTTCTACACCCTCGCCGCGGTGCTCGGCCCGGCCATCGTGCCGTACACACTGGTGGTGATGAAGTCCACGAACGGGCGGCTGAGCGAGCTGGCCGCGGCGGCGGACAAGGCGAGCGAGAAGGTCCAGGAAAAGGAGGCTACGCAGTTGATCGAGAAGTGGAAGTGGTTGAATGCGGTGAGAGGCGTGTCGGTCTTTTCCGCCCTGATGTGCGGTGCCTATGCGATTGTGACATGGCCCGAGATCGCGATTTGGGCGGCGTAGGAATAGGCTAGGGATAGCTATTGGCGTTCACGTTCATATGCGAATAATTCATATCCCGAGTATCCACCGCCAAGTCCGCCATTAGATATGTCTGTTGGTGCGGTTTAATTGCCTATTGACAATGATGGGTATGTTCCTCGTCCATGCTACCATGCTGGATGCTATATGTCCAATATTATCCACAGGCAATGAACATGTACCAGTACGGAATACTCTGGAATTACACGTATCGTGTATTGCGTATTTATCCTTCGTGCGAATATATACTCTCGTCCAGTCTGGTTCTATTGAAGATGTTCAGTTGTGGCCTCTTGCCTCGTGCCTCAGCCTCGTGCCTGATAATATCAGGCGTCAAGGCACCCAAGCGGACCCCTGTCGCCCGAAGAGACCACGCATCGACAATTCGACATCACCTTAACTTCCATACACAAGTTATCAACATACCCGTTCAAGCTATCCGAGCATCCCAACGCTTGTCTCAATGCTCGTCATTCCCAAGTCCCGCTAAATCGCATCTCAGCTCCTTATTCCACCCGACATGCGGGCCCACGCTCTTTTCCTTTCCCTCCTTCCCCTGGTCCCGTTCGTGACCTCCAGATCGACGGCCTCAACATCGGACATCCTCCCGGCGAACTTCCAGCCGCCACAGGTATGGGTGAACGCGAACCAAGTGCGGACCATTAATTTGGAGAAGTCATACCCGCGGGAGGCAATCAATACGGTCATTGAGAATGTCTCGGACGACCCTCAGACGGAGTATTACTTGCCGTTTGCTGGGGATGTGATAGCGAACGTAGGCGGACTGCAGGTGAAGGACAAGAAGGATCCATTGAAGGAAGGATTCAGCGCTGAACTGGTGGAACTGGACTCGGAAAGGTAGAAATGAACATTCCAACCTTCAAGTCACGTCAACTAACCCGCAGCCATAGCTCCACGCAATACTACCGCCTGACGCTCCCTCCCGTCGCCCCCAAGTCCTCTCTCACTCTCTCCATAACCTACACCCTTCTCTCCACCCTCTCCCCTCTCCCCGCCAAAATCCCCCAAGCATCCCCCCAGCACCTCACCTACTCTCTCAGCGCCTACATCCCCTCCGCCTACCCCACCACCAAGCAGCGCACCCGTCTCCGGTTCCCCTCCACCCGCGTCCCCGACTTCACCACCGTCCCTCGCCCCGCCACCGCCGACACCCCCGAAGCCCTCGACCCCGACCGCCAAGGCCCCACCTTCACCTACGGCCCCTATCCGCCCCTCCCTGCCGGCGCCGCCCACCCCATCACGGTGCGCTACGAATTCACCAAGCCCATCCCCTCTGTCTCGCTCCTCGAGCGCGATCTCGAGGTCTCCCACTGGGGCGGCAACCTGGCGACCGAGGAGCGCTACTGGCTGGAGAACCACGCGGCGGCGCTGCGAGAGCAGTTTTCGCGGCTGGAGTATCAGAAGGAGGGATATTCGACGACGGCGCAGTCGTCGGCGCTGAAGGAGGTGCGGCGGCCGCTGGCGCCGGGGGCGGGGAACCCGTACTTTACGGATGCGATTGGGAATATCTCGACGAGTCGGTTCCGGCCGGGGGATGTGGTGGCTAAGCGGGACGCGAGCTGGGAATTGAAGCCGCGGTTTCCGGTGTATGGGGGGTGGAAGTATGCGTTTAAGATTGGCTGGGATGCGGATCTCAGTGCGTATATAAGGCGAATCGCGAGCGGGTCGGACCATTTTGTGCTGAAGGTGCCATTCCTTGAGGGGTTGAAATTGGACGAAGGATTGCAGTACAAGAGGGCGGTGGTCCGAGTTATCCTGCCAGAAGGAGCAAGGTGAGATTGAGTATCTATTCCGTCTTTGTGGAGTCATATTGCTAACCTAAGTCCAGGGACATTAACTTTGCGACGGCTGTCCCACTTGCAAACGACGAGATCACCATTCACAAGACTTTTATGGACACGCTCGGAAGACCAACGCTGCAGCTGACCGCGGTGAATATCGTAGATGAGTGGAGGGACAAGGACTTGATTGTATGTTCACCTCCCAGCCATTCGCCATCGAGTTTCTGTTAACGCTTTTTCAGGTCACGTACACCTATCCCTGGACCGCCGGCTACCGCAAACCGTTGACGATCGCGGCGGCCATGATCAGCGTGTTCATCACGGTGTGGATCGTCGGTAGTCTGGACGTCAGCATTGGGCGGAAAACAAAATAAGGTCGAGAGGATTGGCCCGGAAAGGTCTTGTGTTGAGTTAGTTCCACCACTACGTCCTGGAAGGATAGGATGTGAGCAGCGAAAACCATACATTTTCAAAATGGGTCAGGGAAGGGCGTGCGAGCAAGTTTTGTTATCTGTACATTTGGTGGCGTCTAGGATATTCAACAGTATTGACGGATCTCGCACTATCTTACAACTTCTCCATGACGTCCTATGCTATGCCTATACGAATAATTCCAAATGTTTCCGTTATCCCTACCCCTTCAAACCCCCTTCCCCCCCCTTCACCAACCGAAACACAAACCCCACCGCCATCGCCCCCAACACCCCCCCACACAACACCGTCGGCCCCCACTTCTCATAATACACCCTCCTCCCCACCCTCCGCGCCCGAATCGCATCAACACGCATGTAGTACAGCACCGCACTGTAGATCAGCGCCACCAGCGCGACGACGGTGAAGGCGATCGACGCGGCGAGGGTTAGTCGGTCGCCGAAGTTCAGCAGCGCGGCGGCGATGGAGCCGAGAAGGATGCTGAATTCGAGCCAGGAGAGGAAGGTGCGCTCGTTGGCGAGGTGGACTTTGGGTTCGACGCGGATGGGGACGTGGATGCCTGAGGGACGTTAGTGTAACTGCAGTTGGATCGACGGTGTCCCCGACGATAAAAAGACGTAGGGATGGTACTCACGCTTCCCTGGCGGCGCCTGAAACCGCTTCATCTCCCCCGCCACATGCGGCACCCCCAACTCCCGCCCCCCCGTCGGAATCTCCGTCCCGGGCGTGAACATCCCGCGCGCCACCACCTGCGACACCCGCTTCGCCGCCCGCGATACTTCCCATCGCGTCGCCAGCAGCGCGTATTTCGCTTTTCTCCCTTTCTTCCGCGCCTGCTCTAGCTCGTACTGTCGCTCTGCTTCTGGGTCGGACTCGTAGACGTAGTCCTCATCGATGGGCGACGCGGCGACCCGCTCTTCTTCGTCGAGGGTGTTGGGGTCGTGGGTAGCGTGTGGCTCGTCTGCGTGTTCACGGCCGTCGGGGCGGGGTTGAGCTTCGTCGTCGTCGTCCCTGTCGTCGTCGATGTCTTCATTACTGGCATCTTGAACCCGCTCGTGCGCCCGCAGCATACGTCGCGCGTCATGGAGACGGCGTTGATTCACGTCCCCACCCTCCGGATCGGTGTTGTCGACCTTTGGCAGGTCCTCATCATCCGAGTCGTCGAACGTGTCGGATGTCGACATATCCGTAACCTGGCCCGGCCGCTCGATCCCGAAGTTCCGCGACACGGGTTTGAGGATATCGACGTCCATCTGCGGCATCCAGAAGGGCAGGAGCGCGATCCGCTCCGGCTGCAACGCGGCGGTGCCGTGGATGAACTTGGAGAACTTGGGGACCGCCTCAACGAGGTGGCTGGCGGTCAGTTCGCGGATCCACTCCGGGGGGAGCTGGCCCGCAGCGGTTTGCAGTTTGACTTCGAGGATGGCGTACGGGAAGCGTTCGATGTCGGAGGGGGGAAGTTGGCGGAAGGGATGATCTATGCCGATGTCTGTCCGGCGCCAGTTGGTGCCGGCGCGCTGGCGGTCGTCGAGGTTGTCTTCGCGGATCATGCTTAGATCGATGTCCAGGCTGATGCGTACTCGGGCGTCGCCAGGGAGCTGGAACGCCGTGCGGCTGTAGTACGAGCGGGTGACGGGGACGAGGCTACGGGTCAGCACGCGGTACTGGATCTCCCGCGCCAGCTGCTCGAGGTCGTTGATCTCCTTCTCCGGCTTCTTCCCCTCGCGACGCATCTTCTCGAAGATCTTGTCGACGGTGAGGCGGCCGGCGAGGTAGTCGTTGACTTTGTTCTCTTTGAGGGGGAACCGGGCTTTCACGCTCTTTTCGCCGGTCCAGTCCTCGCGATGCGTCTTGCGTTCGACGAAGATGGTCTCTGCCTCCATACCGCCGTACCACCGGAGGCGGATGGCTTCGGCGCCTTCGGTCTTCTGGAGACGGCCTTCATAGAGTTCCCAGGTGTCGGTGTTATCGTAGTAGATGGAGGAGATGGCGGAGTCTTTTTTCTCGAATTCTTTGGAAGGGTTAAAGACGAGGACGGGGAGATGCTGATTGACTGTTATTGACTGCTCGTTGTAGAATATCCAACCATCCTTCACGTACCTTGAGAATCACGAGCTTCAGTTCGGTGATATTGTCGGGATGCACCCAGTATTTGGTGGTATTTCTGATGAAATTTTGCTGCTTGCCCCCTGCGCCCGCGTCGCCTTTAGTTGGACTACCCCGTGTTCTCACCAAGTCGTATAGCCTCGATACTTTGATGATGAAGGCATCGTAGTTGTCCCTGTAGAATGGCTTGGCCTTTAACCGAACCGCGAAGACGGGTCTGAGATGCCACTTCGTTTGTTTCTGTCTCCATGTCAACACGTATTCCGACAGGCTTTGCCTCAAATGCTTACATCGTGCTTCTTGATGATCTTCTGAAATCCGGTATAGTTCAACCTCGTGAAACTGGCCAGATCATGCACATCCGCAATGATATCGCTGACATCCTCCTCCAACAGCATGAAATCCTCTTCCAAGGCTTCATCAGCCTGCTCCTGCCCCTGCTCCTCCCTCAGCTGGGTGGCATGCGTGACCACCTCCCCGACTTCTTTCTCGCTGGCCTGGATACGTCGAACGATCTCCTCGCTCTTGACCTTCTGGAAAGTATAGACCTTATCCAACTCCTGCTCCAGCAGTTTCACGAACCGCTGCTCGTCTTTCTCGGTCCACGGTCGGCGCTTCGGGTCAGGGTTGTCCGAGGTAGGAGGGGTTTCGAAGACGGTCTTGAGGCCATCTTTGAGGTCGTCGTAGCTGATATAATGGTAGTACCAGTCCCGGATTAGCGAGGAGCGGAGTTGCTCTCCGAACCTGGGGAGCGTCAGTGGCTGTACAGGATAGTTATGATAGACGTGAACGGGTCATGGTTCCCAATCCCCAGTTGGAATCGTACTTCATAGTGCCAGTGTTGAGCTCATATGCATGCCCCACGGCGTCAATTGATCGAATTCGGCGTCAGTTGAGCCGATGATATGAATATGTACGGCATCCGATGAGCATCCGAGTCAACCAAGACGAGGGGCATATGGCAATGGCAGAGACGAGGACAGGGTTTTGTACTACGGTGCCTCGAGCAGGAGCTTGAACAATGAACGTCAATCGAAGCAAATGATTCTGTTGCTTAAAGCAATAAGGCTGGGCTCAGGCTAGGGTCTCTTTGGTGCAGGGGCCGCCAACTGCAGGTGTGTTGATCGCTGCGTCATCCAGTAGACTGCCCATTCAGAAGCCAAAGAGCCCCCACGTGTTAGAACCCCCTGTTCTTAAATCTCGACCGCATCCTTTCTTAAGTCTTCCACTTCACCAATATCAGATTGCTTTAATTATCATCACCCTGAGGCCTGAAGTCATCGATTGAGTCTTTGGGATACTTAATACTCGAAAGTCGAATATCGTGTATACCTCATTTATACCTGTACCATGATGTGGCTGGCTATGATGCACATGTGTATGGTGACCTGTTGCACAAAAACCAATGTAACAATGCTAACTAACGTGATACACCGACGAAGTCTATTGCAATCCTGTTCCGTATCTAACCAACTTAGTACCTATAGTGAGTGTATCAGTGACAACGAGGATTGCCGTCGAATGTCTTGGTGGCAATGTTGGCTAATCCGTCATCCTTTATGACTGTTCTATATTTCTCTACTTTTATCGAATGTTAGTTAATAATGCTCTCACCTTTATATCTCTCAACCGCCCCGTACCAGACATGGTTCCTTCTTCTCCAAGCCTCTCCTACGCGTTTCAAAAATCGAATAATCTAGTCCACCCAAGAGCATCCTTCAATAATTATCATGGCGCCCCCTCAGTCCGACCCCCCCCCTACCGCCCCCTCCAGCGCTCCCATCCCCGCAATCGCCCCCTCCACCGCGCTGCCAAGCCCCTTCCCCCTAAAAGACGACATGGAATCCGCCGTCGCCAACCTCGGCGCCCTCCTCTTCCACCAAGGCTGGCGCAACTTCACCGACATCATGCTCCACATCGGGTTCGCCGTCGGCACCTCCAGCTTCCCCGAACTGATCTCCTGGCGCAAGGTCGCGTTGCGGAAGCTCACCTCCGAGGAACGCAGGCAGTTGCGGGCGGTGGCGGTGGAGTGGGACGAGGCGCCAGTGAATGTGGAGGAGTTTTTGAGGACGAGGAGGGGGTTGGGGGTGGTGGATATGGGGGCGTATCGGACGAAGAGGGTGGAGGGGCTCACGGCGAAGACTAACAATGGTAAGGGGAAGGCCAAGGATGTTTCAGCAGAGGCTGTGGAGGGGGAGAGCAAAGGTAAGGGAAAGGACAACGCGAAGGCAGAGGATGTTCCAGCAGAGGATGTTCCAGCAGAGGCTGTGCAGGAGAGGAGCGAAGGTAAAGGAAAGGAGAAAGCGTAGTAGGCAAGGATCATTAGGACCATCCTTGCTATAGCCTCACTAAATTCCAAGCACACAGTACCATGCCGCTCCTCTTCGCTTGACCTGTTCTGGCGTAAGATGTGGCCCTTCCTCTCCCACTCTTCTGCGTGACATCCCGCTCGCTAACACTGTCATCAAACAGAGCATATAGGTACCATAGCTAAACACCATACCCCTTACTTCCATGGTCCAAGACCTTCGAAGTTTGGAAGCCATCCTGGCTCCGGTCCCAAGACACCGCATCGAGTCGTACCTGTAGGAAAGGAAAGTTCCGTTCAGCTGAATGATATGTTGATGGCATGTACTCAGGCCGTTTTAGCTGTCAAAGCAAAGAATTATCTTTATCATCTCTTCTCACCTTATATTGCTGAATTGACTGTAATTACCGGATACGATTTGGTTGTTGGTTGCCTTAGAGAAGATCGTGAGGCAACAAGGCTACTACAGCCCCACCACCGTCGCGACATGGCCGGGACGTCCTGCATTGCGCTTCATGTCGACGATACTGATGCTTCCCCAGAAACCCCTCGACACGGCCCCATCCACCAACAGCTCTGGGACTGGTTTCGCGATCGCCTCGGCAAGCAATTCGGCACCAAGAGATACTACGCCTCCCTACTTCGCGAGGCCGAGCTCACCCCGCGCCCGCCACGATGATGATCAAGTGAGTTGGACTGCGAGTCCCCGATGGTTGCTCACGACGCTGACGAGGACGGTCTAGAGTGAGAACCCTGACGGGGAAGGAGATCGAGTTGGATATCGAGCCGGACTACAAGGTACTCGACCCCCCTCGCTCCCCTCCTCCATCGACTAACCCCGATCACAGGTCTCCCGCATCAAGGAGCGCGTCGAAGAGAAAGAAGGCATCCCGCCCGTCCAACAACGCCTGATCTTTGGCGGCAAGCAAATGTACGCCGCCATTACCATTTCCTGTTGTCTACGTTACCTACCGACACCCGACTGACCGATCAACAGGAACGATGACAAGTCCGCCTCCGACTACAACCTCGAAGGCGGGAACACGCTGCATTTGGTCCTCGCGCTCCGCGGTGGCGTGCTCGCACTCGGCACATGAGCGACCCTGCGAAGGAAAGGCGCCGGCACTTATCTTTGACGTCGCGCCGACACGCACTCGATCAAATGCATTCGTTTCGGAGTTCGGAACCGTGGTGGGGACGCGTGGATATGGACTTTCAATGAAGTGATGACGGGGGACGTCCGATGGGCAGACATGGCCCTGGGATTCAGGAGACGTTCGTTCATGTACGGGGGAACGGGGAGCTATCAGTAGGAGAGCTGGGGATTTCACGAAAAGTTCAAAGGCTTGACTCGTCCTGGTGGTGAAACTAAAGAACGCCGCTTAAATTGTGTGTGATATATCCTCCGCAAAACACCGAGCGCTATGCAAAGGATGGACATGAATACCTCCCATGATCGATGAAACTCCTTAATTACAGCGATGTCCCGCTGGTACTCTTGTAGACCTTCTCGATGCTTCGTGCGGCATGGTTTCAGTCTCCCATCACTGCCATATCAAACCCACCAGCACCTCATAACCCCAGCCATCAAATAATCAACCCCCCCGTCTCTAACCTTCTCCAACCCATATCACCCATCTACCGCGTACGCTTATTCGGCATCAAAATCGTATTCCTCTTCCGCTTCCTCGCCAACGGCGCCTGCGGCGACCCGACCGGACTCCCATCCTTCCTCCTCTCCACCCGGTTCGGACTTGTCGTCCTCGTGCTCCCCCCTGCAACTACCCGCTCCGTCTCCTCCTTCTTCGCTGCGTGTTCCGCATCCATCTTCCGCGATCCCCACGTCTTTGGCGTGGCAGGCGCTGGCGGGTCGCGTTCGAGTTGCTTTTCGGGGACGGCGGTGGGCGCTACGCCGGGTCGAGGCGCGGGCCGAACAGGATGAGTCGGCCGGCGTCCGAGGGGCCCGATCAGGCGACTATTGCGGGGTGGGGCGAGCGTCGCGGCCGTGGCAATCGGAGCAGCAATCGCGGGCTGCGTCGGGCGTCGCTGGATGCGCGCCGGTGGAAGCATGCTCTTCGGCGCCTTGGACACACCGAAGCCTTTGGTCGGGATGGTGGGGCGGCCCATGCGCAAGACGTCGCGGCGCTGGGGACCTTGCTTCATGATGGCGGCCATGGCGGAGGGTTTGGGCGGGGGGCCGCCGAAACGTCGAGATCTTCCGGGCTTGACGGGGGCGCGGTCGGTGACCATGAGCTTGGCTTGTTCTTGGCGGGAGGCATCGACGGAGCTGAAGAGGGACTTGAGGTCGGCTTCGGCTTCTTTGATGTGCTGGTCTTGGATGCGGCGGTAGTTCTAGATTGAGGGTGAGTTTGAGCGGGGGAAATGTGGCCAAGCGCTATAGGAACAAGATCCCAGAGAAGGTAGAAGCGGGAGAGTGTAATACAAGGGGATACGTACATAGTAGACCTTCGACCAGGACTTGGGATTGTCGGGAATGGGAGGGAACTCGAGGGTCCTGGAGTTCGAGAACTCTTTCTCGATGAGCTTGAGCCAGAGATCGCCAGTATGTCCTTTGAGCTGCGGGCAGTGGTCTTCGAGGTGTTTCTGTTTCTGTCAGTCGGGATCTGGGTCTCCAGTTATTGAGATGCGTACGAGCTGATCGGCTTCCGTGATCTTCACGAGGACCGGCTTGATGGTCTCGAAAGGAACGTCGCCCACGTCATAGATTTCTACAATGATTAACATCAGGATCAGGAACTCTTGTGGACTAAAATACCATGGACGTGCTTCATCAGGAAACGGAGTGACATGCTGTAAAGCGAATGGGGTGCCCGCATCCCAGTCTTGGCCACAGCAGCGGAAGAGGTTGAAGCGGAAGCTTGAATGTTTGCCATGGCGGAATAGAAATCGTATATAATACTAGTAATGCTAAGTAGGCAGCTTGCCAATGTTGAAATCCGAAAGAAAGAAAAGGCGCTTGGTGTCAAAGACGCATCCGAGAAGTTATAGAGGAGGCAGAAGAAGGAAGTAATGGTTCTTTATTGCAGAACAAGAATGTCACGAGTGAATTACAAGCCATTGTGAATGGCCTATTCCATTGAACCATTCAGGTCAACAATAGGATTATTTACCAAGCTGGAAGATCCTATTGAAGGTGACATTAATTGACGGTTTGGGGCATGTGGTATGTGAAGGTGAGAGTGAATGAAGACGGAGGTCCATCACCAGACCTGACTCAAGTCCAGACTCCAGTCCCCACACTTACTCAACCACATCCCGGATGCCCACAGCGCCACAGCACGTGCCCACAAGTTGTGGCTCAGATGTTCACTTGTTCAGTCTTCAGTGTCTTTTCACGTGATATCAACTCCGAGTCGTGAGTTTGGACTGGAGTTTCAAGTTCGCGGCGTCGAGTTTCACTATCAATTCTTTTTCCATAGCACGTCGATATTTCCACCAATATAAAACCAAATTTGTACCTCGGTTGGAAGTGCCACCACATTGGAAATCGGATTCGCCATGGACGTCCCAAGCTATGGCCTGTTGGACCAGGCGGAAGAAGGTTCGTCATCCGCGTCGCATTGCCTCGAACCATTGACTAAGTCGTTCCATCCAGATGCCCTTCATAAAGATCGTCTGCTCCCGATCGAACAAAGACCCTTCCAACGCATTACCAAACGACTTCTCGCCGCCGATTCCCCCATCCGCTCACACCCCAAGCAACTCCCCACTCCTCCTCCCGACTCCACCGTTATCGACGAAGCCGCCGCCGCCGCCGAAGCCCTTAAGCAACAGGAATCCGAAGAACGGCGACAATGGCGAGACGAAATGCACCTCGACTTCGAGGCGCTCGAAGACAACATGGTCCGCATGCAACTTTTGCGAACCAGCAACTCGCGCGAACGCGAGCGGTACGCCACTGAGAAGCTCAAGATCCTCGACACCGCGCAAGCCGTGCGAGAGAACACCGCAGACCTACGCAACCAGCTCGACGAGGCGCGCAAGACGCTAGCCCTCCGCAAAGAATACGACGCGCTCACGGAGAAGATCCACACGAACCGGATGCTGCGGCCGCGCGACGACCAGCAGGCGCAGCTCGCGAAGCTGCGGGCTGAGATCGGCGAGCTGCGAGGGGAGAGCGCGGAGTACGCGCGCACGTGGACGGAGCGGCGGGCGCAGTTCATGCGGATCGTGGGAGAGGGGAAGACGATGTTGGGGTTGATTCGGGATGAGAAGGAGGAGGCGGAGCGGAAGGAAGGAATGATGGGGGGGGAAGAGGAGGAGGGGGAGGGGGAGGGGGAGGGCTCGCAGGGGAGTCGGAGTCGGGCGGGGACGCCGAGGGCGGAGGGGACGCCGTTGCATGGGGGAATCGCGGAGGGGGAGGGGGGGTTGAAGCCGCCGCCGTCGCATTTGAGGGTGGCGATGAGGAGAGGGAGGACGGGGTCGCTGAGTAGAAGTCGAGGCGGATCACCGAGCCCCGGGAGGAGTAGAGGGACACCGGGGCGGGATGAGTCCCCGAGCGAGGAAGGTGAGGAGAAGGACGTGGAGATGGGTGATGCGGGCACGGCGGATAGCTCGGAGATGGAGGAGGGGGAGGAGGAGGAGAAGGAGGAGGAGGAGGAGGAGGAGGAAGAGGGTGAGATGGCTGAGAAGATGGAGATGTAGAAGGCTTCAGCTTTCAACGGATGCATATCACGGCGTTGGTGGAGCGTTAGTCCATGCTACTGCGGACTCGGGCGTTTGAAACCTGGTTTGAATAGATACCACCTGTCGGCTTTTAATCAAGTGGGATCATGGATATCATTTGCAATCTTCTATACTGAAAAGCGTGCCCGTCGATCCGCACGCATGTTCTTCCCTCTCACGCAATGCTCTTCAACAACTCATCTGCCCTCGCAACGTCAGCCGCCGGGCAGTCCGCCCTGTTGGCCTCCTATATCCAGTCAGCAAAATTCCCGAGATTCGTCCACCAGCGATAACCTACCAGCTGCTCTTTCAGCTGAGCCACCGCTCCCTTCAACCGCTCCTGCACGGACGGTAGAACCTTCTTCGTCTCCTCAAGCGCTTGACGCTAGACTCACGTCAGTCACCACGGCAGACCCATCGAACGGCCATGCAACGCACCTCTTGTCGGAGTTGGAAATCTGCATTTTCATCCGTGCTCTCGGCGGCCTGGAGTTTCGCGATGCGGGCTGCTTGCTGCTCCAGTTCGACGTGGTAGCTCTTCTCTTCTTTGGCGAGGCGTTGGACGGAGGAGATTGCGACGGCGAGTTTGGAAGGTGGAGCCATTTTGTCGATCGGTGATGCTCCTTTCTTAGAATAAATTTTGTCGCGGTGTCTTTTTTTCTGGGACTTTATAAACTGGAGGGAATTAGAATAGTTCGTTATTATCGAAATTGTTGTTCTTGGACTCCGCAGTTGAATAGTTGGGCGATATCACTGGAACGGGAAATGTCAGGGAGGAGACGTCATTGGCTAGGACGAAATTATTAGTGCCTATGGAATTTCATCATCATATCGACCTGGGAATTCGAGGTAATACTCAATCAATTGCATTCTACATACACTAATGTATCTATGGTACTTACAGGTATATACTCCGTAGAGTGCACAGGATAAACTCTAAGTACAGACACAGTAACAAATACTGCAGCGTCGGACACAGCGCGGCCATCGAGCACTCTACTCCATCCTTTTCTTTATCTATTCATAGCCCAGCTAACACGCCATCATGATTTCTTATCGATTAACATCGCTCGGACGTTTGAGTGCTAGTAGTAAAAGGACACCGCAGCGTGGCCGTTGATGGGTAGCCGTTGATGGGTACGAGACTGGTGCCCGCCGAAGGACCTTTGGTGGCTGCTGTAGGTGCAACCTGCGATTGAAATGTATCTGGATCCTCTAGCACTGTAGAACGAGTAAATTGGACTATGAGACGACAAAGGGGCCCCGTTGGATTCGTAATGGGCGTACATGAGTTCGACAGGTGATGATGAGAAGTCATGGTGACAAGACTCGATCGTCTGAACGGCCCCGCCATGGCATCAAAGCCCCCCTAACATCGAATGCAGAGCTTCGTTAACTGATGGTGAATATCGCTACATAGGGATACTCCTGAGTGTAACTTGTAACTTGCTTCGTGGACTGGAGACGCTTGGAAAACCAAAAGGAAGTGCAGTCTGCACTTCTGTCACCTGCACCTACGATTCGCTTGGAGGGGGAGTTCCGGTTGTCCAATCAACGCGTCGAGGGGCTAACACGTCTACCACAACAAGAGTAAGGCGCGTCTCATCCACGTCGCTGCCGAAATGGGCTAAATGGATTTTGGCTGTGTGTCACGACAGGATTGTCAACCTCCTCTGTCAACCTCCGCGCAGCCTCGATACCCCTTCACTCCCTCCGTAGGTCCTGGTATTCCCAATACCTTCACCTCCACATTCGCCATCGATAGCAGATGCTTGTTTCCGTTCAAGTACTGCCATCATGTCTTCTCCCACATCCCGCCGAACACGAAATTCCGCCTCCGCGACCCCTCGACGAAGCACTCGTTCCTCGCAAGTCCCACAAAGCTCGCCAACCGCTCAGCTCGCATCGGAGGCCTCGCAGGCGTCCGATCGACAGTCCAACGCTGGTACCAGCCTTGATGGAACGCCGAGGGCCTCGCAATCGCAGCAACGGAGCGGCACAACGTCCTCGCCCCTGTTCTTCAACTCGTCTCCCGCGCACAGGTTGAGCCAGCAGACGGCCGCCAATGTCAGCTCGCCGTTGAAATCGCAACTAGACGATGGCGAGACAACCCCGAGAGCCAGTCAGAACATCAGAGGTGGGTGGTATTTCTCCATGGAAACCCCGTATTTAAGGCTAACTAGGAATTAGATTCTTCTCCAATCCACTATGCCTCCAGTTCCTCGCCCGGACGGGTGCGAAGCTCCCAAGCCCGTGATAACATCCATAGCAGCAGCAGTGCACTCTTCGTGCGCGGATCCGGTACGCCAGCGCGGAACCGCCGCCATGATATCAATTCCGATGTGTTTGGCTCCAGCGGTGCACGACGTCGTCGCATGTTCGTCGATGAAAACGGCATGGTTGTGGGAGGTTCGGATGCTGCCACTTTCTCCAACCTGGACCCGAATACCTCTGACGCGGATGCATTGGCCGGGAACTCCAGCAGCGTGATCTGGGGGACCAATATCTCGGTTGCGAACTCCATGCATGCCTTTAAGGACTTCTTGTTGAATTATGAGAGGAAGTACCGCATGGTGCGCGATGGGGAACTGCCGGATACCCAGAGTATTCCGTACGATGATCCGGGAAGAACGAAGGAGTACGTTGAGATGATGCAGATGATGTTGGAACTGGGCGTCACTGCGTTTAATCTCGATGCCAGGAATCTGAAGGCCTATCCGCCTACTACGAAGCTGTGGCACCAGCTGCAGGCTTTCCCGAACGAGATCATACCGATCATGGATCAAGGCCTGAAAGATACATTGGTCGAATTGGCCCAGAAAAAGATGAATGACATTCGTTCTCAGTCACAGCGTACGCAGCATACGACGCAGTCGTCCCGAGTTCGAGGATCAAGCTCCCTCCCTCCTCATCCTAGCTCTGATGCGGAGATGGGCAACGGCCAGACTGCCCCCCCTGAAGAAATCGATGATCTTGTCAATGAGGTCGAGGTCAACGTGTACCGAGTTCGACCCTTTGGGCTGGATAACACCGTCAATCTGCGTGACCTGAACCCTGCCGATATGGACAAGCTTGTCAGCATCAAAGGGCTTGTGATTCGCACTACCCCTATTATTCCCGACATGAAGGATGCCTTCTTCCGTTGCGCGGTGTGCAATCACACAGTGCGCGTTGACATTGACCGTGGAAAGATCGCTGAGCCTACAAGGTGCCCACGAACCGGATGCGAGGCATCTAATGCGATGCAGATCGTGCATAATCGGTCTGGGTTTGCTGATAAGCAAGTCATCAAGCTGCAAGAGACCCCCGACAGTGTCCCGGATGGCCAGACACCTCACTCCGTATCCGTGTGTGTCTACGACGAGCTGGTAGATGTCTGCAAAGCCGGTGACCGCGTCGAAATCACGGGTATCTTCAAGAGCAATCAGGTTCGGGTGAACCCTCGTCAACGTACCGTCAAGAACATCTTCAAGACGTATGTCGACGGTCTTCACATCCAGAAGGTCGACAAGAAGCGCATGGGGATCGACACCTCTACCGTTGAAGAGGATCTGGCGGAGCAAGCTACGGGAGACACGGAAGAGAACCGCAAGATCTCGGCAGAAGAAGAGGCGAAGATCAAGGAAATCGCCGGGCGAGCCGATGTATACGAGCTTCTTTCTCGTTCCCTTGCCCCTAGCATCTACGAGATGGACGATGTGAAGAAGGGCATTCTCCTCCAACTCTTTGGGGGTACGAACAAGTCCTTCGAGAAGGGTGGAAGTCCGAAGTACCGCGGAGATATCAACGTCCTTCTCTGCGGTGATCCTTCGACGTCAAAGTCACAGCTGTTGAAGTACGTCCACAAGATTGCTCCGCGTGGAGTGTACACCAGCGGCAAGGGTTCATCGGCCGTTGGTTTGACGGCCTATGTGACTCGGGATCCAGAAACTCGCCAACTGGTTCTCGAGTCCGGAGCACTGGTCCTCTCCGATGGTGGTGTCTGTTGCATCGATGAATTCGACAAAATGAGCGACGCCACTCGCAGTGTGCTTCATGAAGTGATGGAGCAGCAGACCGTTTCTATCGCGAAGGCCGGGATCATCACGACACTGAATGCTCGCACCAGCATTTTGGCATCGGCGAACCCTATTGGAAGCAAATACAATCCCAATCTGCCGGTTCCCGCCAACATCGATCTACCGCCAACCCTCCTCTCTAGGTTCGATCTCGTCTACCTCGTCCTCGACCAGGTCGATGAGATGCACGATCGGCGATTGGCACGGCATTTGGTCGGCATGTACCTAGAAGACGCTCCCGAGAATGCGGCGAGTAAGGAGGTACTGGTAAGTCCCCAATCTTCAATCTGACGTGGACTCTGGAGAATAAATTCACTAACAAAATCAGCCCGTCGAGTTCCTCACGGCCTATATCTCCTACGCCCGCCAGGTCTGCACTCCCCGCATCACCGAAGGCGCTGCCCGCCGCCTCTCCGACGCCTACGTCGCTATGCGCGCCCTCGGCTCCGACGTGCGGTCCGCGGACCGGCGCATCACCGCGACGACGCGGCAACTGGAGTCCATGATCCGCCTCGCCGAAGCGCACGCCAAGATGCGACTCGCGGAAACCGTCGAGGAATCCGACGTCGACGAAGCAGTGCGGCTAATTAAGAGCGCGCTAAAGCAGGCGGCGACGGACGCGCGGACGGGATTGATAGACATGGGGTTGTTGACGGAGGGGATGGGGGCGGGGGAGCGGCGAAGGAGGGAGGACTTGAAGGGGGCAGTGGGGGCGGTGGTGGAGGAGTTAGGGGGCGCGGGGGCGGGAGTGAGGGTGGGAGATTTGGTGAGGCGGTTGGGGGAGCGGGCGCAGGCTGGAGGTGGAGGGGAGATTGAGAATGGGGAGGTGATGGACGCGTTGAGGGCGCTGGAGGCCGAGGGGAAGGTTAGAGTGTCCGGCGAGGGTGCAAGGAAGGTGGTGAGGAAGGTGGTTGGCGCAGTCTGATTGTCCGGCTTGGGATAGGGGTTCAGGAGTTCAGTGGCTTCTGGTGGAGACGGATGAGCTTGGCTTGAGGGCAATGATTCGGAACGGATACCTGGTTTCGGACTTTTAACGATATAGAGCTACTAGTAATGAAAGATGTTTTGAATCATTAATAGCCCAGGGTTCGTAGTCGTTTGTGGTTTAAGTCGGCAACGGGCTGGACTGCGCGCATGCTCTGCCCAAAAATCGATGACATCATACCCAAAGATCGGAAACTCGTGAAAGTAAACTGACGACGAAGTTGATTAATACCGTACGCAACAGTCCGTCTTCCATTTAGCAAACACAAATAGCTGGTCCCTTAAACAACAATCCACAAGACCCTACGAATACCCACCCAGATTCGGAACAATTGACTATTGTGTTCTTTGTCTATTGAGCTCCAGTCTTCATCCCTTGCCCAGCGCGTCCTCCGTTCCGCCATCAAAGGCAGCCTTGGAAGTCATATCTCTTATAGCATAGTGATTTATTACTCACCCAATTGAGTTTGTCAACAATGGACGATCCAGGTAATTCTTCATTCTGTAGGTTGAGCCGCCTGAAGCTTACCCTTCGCAGTGACGGAGATCCCAGGTGTGATCCACGCCTTAACTCAGTCCCGCCCGTCCGTCCAGCGAGAAACAATCGAGAAATATTTCACCCAAGACGCCACCTTCATCCATCCATTCTGCCGAACCCCCCGGTTGCAAGACTCCCGATGGATAATCCTAGCGATCTACCGCTGGTACAAGGTATGCCCACCCTCCCCCGAACCAGCCCTCACCCACTCACTGCAATAGGTGCTCTCCCCGCGCATCGACCTCTCAATCCAATCCGTCGGCTACGACGCCCCGAACCTCCGCCTCTACGTGACGGTCCACCAGATCTTCCGCCTATGGTTCGTCCCGTTCTACAAGGCGCCGGTGACGTTGGTGACGGTGCTCGATCTGGCGAAGGTGGAGAAGAAGTATCGTATCCAGCAGCAGGAGGACCTGTATCAGACGGACAAGTTCATAAGCTTCGTACCACTTTTTCCGGGGGGGTCGCTGGTCGTGATGGCTTGTCAGTATTTCGCGGCGCTGTTTTGCGTGGTTGGGGCGATGGTGCTGCGGCCGTTTACTTGGCTGGCGGAGAATCGATATCCGGGGGGCTGGAAGGGTGTCGCTCTGGAGTGACAGTGCCCTGGATAGTTTAAGTTGATCTACTTATCAAGTTGCTTCTGGGCCTTCTGATGGCAATGAAACCATGGCTGATGCAAACCCCGGGGGATCGAGAAGAGCTAAAGCATTGGTGGAATGGCTGCTTTGTTGTGTGGTGTTCTAGTCTGGCCAGATTTGACGCCCGAAGCAAGTCTTTGTCGGTTTGAAGTGTGTAGACAGGAGGACTTTTCTTCGTCAGGTGACTCGACTCTATATGCTTCCATTCCTGACCCAAGCCTCGGTCTTCTGGCGTCATGTTGCCACCGTGATCTCAATCACTAATGGACGATAACCGAAGAATATTTGTATGCCTATGTGTAGGGATATATCATCCATGTGTAAAACAGATCAATTACAGATATCAATACAAAACCAGAACTGAAGGGTGAAAGACGCCAAGCAAGGGAAATACATCGCAAACAAATTTTCATGCACTGCATTACGTCTAATACGCTCGAACGAGTGCATGGGTATGGTACACTTTTATTTACCTTCCAGAGGCCGCTCAGTCCACCTTGATAGCGCCGTAAATCTTCAGGATGAACATCCAGGTCGCCAGGAATCCGATAGTGCCTGGACCGAAGTTAGTAACCAACTCAACTGTAGTTCTGCATGGGACTCACCTGTCAAAACGAAGAACAGCGTACTTATTAGCAAACTATATCCCAAGTACAGCACCCCGCTCGTCCAGCTGGTGAAACTCAACGTCTTCACCCAGTAGAGCATGGCGTACAGGAAGACATAAAACGCGCTCGCTCCCGCCGTGAAGAACGACCGCCACTGCCAGTGATAGTTCTCCGCGCATAGCAGGAAGTAGACCATTAGCACTGTGACGGCAGCGCACGTCATGATCATGATGCCGAAGCAGACGAAGAGGAACCCGAACATGTAGTAGAACTTGCTGAACCAGATGCTGCGCATGATGAAGTACAGCTCCACGAAGATGGCGCCGAAGGGCAGCACGCCGACGAGGAGCATGCTGGGGATCGGCCGCATGTAGCTGCTCGCCTGGGGGATCTGGCGCGGGATCTGGTTCGTGCGGGTCGGTTCGTGGATCCCTTTGGCCTTGAACCCAAGCCACGACCCGGCGAGCGACAGAGGGACGGAGATGACGAACCACAGGCTAATGAGGACGAGCATGGTGGTGAACGGGACGGCGCCGCTGGCATGCCGCGCCCACACGAAGAGGTTCAGAAGGAAGAACGCGCCGAAGACCAGGCAGGGAAGGGCCATCGGGGTGTAGATGAAGTTCTGCTTCCAGGCTTCGCCGTGAAAGAACTTGTACACGCGCGCGGAGATGTAGCCGCCGATAAACCCGAAGAGGGTGTGGAAGATGATCATCATGGTGGCTAGGGAGCCGCGGTTGGAAGGCGAAAGGAAGCCAAGGAGGGCAAACACTGCGCGATGTAAGTGAGCGCCCATGGATGATGGTGGTTTAACTTACCAATCGTGAACCCGGTCATCATGAATAGTTGAGCGCCGTTCCCAACCAGGACACTAAGCAACATAGGAGACCTTGGTGGTCTGAAAACGTCACCATGCACCAGTTTCCAACCCGAGTCCTCCTGAACTCCGTCATCCATGATTCCAGTACCCGAAAGGTCCTCCAGGGCTACAGCATCCAGCCTGTTATACCTCGCGATGTCTTTCCTCAACGTTCTGAACAGGATGGTGGTCACCATTCCCACCAGGAAGCAAACGATGACCGCCGAGTTGATGAGCGAGAACCAGTGGATCCGGGGATCGTAGACATGCAGGTACTTGTCCCATCGCGTCGCGAAAGGGGTGGGCGAAGGGTTCCAGTAGACGCTGTACGTAAAGACGACGTCGGTGTCGCCCGACTCCGAAAGACTCAGAGGCGTCCCCTCTCCGCATAAAGCAACCCCGTCTCCGATCTCTTTCGCATCCGCTGAGGACGAAGATTGTACTGTCACACCGACCACCCGATGCTTATCCTGACTGAACTCATGATAGTCGATGAAGATGTCGTAGTGATTGTTCAGCACCGGCAGATCGTCGATGATGGTCCCGAGCGGGAAACCGGGACTCTCGTATACCTCCTCCGTGATGGTGTCCTTCTTCAATTGTCCCGCTGGCAGTCCATCCACCAACCAATTGATATTGTAATCCTGGAATATCCTCCGGTTCACGAACTTGCTGTCTTCCGGTGGGAATGTCTGCTTCCCGCACACTGCCTTGCATGATTCGTTTATGCCCATCTTCAGCTCGAAGGGCGAGTTCTGGATTCGGTCCCCGAACAGGATACTGCCCAGCGACTCATATTCGTACTTCGTCCCCTCCGGAGGCTGGCAAAAATGGAATTCGGGAAGGTAGTAGTCGAACGAGAAGACGGAGCGGACCTGCGGATCACGTTCCGATTCGGCAGGCGTGAGGTGGTTAACGTTCAAGGGAACTTTGTCGCCGTCTCGATATGACGTGGGCGCAACACCAGGGAGGTAGAAGGCGGATGCTGGGGAGAGAAGGAGCAGTAACGCTGGTAATATTGAGACGGCCGCGCCGCATCGTGACGGACTCATGGTGATTCTGCGCCCGTTGCTGCTCAGTGACGGTATCCCGAAGCCTTAGAAAATATCAGGAGGCAGATGCCGCAAGCTCCGGAGTATTAAAATGCCACCCTCATACGTGGTTCAAATCCCGGGGTTCATCCGACGTGGTCTGTACCGGTCGATGAGGGTTGTCGATCGGGATTTGAAAGCATCAACTGCTAGCCGGCGAGGGTGTCGGATTGCGTAGGGTTTTGCGGAGTTGAGGGTTCGAATAGTGAAAGCTGTCCTGAAAGAATCCTGTGACACTCCAAGGTGATGAAAACGAAGCAGATGAACAGGGAGAGCGAGTTACTGAAAGCGGACTAGCCGATTGTCCCCTGATTGAGTTTACGCGTGTGCTGTGGATAGGCACCATTTTTCATTTAACCATGTGAGGGTGCTTTTTCTCATTCAAATACAGGTAATTTCTTCTTCAATATATTAATATGCAATAATATGCTATAAGCACTATTGCGGCGCAGTACATCTCCGTCTGAATCGCCCGACTTCCCATTCCTACAAGGCCAATCCATTGCTATCGAATGGCACGTCTTTGTGCAGGCAGTACAGTACAGTACTACGGCCTATCGTTGATCTACGGCGCATCATGCTCAGTGATCTATTCCGAGCTGGCAAAACCTTCGGTGGACATCGAGGACTCCATCAGTTGTCTATCAAAGCGATTTACATTCCCTTCAAATGCCAAACGGCTTGATGTTCATGCTCATGAACGGCTAAAGGATGCTGTTAGGGGCGGGTCGACTCATCGAAGTAGGTGACACTTACGCTGGCAAAACTCATTGGAAGGAAAAAGAAAAGTAACGACTGTTATCGTCCTCATCGCAGCCGTGTCACTTTGGTCTTTTTGCACTGCTGCGGCCTGGTCTCGGTCCAGCTCGCTAGCGATTTGCGCGTTCCAGTTCTCCAGCAAACCCATCATTTCTTCCATTCTCTTCCTCTGCTCTAAGTCAGGTATCGCGTCCCCAGTCGTATCCTTTTCAGTCAACGACCAAAGATCATCCTCATTGTCCTAAACACGGACTGCGCGCAGTCGGAAATCGACTGCAAGTGGTTTTTAAGCCACTATCCGGAATCGGATTCTGATGTTATTCTGATTGGCGTATCTGGCCGCCCACGTGGGTAATCCGCGCCTTCAGTTTGGATTCTTTCTATCTCGCCGAGGACCCTTCCCAAGAGAGCTGAATCATGTGCAGCGTCCGCGGTTTTAGGCTGGCACAGGCTCCGGTTGCGGATCTGGCTTACGAATTGCCTCGTGTACCTCTTTGTGAAGATGCTCCATCTCAGCGAGGATCCGTTCAGTGTCACTTCAGCTCGGCGGTGCTTCCATGGATGCCTTTCGTTTCTTCCTGGATATCTCGGACCAACGTCCTACAAGGTATTTGTCAGCCGAACGACCTCGAATCGATATCAATGGATGAAGCGGCACCGTCCCAGAAACTACCAGGATCACTCCAGTGTCGTCATACCAACAGCAATTTCTAACGCCGCCTGATGAGCCTCCAGCTCCACATGACATTGCTCAATTCCCCTCTTTCCACGCCAAATGAAGCTGACACTACTGCCGAGTCGCTCGCAGTCATACTTCTCGATTAAAGTTTCCAGTCGTACTGTCACATCGGTACAAGTCTTCAAGATCGACAACCCATTCGGATGAAATGCCGCGTTGGGGGGCTTTGCGTCCTCAGTCAGCATCGCCAGACTGCATTCAGGGACTGCTAGTCACGAGTGACGGTAAATATCTCCTCGAGATTCTTTCACGTCTGGTCGGAATCATTCGAGGGTGAATATGACCCGCGCAATCACATCGAGTAGCTGCACAGCTGTGCTCACTATGGAAACCGGATCCACTATGTTGTACGGAGAAAGTCGTCCACGTCCTATTTTGGGGAGCTCGCCACGTACTCCAGTGATTCGTTCGGTCTTTGGCTGTGACGCCAAATCACAGTATGAACCCCGCTCTTGCTATCAAATACCCTTTTGTAGGAATCTGTACATCGTAAACGGGACCCGCATTGCTGGTCCGCTTACCCGGGCCTGTTAGCTCGCATGTTCAGACGAATATAGATTTCCGCTGCCTGCCGGGATCCGAAAATCGATCAGAACCGAGTCGACTCAGAATACGAAGAGAAAAGCCTATTGTATCGTTCCATCACCCTGATGAGATAAGTAAATAGTTAAAGGGTTGCGTTTCATTATGGAGACAGCTGGTCAGCAAATGTAGGCTACCTTTTCCGAAACAATAGACTCTTCCAGGTTGTACTATATGCATGCGACGCTGCGATAGAACTAGTAAAACGAATATACTTACTATAGTACATGCATCCAAGAGTGTCTTACAGTATCCACCAAATTTGCATATTACTCTACTCAAGGCTGTACCTGAAATCTGAATAATCGCGCGAGTTTGAGCCTTTGAGGTCCTGTGGCTCTGCTGCGTGCTGACGGTTCGTATAGCCCCCTTATCACGTGACTTACACGTTCCGTCGTTCCAAATCCGTGAGGGCGAAGACCTAAATAAAGCAACAGCTAGAACATGACCACAGCAACACAAAAAAACAATGGGGAGATGACTCAACAGTGCCCGTAGGTACTTTCGATTGTCGATATCCAAATCGTATTGGCCAACGACAATATTTTTCAGGTCAAAGCCATCTCGTGATGTTGGATGTACAATAGGCAAGCGTTCACCACGTTGCCTCTCCTTGTCTCTCCCTTGCCGACTTGCTGAGTCGCCAGATACGGATCAGCGAGAACACCGGACGCCATACCTGACCAAGCCTCCACCATGCATATCCAGCTGCAACGCTGAGGCACCGCCCTCCATCCGTTTGATATTTCATTGGCACATACCGGATAGCGGTACGATGTGACCTCGCCTGATCCCCATTTAGACCATCTCCCGCTCCGCGAGGCGATCACTAAAAATGGCCAGCGGAGACTAGGCGATTTATCTGGCGAATCTGCTGAGAAATGGAGACCTTCGTGTTGAGACGATGAAATATTTAAGAACAACAGATTCCCCCGTCGAGATGGATTTTGGATAGCATCAGTGCACAGCAATATCAACAACGCATCAAATCTTCAAACTTTCCGGTCACTCGCTTCAAACGTACTTTAATCTTCAACCCATCCTCAAATCTATCCCCCATCAAAATGAAGTTCCTCGGCTCCCTCGTCACCCTCTCCGCCCTCGCGGCCACCACCACCGCCCTCCAATCCATCTACGTCGGCACCCGCTCGGCCGACTACGTTAAGGGCGGCCGCTACGTCGTCTGGTTCTCCGACTCGGACGTCTGCAAGCAGGGCGTGACCTACGGCTACCCCGGCTACGGCGTGGATGTCTGCGACTACGACTTCACGCTGCTCGGCCATCCGGACATCGAGTTCACCGGCTGCTACCCGGCGCCCCATGGGGATAACCCCACGGGGGTCAAGGACGGCGACGCGGCGGCCTTGACGTGCAGTGCGGACGGTGCGGACGGACCGCTCGGACCGGATCTATCGACCGTCAAGATCCAGTGTCCTGGCGACTCCCAGTCTGCAAACGGATACGAGGTCGAGCTCAGGAGGTATTGCAAGTAAATGGCTCGGAGGATGGGATCGCAACGCGGCATCGAGAAGCATTCTAAAGGCGTTCAGAACGAATGGGCCCGATGGAAATAGACTTGAGGTGTTTGCTTGAGCATTCGAAATTGCCATTCAACGAGGGATCCGCGCGGTTTGGCCACCGTTTAATCATACCATTCCTTTGAGCATTATTACAATTCATGAAATACGATTTATGACTTTATAACATGCCCCTCTGAGAAGACTTGGGTGAGATCGTTAGAAAAACGTAGTAACACTTCAGGCGGGGAGACAGAAAAGCAGCTGGTCGTTCGAGGTACATTCTTGCGTTTGGGCCGAGAGTATCGTATCCCAATTAATTTTCCTCTTGAACTGGAAATCCCATGATACCTACTCAAGTGATCGAAGTTCTGACTCGCGCAAATTATAGAGAACGATGGCTATACGATGCATCGGAAGGACTCAGGACACGAGAGAAATGGCGACAAGTGCGAAATACAACCCAAAGAACCAATAAGAGCATCAAGTCTGACCAGAAGACAACGCCCTTCTGCGCCACAGTAGCGAAAATCTCGACCTATGTCTTCGTAGTCGTAAAGGCCGTAGAGCAAACCAATGAAATGCGAAACTAAACTCCATTACACACGTCATTGAATCATACATAGTACTGTCAAGTATGCAGATGTGCTGACCTCTATTTTTGTATCCCTTACGAGGGACTAGTGCCCTCAAACAGCTAGAGGATGGGGCAACGGGGAAAGATTCAACCGCATGCGGCGATGCTATGCGCTGCAAGGATCCGTGTAGTCCTGTGGAGGTATCATAGCCTAGCTGCTGAATCATCCTGAAATAGGAGTGATTCCGAGTTAGGATCGGTCCCGGTTATAGGTGGAAGGTCTAAAGCGCTTTGAGATGCCATAGCAGTCTGATAGGAGTTCGATTGACTGCCCATGTTTCGAACCTAGGATCCCTGCGTATGTTCTTGTCCGGATGCTGTCGATACAAGCGCATTTGCTGGCTGTTTGAGGTTGGAAATGGACCAGTCCAGGCCAATAGGTCCTAGTTCCCTTGCAAGACATGAACAATGCGAGGCGGGGTGGTTTATAGCACCTGAGAGATGTACCACACTATGGCCTGCATCAGGTAAGGCCCATCAGATATGGCTTATGGCTTGCTCCGTCTCACCGAATCTCGGGTTCCTGCCGTGAACAAGATGCGATCGTAGGAGATGGGAAATCGGCGACCTGTGTGGGATGGTCGTCAGGCGTCAGCAGCCAGAACATAAGGCTGAATGGCTGATGATCACGGCAACATGGTTCATGGCTCATCGGGTGATACCCTGCGCCGGTTGATTGAAGTGCATACCCGCGGGACCGATGGAGAGGAGCGGAAGTGCGGACTGGAAGGCTTGCATAGCTGCATCGTTAGCATGGTCGCAAACCTCAAGAAGCTGGAACATGGACCGATAATTTGCTCAACAGAACTATCGGCGAGGAAGGCGAGGTTATATTTAATACCTGTAGCTGGGAAGTCCAGGGCCTTGCATGCATCGGTCAATCTCAGCATCAGCCAATTGTAGATGCCGTGCTTAGAGCGTTAATGATGCAAGGCTAGGATGACAAGAACCAACTTATGAACCTACAGGCGACGGAACGTCCTAACGAGCCGGTATGGCTAAAATCAAACTCTCCTGCATTAGTCGATTAGGGTGAAATCCGAGTTGTCCAGTCCAATCGCACCCAACGCGATCTCGCCCAAGCAGCCATCCGTGACTTATTGAAAGGAGGGGAGAAATCCCGACGGTCCGGATCAAATGCCCATCTAAGAATTCGCTGTAACTCAGCCCTTGTTCTCCGAACCATGCGACTAGAGTACCGTGCCGTAGTTGCAATTTACTCATGGCACAGAGGGGATGAAGGATTCCTGCTCACAGCGAACTCATCCCGATATCGAGCATGCTGTTGCGGTTGACGTCGAGGACCGACTTTCTCTGCCAGCGGTGGTGTGGACCGTCAATGACGTTGAAGCAAAGTTTCTAGGTGGAAAGCCTGGCCAGAGCGGGGAGAGACGAGAGTAGATATCTGCAGCGAGAAGCCATGGACCGGTCAAAGTTAGACCACTGCCGACTCACTCGACTGGGATGTTACATCTTCGACCAACAACCATGCATTGGCTCACAGGAACCGAAAGACTAAAGAGATACGGAAAGGGGAGCTTCCGGACGACATTAGTTCGTACATAATTGATACTGTAGCATCCCCAACCCCCATGCCATCAGCACATCAGGACAATTCTTGCATCAAGCCAAGCCTCCATTCGCTCTCCGGCGATGGAGTCAGATTACCCGGCGATTTAGTCATATTCCAGCCTCGGGAATACTCGTCATGATTGGCGTGATAGTTTAATGACGAAGATGAACAGGTGAAAGATCCATGATCCGGACAGACGAACGAGGATCGGGGGATGAGGTTCGGTTGAGGAGAGAGCGAGGGTGAGTGGTGAGAGAGAAATCCTGGGACAGAATCCTGGTAGAGTTGTCCGATAAAGGTTTAGAGCGACTTCTATCTTCAGAGTTCACATCAGTTCCACACGTTGCTTGGAAGCTCGGACATTTACTAATCCTCCTTTTGCAAAGCGCAAAACCCCGTAATCCCGTAATCCCGTAATCCCGTATTCTTGACCATTGACTCCACGAACTTGACTGCATCCCATCACCCAATTCACTTTCCGCACCACCTCTTCCGTCACAACGGTAATACTACACCTACGGCTGTAAGAGCGTCAGCATTTCGCAGGCCAATAGTCATCCATCTTCTGTCCTCCCCAACCCTCATTGAGTCCATCGCGCCGCACAGTCTTAGCCTTTCGTGTCTCGCGAGCGGAGACACCTACGCCATATCGCGCTCTCCGATCCTCATCAGTCATCATCCATCGGTACGTATCCCCCAAATTGCATTCGTCTCGGCCGCTCGCTTGCCTGCTTTTGTCGTCACCTGCTCTACCCTGTTAAACGAAATCGCCTCTTGAGGCTCTGCTGGTTGGATTCGATGCGCTAGTGCTTGCCGTGTGCAGCGCGGCGCGTCTTGCATCAAACTATCTTCGAGCTCGGTACCGCCTTGGAGGAACTCAGGAGTCAGGACGCGTTCTATTGCCTGTAGTCGCTGTTGGGGGATGATTCTTCCCGCGTCTATGGAAGTTTCTGTTCTTCCCTTCCACATCAAAGACCATTAGAGCATCCATCCCCGCCCGTTCCAGCTATAGCAGACACCCTCTTGCGTTCCCTCCCCCCATCAGCAACCCATTTGTGGATCCCATCTCCCTTCCCACACCACATCCTCTCTCATCAACCAAGCTGCCGGACCCGAGTGCGCTTGGAAGGAAGGTGTTTGGCTCAACTGATTGGCGAGCGAGCGGCAGCGTTGCATGTACGAAAGGCTCATAGCGGAAATTCAGGCAACGAAAAGGCAACCAACCCTCTTACCTGTACACTTGCTCAGCAGCCCATCGGCACCCGCAAGCAAGCACGTAGCTCCTTTCGCAAATTTTCCAGCCGACAGACAACCCGAACGCCAAAGGTCCCCGATCCATCTTTGTTTCCCCCCATCCCTGCAGGCTGCGTTGCGTTCTCATCTGCAAGACCAAGTCCTAGTTGCCTTACCCTCTCGCAAGGTTCAGATCTGTTCAGTTGAGGAATAGTCCCGCGTTCAAAAATGGGTAAGTCGCTCTTCTCCGTCCCCTCGACGCACTCCCTTCTCGCCCCCTCCAATCCTTGATATTATAACGTCCGTCGATCCGGTGCGCAATCGCTTGAGATCGGTCTTTCCCTCCTCCAACGTCTGCCTTGAGTTTGATTCTTGTTGCTTGTCGACGGCTCTCGTTACTGGCATCGAAGATCAAGACGATTGGCTTGGCTGTCCGAAGGTGGAGCTATCTGTGGCTTCCGTTTGTTTTTATAGGTTCCCGTACTGATTCCCGTTGGTGTAGCAGACGACAGCTATCGCCCGCAACAGGTGAGTGTGATCCGATTTTCCTTGCTCTTTTATATTTGAATCCCCAAATACCCTATGATTTTGAAACGGTCCTTGAAGGTGGATGTTGAAATGGAGCGTGCTGGTGGTGGCGATGAAATGTTTGCCTCAGACGCTTGGGATGTTGCATCAAGGGGAAACGCGGATAGCTACAGCACTTGGGATTTGCCGCCGAAAGTTGCTTCTCCTCTTTATCATCCGATGGAGATAGTGAAGAAGGTCCCAATCAATGTGCTGTTAGTCATCTACGCTTCCTGATCAGTGCACACACCTTCAGTGGAGGTGTATCTGTGTGTTGTAGCGGTCCTTCTCACCACCACCACCGCCGCCGAAGCACTTTCCTTCACTATCATCAACAATCATTTGGCCGCTCTCTCTTTCCATCGATTATCGCACACTCGCCTGTCTCCTTCTTCCTTTTTCATCACCCACTTCCTAAATCTACCCATTCCATCCATCTCGATCATCCCGCTGCTTCCTTCCTCTCAATTGAATTCATCGCATTTTTGTTCCTTTCCCCGTCTCCCGCGCTCCCAATTCAATTATAAATCCCAAGAAACTATCGCGATCCTATATTTCGACAGCCAACATGGCACAGGAGCTCACTTCCAACTCCCAGCGCGAACGGTCTCGCTCCCCGCGACGTCGTTCACGGAGCCCGCGACGCAGCCGTCGCTCCTACTCTCCTCGAAGCCGCTCCCGAAGCCGCGACGACTATCGACGTGAGCGACGATCCCGTTCGCCCATGAGCGGAACTGCCGGTCCTACAGGAGGGTATTCTGGGTCGTATCAATCTCGCGGACCTCCATCCCGGAACTTCGAAGATCGCGGCGTGGCAAAGGATCAGATGATGCAGTCCTTGCGCGAGAACTCCCAGCAAGACCGTCGCGTCTATGTGGGCAACCTGGCCTACGACGTGAAATGGCATCACTTGAAAGACTTCATGCGACAGGGTAAGTTCTAATCCAGTCGAAGGTCGAACGAAGACACAGTTTGCTAACACCCCTCCCATCTAGCCGGCGAGGTCCTGTTCGCCGACGTACTCTTACTTCCCAATGGAATGTCGAAGGTGGGCTGAGGCTTGGTTTTTCTGGTTTTTGCTTTGGTTATGGAATTTGGATTGACGGATCGGGACTGGTTGTCCGCGGGATTTGTAGGGCTGCGGGTGAGTACCCTTGGTCTGGTCACATGGAATCGAACTGACGGCAAGGCAAGGATTGTGGAATACGCAACAAAGGACCAAGCGCAAAATGCGGTCAACACGCTGAGCAATCAAAATCTGATGGGTCGACTCGTCTACGTTCGAGAGGTTAGTTGTGCTTCATCCCGGATGAAGAGCCTTTCTACACAACTCTGGGTGCTAATTATCGTTCCTAGGACCGTGAATCCGAACCTCGCTTCACTGCGCCTGGAGCCTCCCGTGGTGGCTTCGACGGTGGCTTCGGCGGAGGCCGTGGAGGTTTTGGAGGCGGGCATGGAGCTCCCGGTGGTGGTGGGCGCCAGATCTACGTCTCCAACGTTTGTTCCCCTTCCCTCTCCTCTGTCGTAGGACATGTTAGAATGTTAACTCCCTTTTAGCTTCCCTACACCGTAGGCTGGCAGGATCTGAAGGACCTCTTCCGCCAAGCAGGTAAGTCTTCAATGTTCAAAGGGTTGCTTATAGTTTGGAAGGACTCTCCGAGGACGCGATCGACTACGCATCGAACACGTCTAATAACTTACTAGCCGTGACAGGATCTGTAATCCGTGCCGATGTGCACCAGACTCCCGACGGCCGTCCCAAAGGCTCCGGAATCGTCGCGTTCGAGACTCCCGATGACGCTCGCAATGCGATCCAGCAGTTCAACGGATACGAATGGCAGGGTCGTGCCCTCGAAGTTCGCGAAGATCGATTCGCCGGACCTCCCGCTGGAGCTTTCGGTGGCCGTGGTGGATTTGGAGGAGGATTTGGAGGAGGCATGCGTGGTGGATTTGGAGGTCGTGGTGGATTTGGGGGTCGTGGAGGATTTGACGGTGGACGTGGAGGATTTGGCGGTGGACGTGGAGGATTCGGAGGTCCTCCTAGCTATGGTGGTGGTGCTCCTGGATTCGGTGGAGGTGCTGCTCCGGGCGGTGCGCCAAACCCCTTCACTGACTCTGCGACGTCTGGAGGAGAGCGTAGTCCGATCATCTATGTGCGAAATGTGGGTACCCTCTCCTGGTTGCTTGGCAAGGACTATGCTAACCACATTGCAGCTCCCGTGGTCTACAAGCAATGAGGATCTGGTCGAGCTGTTCACCACCATCGGCAAGGTCGAACGTGCCGAAATTCAATACGAACCGAATGGCCGGTCCCGCGGTACCGGTGTCGTCGAGTTCGATAGTGCAGAGAATGCGGAGACCGCTATCTGTGAGTACTACGGTCTGTCTCATCTGCTTTCGCTAATGTCTCCTCAGCCAAGTTCACTGGCTACCAGTACGGCGGACGTCCCCTTGGACTTAGCTTCGTGCGGTACAGCACTCTCGGAAACGGCGACGGCATGGCCATGGAAACGGATGCCATCGGTGGCCTTACTCAGGAACAAATCATGTGAAGGATGCTTTCATTCGTCCTCTGCACGACATCTGCTTTCGTCACTCGTTCGATATCTCCTAGCACTCGACCCTGCTCGCTCATTCGTTTTGATGGCGACACCCGCCTTTTCTTTCAATGATCATCGCGGGTAGAGGGGAAGCTCCTGCTGGAGTTGTCGGAACACCTCGAAAACATTACATCGTCCACTGGAGAATGTCGCACATGGTGGGAACAACTGGGTCATTTCTTAAAGTGTCATTATCCCCTGGGACGAAGATTATGGGGTCCGCGTTTCTTTTCCACACTGGTACTCGAATATTTCATATCCAAAATGGTATATTTTCTAGTTTCTAAGTTCTAGATTGCAATCATGCTTTCGTATCATCCCGTGTTTCTCGTGCAAGGTTTGAGTGCCTTTCATACCGTATGAGGTATTTTCGGTGCTGACAATTCCTTCATCATCCACTCGTATACCGCCCATTGAACTGCGTTCACAATGAATGCCCTAACACTGCAGATACCCAGGCCTCTGAAGAAGACCGCCATCCCTTCCTCCCGATAGGCGATCTTCGCTATCTCCAATGCCCCGAGTCTCCGCTTGACAGTGGGCCGATCCTGGAGCAGGGCGCCGGCCTCCCCAGCCACGTGCGCCTCGAGAATCTGAGTCTGCACCCGAGTTTTAATAACATCTATGCATGGGTCAGCGGGGATACTGGTATCTACAATGAGGGGTCGAACCCAGTGGAAATATCGACGCCCACGTGATGATGCCCGCGAGACCACCACAGACGAGCACTTGAAACGCTGTGTCGCTGCCGGTGTCTTGTTCGGATGCCCAGGCGCGGCGGGAGAGTTCGTAGGACCAGAAGCTGTATGGGCGCACAAAGATTAGCACATGGATGGAGACCTCCACACCACCGGGATGTCGAAATCTGCAACTACTTAGAGGATAAATGACGATCCCGATCTTACTAAAATCCATATCCCACGGCATCCCGCACCGCAGTCACCATGCCTCCGAAATACAGCCCTCTAACCCCCTCCCTCACCAACACCTCCCTCGCGACCCCCCACGAGCTCGTCGGCCGCCCCCTCTCCTCCCTACCCCCACTCACCCGCTCCCCATCCCTCGCCACCTGCACCCGACACTTCACCAGCTCCGTCGGCGTCGACACCACAAACGTCGCCAACCCCGCCACCGCGCCCGCCGTCCACAGCGACCACGCCCCGGGCCTCCCCTGGGGTTCCCCCGTCCCTAGCAGCGCCAACGTGCGGTTATAGCTCGTGTACAGCAGAGCGTTTAAAGCGCCATAGGTGAGGACCGGGGCGGTGGCGCCGCGGAGGAGGGTGCTGGCATGGGTGAAGTGGGAGGCGAGGGTACGGGGGGAGGGGAGGTGGGTGATGGGAGCGGAGAGGGTGCTGGGAGAGCGGGAGGAGGAGGGGACGAGGGAAGGGTCGCCGGCTTGGAGGCGGGTTTTGAGGAGGTCGAGGGGATTGCCGATGAGGATGCTGGCGGCACCGGAGAGGTAGCCGGCCCAGAAGTCGGCGGACATGGTGTGTTGGGTGGCGTTATTGGAGGGAGGTCATGGTATTGGTGACAAGCGCGGGTGTGAGGTGGGACAAAAGCGGACGAAACGCTACACGGTGAAACAAATGGCGTGAGATGTGTATCCTACTCGCTTGTATTCCTGCAATTGGCACCAAATAAGACTGTAGCACCGTCAAGTAGTCGATTTAGTTGGAATAAGTCAAACCAAAGACCTCCACAAGCGAATGTGTACGGCTTCTCGAGATCCTTCTCTCCGCAAATCGTAATTAGACACAAAACCCCACGGTGGGGTTGGGGTTGTAGGTGTACCATCACGTGATTATGGAGCATAAATATCCCTCAGCCCGCGCCACACCTTGACGGCTTGACGCCACCGTTACATGGCAGTTATAGGAGGTGAGGAGGTGGTTTGGAAATGGCCATACTTTTCAAACACCTTCAATGGCAGCACCAAACACAGATTTGATCACATCAATTGCTACCGCATTTAAGCGGAATTTGGTTACAGAGCGTTTGCATTTCTAATCAAACATTACTCATCAGCTGTCGCCACTCGTGCTATTCAGCTGCATATAAATATATCATCCGTAACGGGGGTGGGTGGGAAGGACGCTTGAAACAATTCAGATGGTGAATTCCATGACTAACACTCGACCAGAAAGGTACCCAAATCCGACCACACCACCATGAACAGCAACTCGGACTGGTCGATATTCGGAGGGCAACCAAAGTAGTTTCTTACCATCTTGAAGGACCCATTGCTCTTCGACGAGGATGGATTGCGGAGAACTTGGGTGGGAAGGAGCTGGCGAGAAGGCTACGGCCGTGACGGGGTCCGAATGGTCCTTGAGCGTCTGCAGCGGCTTCCCCGACCCAGCGTCCCATAGCTTGACCGTCTGGTC